CCACCGGCTGATAAGACAGCCCTTCTCTGACGGGATCCGTGATTTCGGTTAATTGGACGCCCATTAGTAAGCTTTTAGGCTTTTATTTTTTTATTGCCAGCTCGCCAAGAGTTGCGTTGATTTTCTTTACTGAAGAATCGTGGCTTTCCGCATCTATAAATTTCAAAAGGTCAAGGCCTTCGTTGCTTATGAGTTAATATTTAGTATTTTTAATACACGTTCTCCTAAAACAATATTATGATATCATACCATTTTAACAGATCGCCTTCCTTTAAATTAATCTTTTGAGAATCAAACACCAATCTTTCTCGCTATCTCTGTTTTTTTCCATGTCAACTCGGAATGAGGAAAAATGACGTCATCAACGGCGGTGGAGAAAGAAAGTGAGAGAGAGATATAGATAGAGCGAGAGAAGCTGAGGGTCAGGTTGATAGGAATTTGGAGGGGAGAAATGGAGCTTCGCCCCTCCATCGGTTCCTTGCGCCTCACCCGATATTTGGTCTCGGTGTCTAGACAAATGATCGCCACCACCAAGCTAACGTCGTTTACGTTTTAAAATTTGAATCGAGCGTTTGAACGGCTACTTATCTCTCTATTTTAATACCGGTTCACCCGTTCACCGGCTCATGCGGGAATTCAGTCATTAAAGAACTAAATTTTTCTGGCTAAATTACAGCTGAAATAAATAGAAAACAAAAAACTTAGCGATCATAAATTGGCTCAGGACTACAGTAATCGTCGATAATAATAATTTCGTTTTAAAGTTAGGAAATTCCCTTCTTGGAAGGCCTTCTTCCCGGGAACGCATTGTTATTCTAATGAATTTTTCGGCTTCTATATTTTCCCAGACGGGCAAAAAACGTAGCTGCGGATCAGCGTGGGTCTTAATGCGGCTTTGATGACCGCCGCGTCGGGGCCACGCAGGATTTTAGATAGATTAAAAACATACATAGAATTATTAGGGAAGACTGGCTGGGAGGTGTTAGGGTAGAGAATGGTTTTACATCCTACCGAGTGTTTTGATGGTCGAGTGGTGAAAAGGATAATTCAGCAGTAAGATTTTCTTTCTAGGTCCATTAGTAAGATATTCTATCAATCTATCAAAAATAATATCGAAAATCATTTTGTCGATATTTCAATATGGTGAAAATTATGTCAAAAATCTTTGGTAACTACATTGACAAAGAGCCAATTTGCTCATGAAAAATGAATGAAATAAATCGTTCATCAAAAGGTCAACTAATCGACATTTAGAAACAATGAGTTTTGACAAATTTAAATTTCGAAATTCTAATTTTCGACAAAATTAAAATTAACCGACTAGTGCTTCTATAAAACTACCTGCTTTTCTTGTATGGTCTGTGGCATAATAGTTAGAGCTGATCCATACATGATCTCCCCCAGTGGGAGCGACGGGTTGAGGGCGTTCGGATTCGAGCCGGGGGGTTGCTATCGAGGGAATCGATGGGCCAGTCCTTCACGTGCAGTCAGTCTTTCACATTGCATATGGCAGATAAGGGCTTTGCACTGATTCGGACGAGTGGCTTTGAGGAGTGCGGAAGGAAGGGATAGGTTTAATTTAGAGGATGACTTCAGGTTTATAAAATTACAGGCAGTTTTTAACCAACTGACTTCTAAAGCAAATTCAGCTAGATAAAATCCATTTGTTCTATCTATTCAATCAATAAATCTATATAATAGCTTCTCGTAAAATGAAACCTAGTTCGCTACAAAATTCCAAAACACATGAAGACAAAGCGAGGCAAATTCGATCTGGGTGCTATCGAAAATGGATCTGAAACGATACAACAAATATCTGGAAGGTGAAATGCAAGGCCGTTTTATTACAGCAAACCCATTTCATTGGAAGCCCCCCTTCGCACCTTGGGTCCTCCCATTTTGCTTTTGTTGTTTTAGGAGGAGTTGGAGAGGAAGTGGGGGGGGGAAGCTGTGTTACGATTTATTTTCTGTAATAATGATGTAATGTAAATGGGGAAAAATTTGCTTAATTAATGAAAAGGTAGTATACAAAATTCTCCGGTAGAAACAGATGCAAAAATAGTAACGTACAAAAAGAAAATAAATGCAAAAAAGAAGTAAAATAACTGTAAAAAGCGATGAACTAAAAAAGCAACTAAAAAAGCGATGAACAAGGAAGGCCGTCCATCATCTCAGGTTCGGGAATGTGTTTTTAAGCGTGGGCTGGCTGAGATGGAGAGGGGAAAAAGGGGGAGCACGACGACGAGTCGGAGGAAATTGGGGAAAGGCCAGCTCAAGGGATGGGAATTTGACCCCAACCATACCTAGTAACTTCTGTTGGGGATGGATTGTTATCCTGAAGCTGCATTTTCGCGCGCGGAAATTTTTTTGGGTGAAAAATGTATTTGTTACGCATTCATTAAAAAGCATCCAAGAAACAATTTCATAAGATGATCCTGCGCTATGGTCTCGCGTAGTTTTATCGCCCGGAAGGCCACAACGTCGTGTATTAAAGCAAGAACTATCGGCTCACTAACGAAAGAATTAAACGAAGAATGGCCAATGCTAAAGCGCCACCAATTTTATGTAAATGTTAATTTACTTCTTTCGGAAATTGAATATTACACTCTTGAATTTTTGTTTAAGACATGTGTCCAAATTATTGGTATACCTAGGTACCGCATCGTGTAGTAGGTACGATTTTCAATAAAACATATGAATGGATCGGCTCATTTCCAATGTATCAAATTTCAGATTATAGAGCAAAAGTTGACGCATCATTTTGTGAGCGCTTCAACAGATATCTTGATTTCATTAATGCTTTGTATAATTCAATTTTTGAGACTTTTCAGCGTTCCATGCGACACGTCGGGCATCCTGCAAAAAATCCGGTCGTAGACCTGCGAAGGCACTATTAATGCGTCCAGTATTTTTACCGAAAAAACAATACCTTGTGCTCATTGTGCTGGTGCTCTACATTTTAGACTTTAACAAAATTCCATGCAGTTTGACAAAATCTGATTTCCGGTCAGCTTCAACATTCCACAGGGATAATGAGTGAGCGCCTGTTTTGTGGATGGTGGTTATCAATGAAAAGGAGCATGCGAAGTATGGAGGGATGAATGTCCCCCTAGATCATATCACTTCTTCGCCCTCATCTCCACCCACCACTGCCCTCAACATCTTTCGAAAGGGCGCTTCACCTAAAACCCCCGGTCTCCCTCTCTCTGTGGGGGCGACTCCGCTCCACATTTGCATACCGGACCCTCGCCATGTCTTCACCTTCGGGCTGCCAACCCGGGGCAGTGGCAAGCAATCAGGCGTGAGACACACGAATTATCTTCGCTGGATGGCATATGGAATCCACCAACCTCACTCATGCCATATCCGCCCACTTTCTGATCTGCACTGCGATGGCATTTGATGGTCATTCACCTGTAGGTGGACGGCTATTAGGCTGGCCTCCCCATTTATCACCTAGCGGCTTGCCTTTCGATTATGGTTTTGCGGTTTGGGTGGTCTTGTTGTTGGTCTGCATCAAGTCCTAACTATTTGCATTGTTGCGGATGGCCCAATTTTTTTCATTTATCACGAGCTTTCTTGGCATCCACAACTAGGAAATTGTCGCTGAGAGTTTCTGAACGTACTTGATCGTAAGCTTTTGACGGAAATATTTGAAAATGCCTGCTTTTATCAAATTGGTGACACCATAGCATTAGCTTCGGTGTCAGGACAGTCGGCATAATATTGCTATATAAATTTCTTCACCGATACGGTACAATTCAATACCGGCGCACAAAATGCGTACATTACAAACATTGAATTTTTGCGCATCCGATCCAATCGTACGCTATGTTTCTTCCGATTCCGTTTCCGAAATAGCCGCAAAAAAATCGTCCAGCCTTAGTATGGTAAGAGTTTACTTTGCCCCCCGCCCCGAGCCGAAGGCTCTCAAAGTTTTCGGGATTTTAGCTAATTTTGTCGGGATTTTTGCAACGCCATTCGATCGAGCGTCGAAAATTAGACTAAGATTTTCAATTTAAGCCTACAATCATGAAAAATCAAAAAGTTACAGCGAAAACATTTCGGGGGGGGGGAAGGGGGGTAAAGTAAAACGTCCAATCCCACAAGTTTCCAAGCAACAAGCCCTCCCAGCTAGCCCCCAAAAATTTCCATTGCCCTCTTTTCGACGCGCGCGCGCGCGATGGCACGCCGGTAGGATTTTTATGGCCCCGCCCTCAGAGGGTGAACATCCACCCCCCTACGGCTATTCATCGGGAGGAAGGGTAAAGGAATGCGCAGAAGGATGACGCTCCGTTATTGCTACATGCTTTTTTCGATCGGTCCGGACGATAAAGATATCGTTAGGCTTTGGCTCTGCTGTAAGCTCAACGACGATTTATACCGTAAGGTCATACTTTTTTAACGCAGCGGTACGCTATATTTATAGTACCGTAATTTTTCTAATGTCACTCTAGTGCCTATTGTGACATGATTTTTCGATTGGTTTCACTTAATTAATGCGCGAATTTGGAAAGTCATTACATATAGTTTCATTCACAAGCAATTTGGTTCTTTTCGCTATTTTTGCCAAATCCAAAATCTTGCCATGCCTTTGCCAGTAATGTTATTGAAAGGTATAGTCACGGCGAGCGCGTGGCGAATGAGAAGGCGGGGATCAAAGCCTCTTATCCATATCCCTTGACTGCCTCCAGGGAGGAAGGAATCTCCTTCCACTCCCCCTCATTCTCCAGCTGTGTGTCCGAATGGAAAACCATCATCCACCAACAACACCTCTTGCTCTTACTTATCAAAGAGTTAGTAGAACCATTTTTTGCTTTGGTTTTATTTTTTAATCCGAAATGGCCCATAGACAATCAGTCAAACTTTAAAAATCTCTAAGTTAAATTTTCAGCTTGATGCCACCCTTTCCGCTGATTTTCTTCGAAATCCTGACACTTCCACCTCATTTTTATCCTCTTTTTGTCTCTCCCTGCCTCAATAATTGAATATTTTTAGCAATGTCCTGGACTGGCCATGATCGGATATGGTCAAAGCTCTGCCTACTTGCCTTTTTTACCGTTGCGCTAGCCACACATGGTAATGCAAAGTTGCTATCTCTCAAAAACTATGTTTTCAGCCCCACGACGGAGGCGGCAGTTAGGTGAAGAGCCTAGCGGACCTCCAATTGATTTGAATACCACCGTGCCATATATTTTTTCGGCTCGACTTTATCCTTATGGGTTGGAGAAAGGGGATAAGTGAGTTTCGGAAGCGGTATACGTTTAAAATATGGGTTGTTGTTTTTGAATTGCTGAAAGGCGGTAGTAATTGCATAATAATATCTTTTTAAGTCTCTCAAATACCGTAATGCACCCCTAAGGCAAAATTCTGGCAGTTTTGAATACCATTTTCAGAATCCTGACAAACAGCGCTCAAGCCATGGCCCTGATGGAGCCATTCGCGTACCTGGGTGCCGTCTACGATACCATCTACGTGAGCGACAGTTTCTATTTTATAGCTGCCACTCCATTTCCATCCTCTTTACCGCCCTTCATCTTCCACTTTCTCAAACATCCCTCACCTGCCAGCCGCCCGTCTAAAGGGGGGGGGGAGCACGATTAGTGAATTCAGGTGGAAGGGATGAAAAAGACGTTATGAGGGGGCCGGGAGGAGGGGAGAAAGTTAAAGGAAAAGTGGGATTTTAGCTTGGTAGTTTCTTAAGGTTAAAACGTTTTGGTTAGTGTTATTAACGGACTTAATGACTGGTTAGATTTTTCCCGCGGAATTTGAACCCCACTTTAGCGTCAAACCAACCAACCAAAAGCATTCCCTTCCACTAAAGCTCAAAGGTTCGGCGGGAGCCTGTGATTGGATGTGTGGATTGGATTCCCGTCGTTTCGTCCCGTTATGGGGTCGGACATGGATCCCGGTTGTGTACAAGGAAAAGAGTGGGAAGACATTCAAAAAGGGGGAGAAGAACGGCTCAAACAATTCCGCAATACCAAACCGGTACACTGACCCTTGCCCGCCACCTCCAATAGAGGGGCTCTCGTTTGCCATGCCCTAGTTTATGCCAATATTCCACTTTTGGCAAGGGGGATTTTGGTTTGCCAATAGAAAACGGAAAAATTTTGAAAAACTTGCCAAACCATTGAAACAGTAAAAAAAACTTTATCATTTCAGATCCGAAATGATGGAGCCGTGTCGCTGTCGCCAGAAAATCAACAACCATCCGGTAATTTTAGTAATCTTTGATGTTCTAGATTTAACAAAGCATCTTTTAAATATGCTATTATAGTCCTCCCATCTCAACATCCAATTATTGCCGCATTTTGGATGCCGACACGTGGTGGAAAAGTCTACTATCGCCAGACTGATGGTAGGTTTGGTATTTAAATGAACCAGAAACGTCTAAATTTTAATTAGGGAAAATGAGTTTTCAAAATGTTACTGTAAGCGTTTGTGTGCTTAGGCAAAAATTTTACGTATGTTCCTCAATCATGAAAACACCCGCAATTTATGCAAATTATCCTCTAATTTTTGCATGCAAATGATCTGCTATCATTGTCATTATCGAACGTAAATCCCCCGCCAACCGGATGTAGAAGAGAGCAAAATCTGGTTAGACTTTCTCCTCCTTTTCCTCACTCCTCTCGACCACCCAACCTTTTTGGCGTTTCGAGAGATCGATGCCCATTTGAAGAAGAGTCTTCCCCCCGGAAAACCCGGTATCTCGTATCATCATCCTCTTCACTAGCCTGCATACATAGCCTGTATATTCCATCCTGCCCACCGGCTAGTGATTCAAACCCGATTCTCGGATAGAAACGAGGAGAAGCACAGGCCCTGGGGCGAACAAATTTACGACCACTCACCACCTTGCCGATTTTTTGGACGGGGGATGGATGCCGTTAGGATGTATTGGAAATGGAGATGGGAACGGAAATGGAGGGATGAGTAACATCGGGGTTGAAATGAGAATACGAGGAAAAGCTTTGAGGCGATTTCTAAATTTCTCAAGGGCTAGGGAAGTGAAAATGAGCACTGGTGGCACTGACTGATTATTGAGTCATGCCTGGCAATAAGAAACCGGGTGATTAAACAGTGATGCTAAAAATAGTCTACTTTCGGAGGTGACCTCATCAAAACTTTCGTTTTTCAGATCAAAGCCTCCTCAACATGGCTCACAATGAAGTGAATATCCAGTATAGATATGGACAGGTAGTATATGAAAAACAGAATTATATATATATATATATATATATATATATATATATATATATATATATATATATATATATATATATATATATATTTGTTATAGATCTTCAATATCCGTAGTGTTGTCGTGATCACATGGGAAGGAGGTCGAGATGCTAGTCGTCCGGTATGTCCTAAAAAATTTTGCGCGCCTCAGCAATACTTTTTAACAAAATTCAATTTTACCGACTACATTTAGAATATCGATGGCAACGTCTTCCAGCTAGCCATCATCATCGGCGATGAGATGACTTTTGCGCATTTCATCTACAGCCGACTGATCTCCAATCGCGATGCCGTGGTAAGTACAAAAATTTTAATCAATACTTAAATACCTAGGCTGGCTTCTCAAACGGAGCCAACGTTACGTTCTCACTGCCCGACTCCGGAACTGCCGACTCTATTCTACTACGGGTACAGAGGCAATCCGAGAAGTATCGTCAGTTTTAGGAGAAAAGCGACATCGGTATACCCGGAGAGTGGTTATTCAGAATTGACGCGACGGAGGTGTACCTTTGTGGTGCTGGGTTTAAGGTATGCTTTATGAAGCGAGAAAAGATAGAGAATGGTGCTTCAGGGTCTGGAATGTGTTGAGAGCTGCTCGCCAAATCAATGGTTTAACGACTGCTCCCGAAGTTGTCACTGCGAAAACGGGGACCAGTGTGATCCGGAAAATGGGCGATGTCCTACAAGTAATTTATTTTTGGGGTTAGCCAGATTTTCTATAGACATGAAAAGCCTTTTTTTGTATATTTTATGTAAACTTTCCAGCAAAATGCACCCCTGGCTGGACCCATCCACCAATCTGTGATCGAGACATTGACGAATGCGCGCAACCAGGAATTTGCCCGGCAGCCCAACCAGATTGTGTCAACACCCCAGGAGCATTCATGTGCCTGTGCTTTGAATATGATGAAGAGCTGGGGCGTTGTAAAGGTACAAAAACTGCAGTTTCGGAAGGATGACTGGTTTTTAGGCAGCGAACTAGTAACTGATGAAGCTCCTGAAGTAGCTTCGGTACCTGTGCAAGTGATGCCCGTTCATCCATCAATTCATTCTCATACCACAAAAGGCCCAGCCCATACTAGGGCTCGGGCTCATGCTGTGAAGCAGACCACATCCTCTCCGAGTAGTAAAAAGGCTAATACTACGAAAAAGACCACAGCTACCTCTCGGTCGGCGACGAGCTCTTCGGATAGTTCTGTGGTTATTCAAGTATGTTTTATAAATGAGGATTTGTATAGATAAATCTAGTCCGGTTTTAATAATGCTATATTTTCAGCCACCCATTCCACCACTAGCGCCAAATTGTCCACTTTGCCATCCAAGAGCGGAATGTGTGGCTGGAAGATGTGATTGTTTGCCGGGGTATGTCTTTACCGTTTAATTTTTGTGCAAATTAAGCTAAATGTTTATTGGCTTCGATGTTATACTCTATTTTAGCTACGAAGGCGACGGTCAATTCAGCTGCGAGGACATCAATGAATGTGCAAGTAAGAGTAAAAAATGTTTCGAAAATCATTTTCAGGGACGACCCCTTGTGGTGATCGAGCAAAATGTGAGAACATTGATGGCTCTTACGAATGCACTTGCGACCAGGGATACCGTTATGATGGGCAGAAATGTGTTGGTGCGTGGGATATAGCGTAAGACATTGGAGAAGTTTATTTTTCAGACAAAGATGAGTGCAGTGAGGGTTCGGTTTGCGGTGAAGGCGTTGGCGCGGAATGTGTGAACACCGAGGGCAGCTTTGTATGCAAATGTGGAGATGGATATCAAGGAAGTCCGTTCAGTGCCGATGGATGTCAAGGTAAATAAGCGTCAAATAGATGGCTTGAATCACTCATTTCCCTTAAAAGCTATATCAAAATTCCAAAACTTTAGATATGGATGAGTGCCAGCACGATGCATGTGGCGAACATGCCACCTGCACGAATACCAAGGGAGGATTTGAATGTGAATGTCATGAAGGCTTCGAACGATCTAATGATAATGCCTTCTGCACTGATATTGGTAGAAAAATCTCGTATTTTTCAGTAGATTAATTTTTAGATGAATGTTTGCAATCCCCATGCCATGCTGCTGCTCAGTGCACAAATTTGGCCGGCTCATTCACTTGTGATTGTATCGAAGGGTTTATTGGGGATGGAGTTGATTGCCATGGTATGTAATTCAAATAGTCAATTAATTCCTAATTATAGAAACCATCCTCTACCCGATTGCAAACGACTCCTTTGTCGTTCCGCGCGGAAACTCTTCGGCCAGCTTCTCCCTTTCTGCACCAGTGAAAGTCGGGGGTGAAGACTACCTCCACGTCAAGGTAGCTTGACTTATTGCCGTTCAAAGATCTTTTAGGTATCTCCACAAGGATACTTTTCCTTCACCAGACACCAATTTGGACATGAGGCAGAGGTAATCGGTTGCTCCGTAGATTTTTATAAAAAAACTTAGATTGATGGCCCGGCTATCTTTGTCTACAATTCTGACTTTGATTACAGCAGTGATGGACTGGTGGCTTTTACCCGAGTTAATGGTGGGTCTGAATGTATTTAATTTTTTCGCTAACTCAGTTGAATTTGAACTAAAAAATGGCTTTAGATTCTGATGAAGCTTCTCGCGCCCTTCTTCGTCGCGCCGCACTCTCTGCCTCCGCCCAATGGGGAATCGACGATTTCGAACCCACGCATCTCCAAATCATCACTTTCAGCCGGATGAGGAAAAGAAATTCCAACCAGGAAGAGCTGAATTCCTTCCAGGCATGCTAATCGACTCTTCAATAACGAATCATTTAGGCGGTTATTGCCAGCTCCCCGGCCATGACGCTTCTTACGCTACTTTATGAAAAGCTAACTTTATCCGGAGCAAAAACCGCGTTTGTCGTCAATGGAGAGACCTTTGAATTTGTGCCTGGTAACTTGAGGTTGGCATTTCCAAACCAGACATTTTAGACGCGCTCGTTACTCAATCGAATGTTGGACAACCTGGAAAATGGATGCTACGGATTGATACAGAAATGCCAGGGCAATGCCCGGCTGGAAGGAGGAGACCGCCACTCTGTGAAATGGGTAAGAATTTTAAGTCAATACTGAACCACTAGCAGTTTGGGGACTCGATACTACATTTGCTACATTTTCTAGATTGCGTCGCGGGACGCTGGGGTGAATCCTGCGGCCAACGATGTCATTGCGCTGGCGGTCTGCCATGTGACGTGATCAGTGGAATTTGCGTGAACGGCGCATGCGCCCCAGGTTATGAAGGTCCCAATTGCAATCAAGGTATTAAAATTTTTCTACCCTGAACGTGCATAGATATCAATGAATGCGCTACCGGTATCCTGAAATGTCAGCCGAATGCAAATTGCATCAACCATGTTGGTAGCGCCGAGTGCATCTGTGCCAAAGGTTTTGAGGGAAATGGAACACATTGTGAAGGTAAATTTAAAACAGTTTAAAACATCAAGTATTTATTTAACTTGAAAACTATACTGTTCAAAAAACTATTAATAATAATTTTAATAAATTAACCTATTAATTTTGGTTCGTTTTAGCGACTGGCCGATGTCTTTCCTACCATAATCGCCCCTGCTCTCACGACGCGACTTGTGTGGATGTCCATGCAGTTCCGGTATAGTTCTTTGAATTTTAGACTTCCCTAATCTCCCCAAGCAAACATCACGAAACGAATTTCAGGTCTGCCAATGTCGTCCCGGATTCCATGGGGATGGTTTTGTATGCGATAAGCTGACCAAAGACGCCGAAAAGCCGGTGGTACGTAAGATTCAAGGTGAGGGCTTACAATCCCGGCTCATCCGTAATCTCCACAGTCTCGTCGTCAAGCGAGGAATCCGAGGAGCGACCGTTTGTGATGAAGGAATGGGAACAAGCGACAGTTCCCACTCCAATTATCAAGCAAATACCGGTGGAATTGCCACCAGCAGTGGCAACAATTGTGACTGGAAAGAATGGTTTTGATAGAATCTTACTGTCAACATTATTTTTAGGAAAGAAAAAGCCGCTTCCGGCTTCTGCGGAAGAAGATTTGATTGATCGTAATCTGGTGCAAGTGCACGAGAAGTCCGAGGATATGGAAGGCGATCCTTCTGTCTGTAGGCTTTTTCGCTAATCCTTGTCGCTTCCGGTTGTAGTCTGTAGTTTATGTTCTACATTTGAACTAGAGAAGTTTGGACCTAATGCGAGTCCACAAATTTCAGGGATCTTCGTGGTGGCGCCGTGTGTTTTAGCCGGGGTGTGGATAATTCTAATCGCAGCCCTGATTGGGTTCTGCTACAAAGCACACATAATACAGAGGTAGGCGTTTCCGGGATTATCCCACTGAATTTCATAGGTTTTCGAGGCGGCCGACTCAGCGAGATGCTTGGAGGCCGTGTAGTCAGGTAATGAAAGCGACTTTTACGGAGTGAGCAAGAGAGAAAAAAAATGAAATATTTCGGAATCGCTAAATGATCGTAAATGAACTTTTCCATTGTGCCGTCGAGCCCGTAGCTATCGGGTCAATTTTTTGTGCAGTAAAACGTTTTAACGAATTTTTTTTTGTCCCTGGAAGTAATTATTATACTTTAGTTTTAGAGCTCTATTGATCAATATTTTTAAGATAGCGATACCTCGTGCTCAACTCTTTTCGAATAATCAAGTATTTTCAGCCAACTCGACGTACATCCCAAACAATCACCTACAACCATCGGGCATATCAAGGATACGTTTAAAAGATCAAAAACCATACCGCATATCTCACAATACTTTCTATTACCGGCAGGGTCACCAGTCTCAGAATTCGTGTATTGTCTTTCATTTCCCCCCACATCGCTCTCCTCGGCATTTAGCTGCGGCTCAATCTTGGCTCATATCAGAAACAAGTGCCTGTGATTTTTACGTGCAATCGGTGGTACATTTAGGTTGGAAAGATATATTGTATAAAGAATTATCTATAAAATTTAATTACACTAAAATGGAAGCTACAAACAATAGTTTGTTGATTGCGTCGAAGTTTTGGAGTTAATTTTTTTTAATTTTCGGCAGGAATATTGAATTTCCATATAGAATTCTTTTGCATAGGATTCAAGCATTTTCCGGGAAAACTTCCTAGGTAAATTTTGTTTTTAGGTAGTTCTGAATTCGACATTATGAAATGTTGAGATTATGACATTTCGACATTAAGTTTTTCGATCTTCAATGTAACCCGTGCGTTTGTGTTTTATGTATACTAGTAATGCCGTCAAAATCTCTCCAGCTGGGATCAAAATTACGAAAATATTCCCAATGGGCTTCGAGTCAGAGTTGCGACGTCGCTGTAGCTTAATCGAATCGCCAAATCAGGTCCTAAGTCCTGATTAATTCGTGTAGTGCGATTCCGGGCGCAGATGCCGAGTCCTTCAGGTCAAAATGACTCTCGTGGGGAACAAAATTTTCTGAAAATAACCTGGGAATGGGTGGGTTCATGTGAATAGGAGCTGTGTTTTAGTGGTACATGACAATACGTCGCACACTTCTTCTACCCCTTCTCGTTTCATTACAAAAAGCTTATAAACTATCGTTTTGAAATTTGAAATATAAATTTTTAACGAGCGCTAAATGCAAAAAAAAAAGACAAGATGGAGCTTTTGATTTTAAATTCGATAGAAAAATGAACGACGACGCTAAGTAGATTAAAATTAAAATTAAAATAATGAAGTTAAGTAAAGTTATAATTTAAAATTATGACAAGCAACCCCCACCATAACAGAACGGTAGTTGTTTTCACCCAACCCTCCCCCAATATTCCTCCCCAGCCCGAACCACCCCACAGGTTTTGCCAGGCTCCAAATTCCGAGGGCGCCCCAGATGCCGATTTTTTAGCTTACTTTTTGAGGGGTTATACTACAAACCTGATTCCCTGGGGAAAACAAATCAAAAAAAAAACGCGGTGGGCGGTTCGTGTGGATTTTGGAACCAGCTGAGCCATTTTGGTCACCACGGTGATGGGGGACCAAGGGGGGGACTTGTACGAGTTGGTCCGGATTGTGGCAAAATGGCTTGTTTTGCCTGAAGGGGCGTGGAGGCGGAGTGCTCAAAATCGTTTGGTCGAACATCTCATGTTCTTCTGGCCATCCAATCCCCGTTTTTTTGTAGAAATTCGGGGTTTGGATGTAGTGGTTATGGCCCTACCCCCGGCGTGCATACTGTAAACAATTATTGCATACGCCGGAAAGCGTGCGTGCCACCTAGGTTTTTTCCGGGGGAAATGATCATAGCGTAGAAATAGTGCTACAGGAAATGGCAGTCGTCTGTTGTCTCGGTTGCTCTAGCCTATCGTAAGCCCGCAGCATTTTTTATATAGGGATTTCTCAGCCATACGAGATCCAAAAAGGTCTTTGTAATTTTGTTTCTTTGGCGGGCCTGCTGTAAATAATTTTGAATTAGATAAACTTTCCGATATTTCCAAATAACTCCCATTTACAACAAAACCCCGTCCAAAGCATTCGCTACTCTTTTACACCGGAAATTAACAAGTTCTCTTTTTTTGGCTATCTTTTTTTTACCTCGGTTGCTAGACACTTGTTCGCATTTGCAAAAATGCAGGTTTTAGCTTCGTCAAAAGCTATGCTCGAAATTAACAACATCGCGAAGGATAAACCATCCCTCAAGACGCTACTTCTTTTCAAAGGTAAGCTGCTGTAAAGTACCATATCTATTAAAGACTTGCAGATAAAGCTCTGATCGCGGCTCGTATGATATTTGGTGGGGAGTTGCTGTTGTGGAAAGCATACGTGTGGACTGTCTACTACCACAATCGGCCCGGCTTTCAACCATTGTCTGAGGTATCGAATATCCCCTTATACGATCAATATATTTTAGATGGAGTACCGTCTCATGCTCCATCGCATCGTCTCTATTCCACAGATGATGCTAATCATAGAAGAGGACCCGGAACTACATGATATGTAAGATTTAGAAATTTATTAAATTCGCCTGATCGTCCTGAACTTGATTTTTAAAATCCTATCCTATAAGCGAGAAAAGTATGTCTGTTTTCTGTGCAGCCGATTTCTCGGCCGTCAGGCCGAATTTCAGGCTGATTTTTGGCATGGAGGTGTGTAATGTCATTTATGAGAAACGGTTTTTTGGATTTTCCGAAATTCCTTTATTTACCCATTTTACAAGCAAAAATGTGAAAAATCCTTAACAATCTCTCGAAAAATCGGTATGTTCAGAGGATATCTCGCGATACCGGCTCAGTTGGGCCTTGATTTTTGGAGGGTCGAAAGAAAATACAATTGTCCCGATACTATTTTTTGGCTTTGTAGAAATTCTTTAAAATAAGCCTTTTATGATTATTTTTAGAAAAATTCCTTAACAAATGCCTAGCGTACCGTGGTGTCCGGGCCTTAACTCGAAGCCCCGATGGAATTTCGGTGTGTAATTTAGACAACTAATGTATTCGATAGTGGGAATCACGCGCATCTTATTAGCTTTACAAATCTTCAGCGGATTCAGACCCAATGGGATTGCGTAAAGTGGCCTCCCACAGGTAGGATCGTTGGTCGCCCCATTGCCCCCTGCCCCCTCCGGCGCCCAGGACGCAAGAGGCCTTTCCCGCCGCCCGTTCCCATCTGCCCCGTGGTTTAGCCGGTTAGCGCGCGGTCTACCATGCGGCAATCCGTGAGTTCGGATCCCCGGCGAATTTAATTTTTTGCTTTTTGGTAGTTCAGCAACAAAACATATTTCTAGGCTCTCAGTGTGCGAGATTTGGGCGTAGCCCTCGCTCTAGCGCCGCAGGCCAAAGAAAATGTCCTTGGCCCGGGCTCTCGCGCCACAGGCCAATGATGGGTCCTTGATCTAGGCTCTTGCGCCGCAGGCCAAATCCGGGGGAAAACCAGTAACTAGCGCCGTAATCAAATAGATTCTAGCGCGAGGTTTAGGCCTGGCTCTTGCTTTAGCGCCGCAGGCCAAAGAAAAGGTCCTTGGACCAGGCTCTGGCGCCGCAGGCCAAAGATTGGGTCCTTGACTCAGGTTCTTGCGCCGCAGGCTAAAAAAAAAAGTAGGTATTCGAATTCATAGTTCCTGGACGGGGTCCAGTGAGAAAGGGCCGCGAAGCGGGCTTTTTCCACTGGTTTTCAAGAATATTTGCATCTGAAATCGTTGGTTTCTAGTCTTCCCCTACCACCGTTGCCTCCAAACTCGAACGACCACGCCAGGAAGCAGTGCGAGGAATGGATCCGGCGCGCCACCATCGAAACCAAGGAAAATTTACACGATTTGTGAATTGTTTTCGTGAGCAATTTGTTGTTTAATAGGCGCCTGTATAAACCTTTCAAGATCAGAAAGGGATGTCGAAATGGTCGCAGAATTTACAAATTCATATAATAGAGAGCTAGAATTTAATGCGAAAGGCAGTAATCTGACATTTAAAATTTTCCAGTCCAAACGCAAATGAGACTTAAATCAAAAACCAGAGGGAAAGAGGTAACAAAAATTGTTTACAAACCCTAAAGCGTACATTCTAGATAGTGCAAATTTCCAGATCGCATAAATAACATTGAAAAACATGGCGATCATGACCCAGCTCCAAGCCATGGATCGGTGATTTCTGCAAAGAAATCGGGTCATAAAGGTGTATGAAATAGAACAAATCTAAGCTTGCAAAAAATTATGTCCCAACAAGCACTCACTAGCTATTCTCTTTATATGTATTTGTTTTAATCATACAAAATTCCGAAAATTTATTCAATTTTCACCCGAAAATTGATAGAATACATGGAAACGAGGAGTAACACAAGTGTAAACCGGGAATTTAGATAAGGGCTAATGGAAATTTCGCAGCTCTTTTGGAAAGGAATGTGAATTCTCCAAATCTCGATCAATCCAGAAAATTGAAGGAAAACATTTAAAGCGCCATAAATTGCATAAGAACCGAGCTGAGATCGGTGTCGGAAGAAGTCGCGTGGGCATGTAGCGAGACTAGCTCATAAAGCGAAATTATCACGGAATATCAAAACGGAAAAATAGTGAAAATTCAATGTGTAATATGGCCGATGGTTAGGTACAAAGCGGATTTCGGGAAAACGGCTGCAAGATGGTTCGTAACTTTGAAAAAGCAGCCACAAAAAATCTAGTGTGATCTTGGAGATCAAGGGGTGTAACGGACCGAGGGAATAATTTTGAAAAACACGACAAACTGTGAAGAACAATTCAAATCAGACGTCAATTCGGCTTGTCTCGGCGACGGCAGTGAGATAGATGTTGAGCTTTTCCATGTAAGTGACAAAGAAGCGCACCATATTTGTGTTGATGATACGTTTTGGCAGTCCACCTAAATGGTTTCAAAATTTAGAATTACATGATTCTGAAATTTTGTAGCTTGAGAAAGTTTTGACTAGCTTTGCTTACCTTTGAGGTCACATTGCATCATCCACTCAATCTGGCAGTCATTTTCCCCTTGGGTAACACGAATCATCGAAGGACCGTTGGCAGCGCTAAAATGAATCGATTCTTCTCGTCGCACAGTACCCATAACACACTTTCCCACGTTCCGTTCCGCAAGAAAACCCTTACCCAACAATATTCCCAATCGTGCAGGGGTGTGTTCCGTTCGGCTGGATGACATCGGCACAATCGACGAAATAACCAGAGATCACCCCGGGTTCCCCGCGCACGATTCGACGAATATCGGCAAAAGCCCTGAAAATAAAAAAATTATACCTAAGCTTTATTATATTTAAATATATATATTTAAACCACCTTGATGCCACATAACCGCGCATTGCAGGAGCACTGGTTGAAAAGAACACTTCTGTATTCTCATCAAGGGATTGGATGGTCTAAAAAATTATATAAAGGCCTTGAAAATTCTGAAAACCTGCGCATTGAGAACCTGATCATTCCAGGCCGTAGTTTTCTTCCAGACAGCGTCAAAAACTTGTTCAGCCTTCGCGTTCGGAATGGTGGATGTTACGTAGAATGCATTTTCAGCGGATTGCAGGACCTAAAATCCATGATTTTGTCAAGAAAAAGTTGCTTACCTGGGGATCAGGCTTTCTTGCCACTCTCCATTGTCCCGATCTGGCATCCACCAAAAGTTTTCCGACAGTAAGCATACAACTATTCAGCCGCTAAAGAGATTTTACGATATCCTAAGGTTTGTTGCCCAAACCTGCTCCAAGTTCTTCCGAGTCTGGGGGTTGCGCACCATCGTTCCTTTCGGGATTCGGAAATATCCAGGTGCACTGTTTTGTTCTTCATCTAAAGTTATTTTTTTAGAAGAGTAGGAAAAGTCTAACCACTGGTGTAATCCACAGCGCTATGGAATTCATCGGCGGATGTGGTGGCGTACTGGGGACGTCGACGAATACCCTAAACATTGGAATTTAAGATATATCATTTGTTTGGCCTCTTAAGAGGCTAGATACCTACCGGCGGTCTTCCTGGTGTACTGGCACGTGAATGAGCAACAACTGACTCCTGATCAGACCCGTATTCACGCTCTCGAGCCAGAACTCGGAACGGCATTAGCCACAGCTCGAACCTAAAAACAACAATTTGAATTTATTACGATCGTGTTACTTCTTTAGCCTATTAATTATACAAAAATAAATTATGTGGCCTTATATTACTTTCCTGGTTGTTAATACACAAACATTAATTATCACTTACCATGAAATCAAAAACGAGCACAAAATAATTAAATATTGCGGCACACCGGCTTGCTCCTTCGAGAAAAAGAACAGAATCTAGAAAATAAATCAATAAATTAAACACAAATTCTTTAGGTACCTTAATAATTAAATAAATTGTCGTCGCAGATGTTGTGAAAGCGACTGGGATCCAGCTGTCCGAACGGCAAAGTGAATATACGGTAAGCAGGATCAAGAAACGAAGCAGTGCGACCTAGGGATTATGGATTTTTACATTTTTCGTTTTATTAGGGCCGATAGAAAAAATGTTTCTGTGTAACTCACCACTACCAAGTCAAAAAGGCTTTGCTTCAAAAATTCTGGGTTTAAGATGTTAATTTCTTGCAGGAAGGCTGCTTTCCAGTCATCAGATTTCGATACCTGGAAAGAGATTATATTTTTTTGTGGCTGACCCACCGTCCATAGTAGCCATAGGAGGGCAGTGAAGGTGAAGTCAAAGACGGAGATGACAACAAAACGTCGCCGGTCTTTGCCTAGAAGTTATTTTTTTGTTTGAGTTGAAACACAATCTTAAGGATATACTTTAATCAACTATGCATATTTATGAAAAATATCATGGGTGGAAAACACAGCTATTAAAGAGCGGTGATTGTAATTCCAATTACGTAATGAAACAATTATAATTTCAATTTCCTACCCCTTTAAAATAATGTATTTTTGGGATAAACAGCTGTATTCAGTGTTTCAATAGATTTTTAAGGAACTTAGGCGGGAAAATCGTTGAAATATGGCATTCAATTAGCATAAGCCGGACCATGGTTACACGTTTGTACGAGCTAAGTAAATCTGGGGTGCTTTTTCCCATACAGCTCCCTAATAACCTAAACCTTACCAATTCTGCGATCAACCGGTAATAGTGGCTCTTCAAGCATGCTGGTGCTAGAGCGGCTCATATTTGGTAGAGACTCCACCGAGCTGTTTGCTGCTTCGGGCATCTGCGATAAGGGCATGAAAACAGATGGCGAATTGGAGAGTCTGCCCAGGTGCGCGACGAAGTCTGTAGCCACCCCCCCTCTTCCCCTCTTTCCATCTCTCGCGCTCTCAATCCCACGGTGCTCTCTCCTCCCCCCGGGCTACACGACGCTCCAAAAAACGCGGCTCCCCCGCACTATCATATGAAATTTCGTGACAAATGAAAGTAGCCGAACACTGCATTGGGGGCTGGTTGTCATTAATGAATTTTTGATAATCATTGGATTGCAGTTAACTGATTGGGGCTGACCGCTTGCATCCTTCTGATATTATCGTTGGGATATTTTGTAAACCAATCGCGAATTTTGCTAGAGATTTGCAGACAAAATTTTTCGTTGCGCTGCGTTACATTTCGTTACTATAATTTCTATATAGAAATCTAAAGCAAATAACCTCTTGATTCACATAACTCGGTTCCAACTATTTTATTTAGAATCTTAAACTTCTCAAATTGTTGTGAAATTCTGATTTCAAATGCGATTCTGCTTTGCGCTGTTGACTATACATTTATTCACATTCTCAGAATGTCCGCGGTAAACGTTGTGGTCCGATGGGGGCGCGAGAAGTTCGAGCTGGAAGTTCACACTAGTGAACCGACCGAACTCTTCAAGGGACAGTTGTTTGCACTCACCGGAGTTCCGATCGAACGCCAAAAGATTATGATTCAGGTGAGTTATACAGAAAACTATACCTTTATATTCTACGATAATAAATAAGGTCCTGCTCTTTTGTAATTATATTGATCCTGAGTGGTTTTAAACGGTTTGGACTGCTGGAGGAAATACCGTATCTTTCAGGGCAAAACCGTGCAAGACTCATGGGACAACATCAAACTCAACCCCGGTGCTATGATGATGATGATGGGATCAGCCGACCCTGTACCACAAGCCCCAACCAAGGATACACCATTGGCCATGGACACCGACGCGCCAAAGGAGCTCTACCTACCTGTTGGACTAGAGAACTGCGGAAATTCATGCTATATGGCGGCCGTCTTTCAGACACTTCATGTAAGTTACAGAGGAAAAGATCTTAAAATATTTGTTTTCTGGCTACACGCAAAAATACTGATTTGCTTTTCAGACCTGCCCTGAATTCCAAGAAGCCTTGACGGCTTACAAGCTGCCAAGCGGAAGTCTCGATGATCCAAAAGATGGCTTGATCTATGCCCTACGTGCTGCATTCAAGAAGATTGGGAGGGCGGATGTTGGATTTTTGCCGACTGAACTGCTTCTGGACGTAGGTTTTTGGTAGAGACAGTTTTAACTTGTAATTATCGTGATTGGAACCCCATTTTACACCCCTCCTTTAGAAAGTTCAACTCTGCTTCCCGGATTTTGCCGAGAAATTGCCAAACGGCATGAACCAACAACAGGATGCAAATGAGTGCTTCACTGGGGTGATGAGGACCAGCTTTGATACCCTGGCTAGGCAAGAAGCTTGCAAACCAAGTAAGTGTTTTTCTCCCAAAAAAAATAAAACCTCGAATTTCCCGGAAACTTTTATCCGTTTAGAGGGTTCAAATGCTGCCATTGGTAAATTCTTCACCGGAAATTATGAGATCACCTACAAAAATACTGAGAATCCGGATGAGCAGCCGGAAGTGATTCACGAGGATTTCCTGCAGGTTTTTGGGTTTTTGGGGCCAATGACAAATTGCTTTGCAGCTCTCTTGCTACCTCTCCCAGGAAGTGCGCTATCTTTCCACCGGTCTCAGCCAGAACTTGAACCAAGAAGTCGTGAAGTTCAGTCGATCACTTGATAGGGATGCCAAGTATCAATCCCAGGTAAAATTAATAAACTCGTCTCGCCAACAAAAATCTAGACGCTCATCGATCGACTTCCGGCCTACCTTTCCATCCAAATCGTCCGCTTTTTCTTCAAGGAAAGCACAAAGGTAGGTTAAATCGTAAATCTTGTACGGACCTTTTTTAGACCTACCAAAAGATCCTGAAGGACGTGCAGTTCCCGTTCAAGCTGGATCTGCATCATCTCTGCACCGCACGGCTTCAAGAGTTGATGAAGCCGCATCGGGAGGAGTTCAAGAAGCAGGACGATGCAAAGCTGGAATATGATAGTCAGCACAAGATGGCGGTTGACAGCAATGAGAAAGCGGTGTGGCCTTAGCCCTTAATTTCTGTATATTTTTTATTTTAGCACCCGGGCGAGGCGTTGCCGTTTTCGTTTGAGAATGATCCGGGGAGCAACAACAGTGCCTACTATGAGCTGCAGGCTGTCATTACGCATAAGGGACGAGCAGCCAATAGTGGGCATTATGTGGCTTGGATTCGGCTTGAGGAGGAAAAGTAGGTTTCTAAAGTCATTAAAAAACAGACTTGTCGAATCAATTTTTGGTATTCTTTATAATGAATAGTAGAAGCTAAAGCAACGCAAAAAATAACTTATTTTACCTATTTTTTTTTAGGTGGGTAAAATGCGATGACGATGAGGTTACTCCGGTGCATATCGACGAGGTAACTTTTACACTTTTAATGGTCATATAATAATTATTTTATCTTTCCTTAGCAACATAAAAATACAAAAACGTCTTTTTAGGTAAAGAAACTGTCGGGTGGCGGCGACTGGCACACCGCCTACGTCTTGCTCTATGGACCCAAAATCTGCCGCAAATTTGACCACCTCATCAAAAAGTGATTCCCCCCACCCAAAATGTGTGCTCTTCCCAGTAACTTTATTTGTGATACGTCAACATGCCTACCCATCTAATGCTACGCGTAATACACAAATCGCCCCGATCCGTAGACATCTGGTTCTCTAATTGCTTTTCAATTTTAATTTATTGATTGTTAACTATCTGTACCCTGGTCATTGGAATAAAGCAAATTGCAAGCAGTAAATGGCATATTTATTAAATTTCTGTAGCCTAGTTTGGCATATTCTCGAGGCCGGGCAATGGGATACCAAAGAAGATAAAGTCGAAATAAAATATGTGCAAAAATTTGCGCATCATTTCCGGGCTTTCCAACAGCTCCTTTTTATATTGCTCTTTTAGATCATTATTTTTGGTAGCATGCGGAGATTTGTAGTTTAGCTCTTGCTCGATGTACGTCAGTTGTCTAAAGCTATTTTAAAGGCTAATTTTTTTTAACTTACTCTTGAGTAGCGTTTGCGTTCCGGATAACTCCTAAGAACTTTTCCACCATAATTTCCCTTCCTCGTTCGTCGTCTCCATACGGTATGATAGCATAATCTTGCATAGAAAATGGACAGTACCTAAACGAATTAAATAAGTTATACTCGTAATTCAGACCAGTTCTGCGGCAAGAAATGTTTTTGCTCATAATCAGGAGCCCAAGGGTGATGCGAAAAACGACGGCCTTTGATATAAAAATTGTCGATGAAACAGCTAAAAAGGTATAATTTAGAAACTAGCCAAACCTGAGGCTTCTATTACATTGATAGCAAATTTTTGGCGATTTTTCTTGCTCTCTAAAAAAGATTTTAGATTTTTAGTATGCATTTTACTAACTTCACACATTTGTCCATAAATCCCGATAAAAATCGTGTCAATGGATGTCTTATAACCGATGCCATGGAATAGTTCGCGGGGACCGTCTGATTTTTGTATTCCTCGTACTCGATGGAATAGCCGCAAAATCTGAAACACGAATTTAGAGTGCAGAATGATGCACTAAACCTGATAAACCAAGTGTCAGTATGGATGTTCCGTTTCTTTTCGATAAATTCCTGCGATCGATTTAAGTAGCACATTGTAGCCGTCATAAAGGTTGACATGACTTTTTCGATTTTGCAAAATGCTAATTTGTTGCCGTGGCTGACCTGAATTTTTTAAGGTCACGCTCGATACCGTAGTTAGCTTATTACCACCCATGTAGCCGTTTTGTCCACTAAAGGTGGTAAGCATGGTGATTCTTTATCCAGAGAACATTCTCTAGTCACTTCCAGAGAAACTCGGGCTAACATTGATAATGATGGGCCACCAATTCCAGTTGAAAATGCTAAAAATTGCTCGAATACTGTAGCCGATGCTTATCTTAATTACTTACATTGAATATAATCATCTGGTGAATAGAAACACACAAATATTAATAATGCCAATGTGAAGGCACACTAAACTTTGATACACTTCAAGTTATGGGCATACCAAAAAATTTCGGTTTGTTAGATTGAGGCTCATAGTGAGGGTTGTTGGAAACTATTTCCGGTGTGGCAAGCCGACGTGCTACAAGAGGGGGGTTCTCCTGGAATGCACCCGAAGAGTGTCGACAGATGCACAAATAAGAGGTCGTGGCTTGCCACCTATTCGGGCTCAACACCTTCAATCGACAGTGGTTAGTGAATCGATTTCGAAAGAACTCAGAAATAAGTAATAAACGGAAATATTTTAATTATTCATTTAATGGGTCTTTACTTATCGAAAGGCTTTAATTTCACAGGGTTAATTGTCCTATAAAAGCCCTAGAACGTATTCACCATTTAGCGGGGGGATTCATCCCCTGAGGGAGCTCGGATCATATTTTTTTATTAGTTTTATAGTTATCGATCAAAAATCTGAGTCTTTATTGAAACGATGCAATTCCAAGCTGTAGAATCAATCGTAATCATCGGGAATATTGAAGAATGTGCCGACGGTCGGGAAATAGATGGCCGAGAATCCATCAGTACCACCGACGCCCGCTGCAGGGACTCCCCAATGGGCACCCCAGGCAACCTAAATTATATGCAGCACTTTCAAGTAGAAACATTAAATCCATAGAATCCTAATTCCTGCTCCCCTCACCTGTCCATTCAACCAATCAGCCGTCACCGAACGTGGGTGGTAGTACCATTTGTTGGCATGGTCACGATTGTGGGGATTGTCCGGGTTGGGCTCCCACAAACCTAAATTAGCCTACTATAACTAGCTATGAAAAATATAACTTCAAAATCCCGTTTACATACCCGGCTTTGTGAACGGCGATCTACTCCTTGGTCTATGCAAAATTCCGTGTGGATCCGTGAATGCCCCGAAATTTTGGCTGAGGTTCGGATCACTAAAGACGCTGTCGGTCGCGACGATTGGGACTTGACTAAAATCAATATATATGTTTCCGCATCTCGACGAATAATCACCGCTTGTCGATGGGCCCAGGTCCGCCGCCTTCTACTTGGTCTCTAAATCCATAATCTGTATTTTAATCAGGTTATTTTTCATACTTTCCAAATTTAGCTTTTGGCACGTCGGCAGGTAGTGGGAGGACAGTTCCATTAATGACAACATATCTAAATTGAAATGAAAAAATGGTAATTGAGATCTTCAGTATTTCGAAGACGCCTACTAGGTCAATGAGATGAAAAATACAGTACTTTTCCTTTTGCTTCCAATGAACGAAACCATCATTTTTCTTCTTTTCTTTGATATTGGACCAAAACACAACGTCTTTTGGGAGGCTGCGCTTAGTTCTGAAGCAAGTAAGGCCTAAATCAGGGTACGATGAACCTCAGGCTCGTTTGGAGAAATCCTAGTCGGTAGCCAGAAGCGGGCCATGTGGTAGCATTGCTTGTAAAGCTTCGTAGATGGGGACTTCGAGGAAAATTACTTAAAAACAGTTTAGATAAAAAATGCAGCTTCACCGGTGAACAATTCCAATCAAAAGCGGTTCCGGTTCGGGTTCAGCTTCCAGTTGCGGTAATATAGTAGATAAAATAGATCGTCGCTTCCGGCTGGTCCTTTCAGTCCAGTGCCTCCACCAATGGGATTGTGGTTGGCTTACCTGAAGAATGCCAATTCCCGATTTACCGTTCTAATAGCAGAATCCGCTCTTCAGAAATATGTACCGGTATCTGTTCCCCACTCGGAGAAATTATATTAAAATTGGCTTTCGGCGGGAATTGGCCTGAAAAATTTTTCGTAGGTGACCCAGAAATACACATACCAACAGTCTTGCCTTTTTCGGCTTTACTGTAGATGAATTGCGACGCATAGTGGTAGCGCTCGTATTTAGGGCACCCGTTATACCATAGCCTGTCAAATATTGAAAACATCGTGGAAACCATAGAAAAATCAACCTGCAAGTGTTCAAGAAAAACGGTAACGGTGGCGGGTTGCAAAATTTTTGCACGTAAGGGTATAGGTAATCGCATTTACAGTCCGCAGTGCAATGCGGGAAGAATTTCTTAAAAAATGTTATGAAGTAAATTCGAAATTTTGCCTGATCGCAATCCGGAGTGCATGGTCGTTTTCTTAATTTGCCGGCTTTCGGCTTGAGATGGCTTGTTTTTCGGGGTGCACCACCATCAAGGGTCTAATGCAAATTTCCATGTAAGTCTTAAATGTAAATTACTGGATTGTCGAAATCCGGGAAGTTTGGATCTGGTTCCGACTTTTCCGCAGGTTTTGGTTTGCCCTTATCTTCACTAAACGGGTTTGGCGGCTGCTTTTCACTAAAATCAAGCAAAAAATGAGTTTGATACGCTGCTTACCGAACTTGTTCTAGACAACCTTTTCTATAGCTTGGGCAAAATTTGGAAGAGATTTCGGTATCGGTTTGCTCGCCCTAAAACAGTTTTGCCAAAACTTATTCACCACCTTGCAGTAATATTCATAGTTCACCGAAAATTTCTGGCAATAGTCGTCTCTCGTACCTTTATAAAGATATAAATGATCCTGAAAAGTTATCAAATTCCGTTGTTGTTGTACCTTTTCCGACTTTTCCCCCAAAAATTCCGGGTTGTTCTTCTTGCTGAAATAGCAACTTCCAAAAATGTTTATTTCACGGCAATTCGACTATTATACTTTTGGAGATCAAAATGAAGGGAAATAAATATACAGATAGACATGCAAAGGCATAGAAATCTAACGAAAGAATGTAACTATACAAACAGCACACTTTCTCACGTCTCCACTTTGTCAGGGCAATGCTTTTCGTAGGATTTGCAGAAGCCTTGTTGCGGGTTTTCAGGGTCTTCTCCAGCGCAATAATAATTGTAATTTTCACTGTATTTCTCGCAGTATGCGTCAATCTAAAATTTTTTGCTGATTATATGTTTTTAAATTTTACCTCCATATTTCTTTTAGGTTTTTCAGTAGTGGTTGACTGCTTGCTAGTATGCAAAGTTTCAAGTGATTTGAGGTCATCATCATTGAGATCTTCTAGGCTAAAAAACAGATTTATTTGAGTTGGTGCTAGGATAAAATACCTTAGATCAGGTTCGGGCTCTTCTTCCTCCTTACTTTCTTCTTGTTCGTCTTCTTTCTCTCGATCTGCATGCTTCATTTGAATGAATCCCATTTTATCAGCTTTAGACGCTCTTTTCGGTTCACCATCCGTATGAGAATCCTAAATTGAGTTCAAAAGTGGTTTTGTAATAAACATACGGTCTGGATGCCCTCACAAGTTGTTGCGTAGTTTGTACAAAAATCGATGGTATCCTAGAAGCATTCTTGAATAAAAGCTATCGGTCAAACCTTTTGTGTCTTTAATATTCCTCCTCGACAAATTCTGTCGAATGAGGGTCCAAACTGTTTACAGTAATCCTTGGCTTCAGCCGCACTGACTGATCCTCCCTTTTGTTCTTCCGTTTGGAAGCCAACGACTCCAAGGGAAGCTTTATCCTTCGGATCACTAAATTTAAAAGTTAATAGTAAATACAACCACAACCTACCTTTCAATCAACGTATCGTCTTTTCCGGTCAAACCTCTAAAATGCACAAGTTTAATTTTCACCGTCGATAAGTCCTACCCCTCCTCCAGACAATTCGACGCGTAAGTTTTACAGAAGTGCGGCAAAAATCCTTCCAAGGACTTCGCTTTTGTCTTCGGAAAAATACAACTACTTAAAAATATAGCTGCCTGCAACCAACCCTGCAATATCCATCATAGTTCTTCTCATATTTTCTGCAATAACTTGTGGCAGTATCGCGTCCACGCGATCCACCTTCCGCAGATTCGTTCAAGCCATCAGTCTCGGGCTGCAAGTCGAAACGTAGTTCTAAGATTTTGCAATTATAATACCTCATCTCTCCGTTGTGTTTCCAGCCAATCCCTCAGCAATCGTAGATTGGTCTCGGACTTAAAAAAACAATTATAAAACATAAATAAAATGACGTGGAGCACGAGGCCTCTCCCTTTTTACTTGTTTAGCATCTTTCTGGTCAATTCCGTTCCCGGTTCTCCCAAACGTGGTCCCTGCACTGATCGCCCACTCGGGCTTTCTTCCCTTTTCGGTGTTTTTTTGGGTGCTGTTTGTTTCGATTTGATCATCAGAGATTGCTAGAGGTTTGAGGACAGGCTCCTGGGAACGGGTTTCGAGAGCAAAAAATATCGAGGCTTAGGGGTTTTTCATTGGTGAAAAAGCATCAAAGAGATGTTTGGCAAAAATGAGTGCGACTAAGGAAATACGTAAGTATACGTAACTTCTAGAAGCTAATTGGAGAGCGGAAAGCGGAAAAAGAGCTGCTGCGGCGATTATAATTACCTTGGTACTGCCTTCATTGACAGCGTCTGTGACCGGCGGATCATCAGAATCACAAAAACCTCTTCCGTTCAGGCCCGCACAACGACATTTAAAACCTAAATTACATAATTTATAAAAATTTCGTTTCACTTTTACTCTAAAGCTGCATAATCGCCAGATTTGGACGCTCTAAGCTCTAATATCTTGCTATTAGAACGCTTATAGCCAATTATTAGAATTTATGACAGTGTTTTTATGCACATCTTGAACTGCTCCTGATACCGACTTAGAACTGACCGGAAACATGAAGCAAAAATATGAGGAGCCACAAGGGCCTCATAGTCCCATCAAAGACCGTGTTCTCTGGTAGATGAATACGTGGCGGTGAATGCGGGAAATGCGGGTGGAGAACGTTCTTTTCCCATAAACAACATGCGCACCCACTGTTCCACCCCTGCTGTGAAAATGATGCGGCCTGCTGCCGGGGGTATCTGTTTGGTACAATTCTGAAAATTATTAGGCGTTGGCAATTCGTTGGAAAACGTAAATTTGAAAAAAAAACAGAAACAAAAAACACTGATAGTCAGCACATTGGTTAAAAAACGCAAAATAACCCTAAACAACTGAAAAATGACATGAAAATTGGCTGGTTCTGCCAACGAATCGATTAACCAATTCTCGAAATAGGTAGGGGTACGTTCTAGAATTTCCCTTGAATCGTAAATCAACAAAGTGCACCCCCACCCCAATCCTATAATTACGTAATGAGACCATAATACAACCCAAATCCACCCCAAAAAAAGTCAGACATCGTGATTAACCAATAAACCGGAAATTTCCGAGGTTGTTTTCAACTCCCCCCGGTAGTGTTGGGCAATTTGCCCGGTCCGGTTTTGGCCCGAAATTCGGGTATGAAACCGGGCCGCCCGAAAACCGGGCCGAGCCTCTCGGCCCGAAAACCGGGCCGCCCGAAATTCGGGCCGACCCCCTCGGCCCGAAAACCGGGCCGCCCGAAAACCGGGCCGTCCCCTTCGGCCCGAAAACCGGGCCGCCCGAAATTCGGGCCGACCCCCTCGGCCCGAAAACCGGGCCGCCCGAAAACCGGGCCGTCCCCTTCGGCCCGAAAACCGGGCCGCCCGAATTTCGGGCCGACGCTCGCGGCCCGAAAACCGGGTCAACCCGGTTTTACTATGAAAGTTAAAATGAACATCATTTTCGAGCAGTTCGCACAACTCGGCGCCAAACCGCTCGCAACTCATTTGGGGGTCGTTTGGTAGCATTCCTTCGAGGTTGTTGAACACGGCGGACGATTTCGAGACGTTTTTTTCTAACCGCGCTAGCAGGCTGGGCAAAGCTGGTAAAGAGCTGAAACTCGTGGGGCAGATAGAACTTTTCGCGCTCTTTCGACTGATGTCCTTCTCGATCCAGGAGTCCCAGTGCCGATCGAGATATGATGGTTTTAGTGCGGCGACAACTTCGACAGGTACACCTTTCGGCACTAAAACGCTCCCCTCTCTGTCCCCCGACGGTGTTGGAGAACGGCAAGTATACCGTTGGAAAGAGCGTTCAAAATGCTACCTTCTCAACGGCTTGAAGCAATTCTATCAAGCTTCTTTACGCTGCTAGAGCGGTTAGAAAAAAAGTCTCGAAATCGTCCGCCGTGTTCAACAACCTCGAAGGAATGCTACCAAACGACCCCCAAATGAGTTTCGAGCGGTTTGGCGCCGAGTTGTGCGAACTGCTCGAAAATGATGTTCATTTTAACTTTCATAGTAAAACCGGGTTGACCCGGTTTTCGGGCCGCGGGCGTCGGCCCGAAATTCGGGCGGCCCGGTTTTCGGGCCGAGAAGGTCGGCCCGGTTTTCGGGCGGCCCGGTTTTCGGGCCGAGGGGGACGGCCCGAATTTCGGGCGGCCCGGTTTTCGGGCCGAAGGGGACGGCCCGAATTTCGGGCGGCCCGGTTTTCGGGCCGAGGGGGTCGGCCCGAATTTCGGGCGGCCCGGTTTTCGGGCCGAGAGGCTCGGCCCGGTTTTCGGGCGGCCCGAAAACCGGGTATACCCGAATTTCGGGCGGCCCGAAAACCGGACCGGGCAAATTGCCCAACACTACCCCCCGGTACATCTCTCTCAAATTTGATCTTATGTCCATCACTTTTCCAAATCCACAATGTTCTTATCTTCACTAGACACACAGCAATCTTTATTTCCAAAAAAATGAAAACCAAAATAAATCACCAATAAATGAGGGGAGAAAAAATGATCACTAATTTTCATTAAAGTATTCAGATATCGCATTGGTAGATTTGGGGGGTGAGAGATCGATTGAGAAACTATATTCCACTAGTTTAAGGTGTCGGGGGAAACCATTTGAACTGATCCAGACAATTGTTGCGAATTTTCTATGTCTTACAAATCGATTGGTGGCTTCTGGAAAAGTCGCAAACAATTGAAATACGGGGGAAATTTTGAAAGCAGAAGGGAACCGGAGAATGAGCTCTAGAGTATCAATATCGAGGTTTCGAGAACGTGGAAAATTAACAATAAATTCGGAAAAGTGAGGATTGTTGAGTACAGCATTCGGGGTTTTGGCAACCACTTCATATTTGCACGACAAAGAAAAAGTGGATGAAATTTTCACGCTTTTTTATTTTTTTTTCTTTGCCGCCTATATATTACCTTTGACAGACTCAAACCAGAGTAAATAAAGACAAATCTTGTTCCTTTTGGCACTAGGCAGTTTTGTTGCTAATAAGGTAGACGCGCGAGAAGTTTTGCATTGATCACATTTCTGGGGGGCAAATCGATGAAATTGAAGTTGAGAAGGGGGGGAAAAGTGAAGTGACAAAATTGAGAAAAAGGAGTAGGGACCTGGAGGGGTTTCTTTTGGATTATGACAAATCAAGGTGGGGTAGCTGCAAATATCAGGAGGGGATCTGAAACGGGGAAATGGCTAAACGATTTGCTTAAAACTCTAACTTTTGATTCACGGGTAGAGGGAAGCGTACACAGTGAGCAGTGGGATACTATAGCCGGGAGGGATAGGGGTAGGCACAATTAGTTTTGAGGAACAACTTAGATATAGCGAAATGGCTATCCAAAGATTTTGAGTCGACATTACCGTGATTCATCGCTTATCTGCTTTTTAAAAGGTTCGATTCAAAATCCCTTTCTACAAACGATATTTTTCCTGACCTGCGCATGGGTACTATTCTAGATAGCCAACAAAAAAGTTGTCAGATGAAGCAGCTTCAGATGCTGAGCTCCCCAGATGCATCCGGATTGAAGAATTGTAAAGAGTCCATGTAGCTAAAAACATTGAGTTGAGTAGGTATAGAGTAATGTACCCTTCGCTTTGCAAAAATTCTCCAATGTCGTCCCAGTCGCCTTCGTCAACAGTGGAAGTACATGGCATACTTGGGTCCGTATCGGAGAGGATATCCAAATCCATTAACGACATTGATGACATTGTCGATGTTTCTCGTTCAGGCTCTGGGAAACCATCTAGAAAATTAAGTTAAGGTTGTAAAGAATATTTCACGATCTTTGAAATGTTTATTCGCCAATTTTTGCGACTCACCTTTTTTATGATATCGACAGTATCCTTCATCCAACATTTGCTCAATTGCCATAACTGGGCGACCACACCCACTATGCTGGCAGTAACTGAACAACTTCTGGGAGACGTTGTACAGGATGTGCTCGGCGCAGTGGTTGGACATCGGCAGGCATGGTAGCATACAGCGCTCGCCACCAGGATCCGCTTTTGTACAGGTTCGGACCCCAAGTGAGGCTGGCTCTTCGACCTTTTTGGCGTTTGGGGGCTTCTTCTCTCGATGCCTAAAGATTTGATTTACGTTAATTATGATTCCTATATAGCATTAACATACGGTACTTACTTTAAAGCTGCTCCAGCTGCCGTGGGACACCTTTTTGCAGCTGCCAACAACGCCCCATTCAAATCGGTCTTTTTGATGAGTGAGATCTTGTCGAGTTGCAATTGTTTCTTCGTTAGGTAAAGTTCGGTTGAGATCTGGTCATCATCGGTGGCGAAAAAGGAGACCTGCTCCGAGTCGTAACCCGCCGAAAAATCTTCCGACTCATCTTCCGAGCTCTCCAGCCCTGAAAAAATTTATCGGTTACATTTATTAGGCTTAACAAACTTACCAAGAGGAAAGAGATCGGTGTTATCAAAGTCAGCATCCTCCATTTGTTTGCACATATGTTCTACGACAGCCACTTGCATGTATTCACCGGTCGGCGCGGGACGTTTTCGCTTTTGTCGAAGGATAATTTTTGTGCGGTCGTTCTGGAAAGGAAAGACTTAGTTTGGAGCTGATTCTTTAGTACAAAGGATTGACAAGCGGATTGACTCGACTTACATTCTCCGGTTCTGGTGATGGGGTCCGGATTTGGGGAGCCATGGCCGGAAGTGGTGTTCGTCGCGCGATGTCTAGCCGGAACTGCTCATGTACCAGCTGAAATGGTTATTGAGGGGTTGCTAATAATGATTAGGAAATATAACTTAGTTGTATTGTTTTAGAAACCTACTGGATGTAATGGTTGCGGTTGTCGTTGTAGATGTTGACCATTCTGCTGGATGTTTTGCTGGTTTTGCTGTTGAATTTGGACCTGTTGCCCATTACGCATCTGGAGTTGTTGACCATTCTGCTGTATCATCTGAGGAGGTTGGGGTTGTTGTGAGGTAGATGGCTGGGGTTGCTGCATAGGTTGCTGCGCTGGCGATGGGATCGGCTGTTGAGAGTGCTGTTGAGGTTGAGGAGGTTGTTGTTGCATGACGTGCTGTTGTTGTGGTTTTTGCTGAAGATGTTGCTGTTGTTGTTGTTGATGTTGCTGCAGCTGCCGTTGGTTGGGTTGGCCATTTTGAGGTGCGGGAGACTGCATCTGGGGCTGAGATCCTTGGCGGGCAAGTTGAGGCTGGGGTTGTTGGTATTCCGGGGGGCTCGGCTCCATGAGCCTTGCAGCGAGTTGGGGATGCTGCCGTGCGATTTGTCCTGGCTGCTGTAAAAAAATGGTTTAACGTATGAACCCTACTTTTTGCGAGCGACAATTTTGCATAAACACTTACCGCTGGCCGTTGACCATTCTGCTGTTTCTGCGGGATGTTCTGCTGCATCGTCTGAGGTTGGGTCTGTTGAGGTTGGATGACTTGTCCTTGGACGACGACTGGTGCGGGGGCGGTTGGCGGTGGGAGCATTTGGACTTGCGCATGTTGCTGCCCAGGTAGATGCTGGATGATGGGGGGTTGGACGAAGTTTTGTTGGCTGTTCTTCCGATTCTGCTCAAGTGGTGAATGTTGAGGGAGTGGTTGCGCTGAAAATTGTAGGTAAATCAAGTGAATCCAATGTGGGATACTTACCTTGCTGTTGGGCCTGGTGGGTCATTTGCTGTTGGAAGTGCTGCTGCTGTTGTTGTTGCTGTTGTTGTTGTTGTTGTTGTTGTTGGTGTTGCTGCTGCTGATGTTGTTGCTGGGCCATCATTTGTTGCATATGGCCCTGTGGATTTTGCTGATGGCTAGGCTGCTGGATGGCAATGTGTTGAATTGATGCAGCCAATGGTGGCAACGGCCTCGTTTCAATCATAGCATTCGGAAGAGCTCTTGTTTCTATCGTATGCGTAGGGGCGGGCTAAAACAAGCATTTAGTTCATTACATATCAAAATTAATGTTAGTGGATGTATCTAAGCACTTACAGCTTTAGGGGCTGGTCCAGGATGAGCACCGGGTTGTGCACTTGGAAGGGTGAAGGGCTGATTTGGGAGATTTTGACCTAGAAATATTGTTAAAAATCTTAAATGCAAAATCGATTCATACAAAAACAAAAATTGATTTTTACTTACTCGGATGCGGCAGCTGTCGATAGGGGATTTGATGGTGTTGTTGTGGATGGGGTATCCGATCCCCATACGGCATCTGATTAGGCATCGAAGCTGACGGCGGTGGCTGAAATTTCGGTATTATCGTTGATTCATGTTATTAAGCACACCTGCATTGTAGGGAGTGGTGAACGGATCATCCTTGAGTTCATATGACCATCGTGCATCATCGCCTAAATTTGAAATTTGCATTTTGAGTCATGTCAATAGTTTTTCGGTAGCGAGCGGTAGCTTACGGTTTCACCATTAACACACCGTTACAGAGGGTCAAAACAAAAACCATCTTTGGGTGAGGTACAGACAGGTACGGTACCGTATTATAATCCTGTCGCATTCCATGGTAGTCGACCGGGCTGCCGGGGAAGTTGTGGGGTGGCAGCATCTCCGGGCGTCTTTGACCAAGGTACTGAACAAGACAAAACGACTAGAGGGACAATACAGTAGGATAATGAGTTTTTCTATTGATCACAGTAGGATTTCAGTAAATTACGATACACTTTACGACACCATGACAATTGCCATCATAAAGCTTGTAACTTAGTTCTAATAGTAAGTGCTTTTTAGTCATCTGGAAAAATTCGCACAACATAATAACTATTTGTATATAGAATTCATTTTGAAGGGTGTTAAGTTGTTCATTTTTCAAAACAGATAATCAGAGATATGTCTAGCGGTTTCCCGAATCACCCCAGAAAGCACCCCAGGAAGCGCTGAGCTGACTATAGTTAAAAATTTCAGGTATTTTATAACCAACCATCATATGCTGGTTGGTGGGTTGACCATGGCTGTTGATGTGTGGAGATGGTGGGGCTGTAGATGGATGGGAAGACAATGGAGACGTTAATGGTAGTGAGGGCGGTGGAGCCGAACCAGGGCCTCCCATTCCCATCATTTGGGTTTGGGGTGAGAACGGGCCAGCCGTTTCCACTGACGGTACACCTGAAATAGATAATTTAATAAAAAAGCTAAATTTTGGTTAGGTATTTAGACAGCTTTTGCAGCACTAGAGAAACCGCCTCAATTACTTACAGGGTCTAATTCGATTTTTCCATTGAAGCCTAGGCCTGCCAACTTTCTTTGGCGGCATTAAAGTGCGGATGCTATCAGCCGGAATGTATAAAAGAGCGGGATGGCACAAAAATGAACTACGGGGTGTTCCATTACACTGACCGATGGTCATATTGCAGATCTGATCGGAAGATTATCGGGGTATTCCTATGGGTCTGTATCGCAATATCAAATATTGCTTTCAACGTACACAAAAGACACCTTGGCTTTTTTGGGTGTAACATTTACATTTAAAAATATATTAATTTCGCGAGAATTACCTGAATGTGGCTGCGACCCTCCATTCAATGAATTTCCCTGAGAACCGGCCGGCGCGGGCTTCTTCTTCGGTTCCTGAATAATTAAAGTTACTCCTTATCCTCTTATCATTAAACCAACCTTCATGCCATGCATTATCAAATGAATACTACAGTAACTGGGACCATTCTTCTTGACCGCATTTGTACATTGGGCCATTGGTTCGCTTTTTTCTAAAAAAATTTGGAATTAATTTTTAGATTTCGAACACATACTTTTCGGTTTCCTTTGATGCATACATTGATGGTATGGGGCTGCGGGGTCGAGCAAAATATGCCGAATGCAATATTCAAATCCAATAATTGCCCGTTGTTTACACTAAATAATGAATTGTTTCGAAGACTGCAAGAATTTCACCTTGTTTCCCGCCAGATCGAGCGATTCACAGATTTTTGACATTGGATGTTTTTCCCGTTTTGGTTTGGCCGGTGGGGGATGATGTTCTAAAATATAGAATATTTTTGCAAATGGACGTATTAAAACGTACCTCGGTGTCCATTGATGGGTTTTTCGATTTTTGGCGGTGCCGGACCCTGAAATTAAAAGTTGGTCAACTCAAAATTTTTGTGAGCCGTTGGGTCAGGACACTAACCTCAATGGCCTCAATTTGTTCCCCGGCTGCTTTTAAAACCTGCATCACACGTCGATCAGGCGAAAGAAGATCTCTAGAAAATTATAGGTTATTTTGTTATTTTACATTGCGCAAAATCAAAAAATAAATTTTGTTTTTAAAATCACCACCCACCTCATTTCTCCTTCAGCCTCATCCGTCTCTTTTTCCTTCTGCGGTTGTTCGATAGCATCTCCATTCGTTTCGCTCATCACTTACATATCTTTTTGCGTTCTTTTATAATTGGCCCTCGGGTTTGACTGTCTAGCTACGTCCTGAAAGAAATGGCAAATGAAAGAAAGAACTTTCAAAAGAAAATTGTCTGGAGAAAGCCAGTGAGAAGCTGTTAAGTGAAGCAATTTTAAATTTCAAAAGATTGTAAAATAGCTTGTAAATTATTTTGAAACAATTATGAAACGTTTACGCAGAAAACAAGAATTTTCGTTTTATTGGGTGTTCACTAATAATTTTTAAGTCAGAAATCACCATGGTAAAAATGACATATGCAATGCCCAGAATGATATATCAAAAACGCCGACGGTTGGTCGTGGAAGTGGGAAATGACTGATAAGGAGGAAACCCCTCTCTTTCTGATTCTGGGGACCCCCAAGAAAGGAGGACTGGGATGTTTTGTTGACAAAAAACTGTGATAATAAGTTGCGGAATGGATGCATTTATATAGGATAGAAATCAGCAAGGGTTCCATAAAAAGTTGGGGTATTTAGGGGTTAAGAGAAATATGCAGTTGTGCAGAGGAAGGGAAATATTAGTGCAAGATATCGCAAATAAAACATGGAACTTCGAAAGGATTGAAATTTTTAAAGTTTATTTTGAAGGCAACTTAGTTCTTTAGCTCTGAGATAATGACTAGCTGAAATTGCTACGCTGAATGTGTCTTGCTTTGCATCTTAGACGGAATAAAACCAGTCAATGAAGATAGTTAATCGAAAATTTAGGTTTGAAATGGCATCTTATCACCAACACCCATCCTCCCGTAAATCTGTAAGTAACAGAACGAAATTTCTCTAGTTCCAGCCAAACCCCAAACCCCCTGTATCATTGGCCAACCAATGGCTTTTCCCCTTACATATCGGCTTTGGGCGGCATGCCAAAAGAAATTCGGATAGGATTCTGGGACCGATTTGGCGGCGTAGTTTGTAGCCGAATACCCGAATGCTGGGGCTTGGCCCGCCTAGCACGCTTTAGGCAGCGTGCCAATGGGTCCCAGCCGTAGTCGAATTAAGTTTGAGATTTTTTTAATAAAGCAAAAGATTTGGGTAATGATAAGGAAATTGAGGTTAATGTAGAAAACAACGATTACGAGAACTTAACCCGCTAAAAAGTTAATTTTTTTATTTTTAACTAAACTAAGGTATGCTCGCTGAAAAGATCAAGATATTATAAGCAATGATGTTATTTTGCTTGAAATTCCGCAAAGCTGAAAATAAAAATCACCATCTTGAAAGCCAATCCCCCTAAAGATTGCCCGGTCAACACCACAACGGACATCTCTCTTGGAAAATCCTAATCCGATGCTTATATTTTTGCGAGAAAGGATGCCCAGCAGGGCGGGATGATATTTTGGAATTTAGAAAATTAGGGGCTCGAATGGTGCGGACCGCAGGGATGATGACATTCGAAAATCTCGGGTCTCGAGATTACGTAATCGGTTTGGGGGAAGCGAGCGCATACATTAACGAAAAGTACACAAAGGAAAATCAAAATGAAGACATTAATGTCAAAATTTATGCGTGTACGATAGTGTACGACTTGCTAATTTTTGGCATAATGCTTTAATCAAGTGCTATTAAAAATTATTCCCGACCAAGAACTAGCATTCTAATTGGCATCCAATAAATCCAAATCACCACTGCTCACCTGACTTTCACCCGCATGACTAGAACCAAAGAAAAAGGATGAAATCGTATCTTTTGTAGTCATTTCGGAGTAATCCCGGTACTACAAAAAATTATGTTCCGGTGCCGATTTCTAACAGTCATTCCAATTTGCCCTTTGATTCCTTGCTTTGCAATATAGAAAAATGTGTAGAACCGAAAATTGCCAAAAACCGTTTTGCTTCTTCGAGTGAATGCCCGATAAAAGGTCAAAAAGCACTAAAGCAAACCGGAAAGCGAAAAGCCAATTTGACAAACTCAAAGCAATCCTGTCGAGTCAGACATTTCCTTTTTGGAATGTTATTAACCCCTTAGAAGGGCGCAATGATGCGTCATCACTCACATAAAACCCAGCCAAAATTTCCGAGAGGCCGCCAGATGGCTGAGCGAACTTTTTCGAAAAATGTTGTCTGCTTCGGAAAGGAATTGCGAAATTCGATTTGACGAATGCTTTTTTGCGAGGGCCATAATTTGGGGTAAATTGGTGCTTGTTTAAGGTTTCATAGATTGATAAGGAAAGATCAAGAAACGCATTATTTGTGGAATAAAAAGCAGGCGTCAGACTTTAAAGTAAAGTAAATTAAAGTTCAGTGTTAATATCCAAATATCCTTTTTGCACCTTCTAGGAGAAAATTTTGTGGGTTTGCAAACACAAAATGCGTACCCCTCCCCCCATCCGAAAGCTTCAAATCTGGTGGGAAAGCAAGTAAAATGTGAACATGGAATTGCTAGGGCACCTGTGTACCAGATGTGGCAAAAGACGATTTCCAAGCCGGGCGCCTTGACCTTGAAGGACACTTTTCATGTCATGGACCTGTCCCAGACTTTTTGCCGCTCGTCAACTGCCAAATAAAATTGGGCTTGTAAATGTGGTCACAGGAATGCTGCTAAATTTTGTTATAATTTGGATTTTCATGGAAATTTTCGAAAAATACTTACGAAAATCACATTTTTGTAAATAACTTTTACTTATAGCGAATTTTTCAAAACCCTTTTTTCCCGGGAGCCAGTAAAGCCACATTTTTACATTTTCTTTTGCAAATTCTGATTTTTGAAAAATGGCTTTTCGACAATGGGACACGAAAAAACCGTTTTCAAACCAAAAACGTGGTTTTCCGAAAGCCGATTTTCAAAAAATGATCTCCACTGTTTTTGCAAACCTGTGAGACTTCTGAATAAGAAAATATAGCAGGATATATAATTCTTAACAAAATAGAAATTTTTACGTGCACAAAATTTAAGGGCGGTGAATGAAATTCAGGGTGCCGTCGGCTGGCGGGGGACATGCTCCGTAACTGAATAATAAACATCTACTGGGGTTGGGTGGGGCGTCCCACTTTTGGCGTTGCCTTTATGCCCCTCGGAATTGCATATGTGCATCAAATGGGGGTGTGCTGTTGCTATTTTTGAGAGACTTTAGGCCTCCGAAAAAAAACGAAATGTGGGCTTCACGGGCCTGTGTTGTTTGCAATTCTTCGCCTAATCCTACTAACTATTAAAAAAGATGGCGCAAGATAAACTGTAGGTACATTCAATTTTTTAAAGAGGTATTTTCGACCCCAATTTTGGTCTTTAAGACTTCGGCTTTCCATGGTCTTGGTTAGAAAACGATTAGCATACGCTGAAATTGGAGGAAGCTTACCTACTTAACCTATCTGATCCAGTGCCTTAATTTTTCTAAAAATTCGATTTCGAAGGCTTTTCTCTTAAGATCAGGCTAATTTGAGAATCCACCGGCAGCGTTCTAGCTTAAAAAAAGCTCCAAGAAGCGCTTGCAAAAAATTTAGGGCCGACAAAACCGAAATTTTTTTGCGAAAAATGAACTCGGACCTCCGGGATACTAGAAATATTTTTTGATCCGCATCCCCAACCCAAAACCTTATTTTCGTATGCTAATTTTGGAATTAATCCCACAAATATTATTACGGATACGAGATACAACAATAATGACGTCCGGGCCGTCTACCTTCGAAACTACGGGTGTCCCCGAATGCGTTGCTAATTGCCTAGCAAGGGTTGGGCACACAGCCATAGGGGCTCGGGGCGGTGTACGTCGAGGCCAATCAAGCCTTCCGTCGGGCCATCCGTCCCACCCTTCGCCGCCTCTTTTACTCTCCTATATATGCTTGATCGTCAATTGTAAAGTGTTGGCCGGCGGCGACGTAGCAACAAATTAGGGCTTGGAGCGCTACCTGCCGTCCCTCTTCCACGGCCATAATCTCATGGCTCCCAGAACCATAACTGCGGAGTTGGAAAGAGAGAGAGAGAGAGAGAGAGAGAGAGAGAGAGGCCGATTGCAATTACTTGCAAGCGCAGCTTGAGCGCAGGTGCTCCAAATCAGTCGCCGACTGTGTGTGCGCCATGATTCATGTTCTTTGCAATTGCGTATGGGGGTAAGTGGACTAGTTGGTGGAAGTCTAGACTACGGTGCTGATCGAGGGGTACACAGCAAAATATTTTTCGCAAAAGTCTATCGTGTTAAACTGTCGATTTCGAATAATACGCAAAATTTTGAAAAACCGGTTCGGCCTATCCTTTATTTTCAATAAATTTGGCAATTATCAGGCTAACCAAAGCTTTGAACCGGTCTTGAAGGCGTCTAATTCTTGTTGGGAAGGTATTAGATTTTATGATTAGGGCAGAAGCATCTAACATACCCTGAAATAAGCCCCGTTTGCCATGCCTTCTACTCGAGCAAAATACGCAACACCTTGCTTAAATTACCATCCCGGACTCTTAATAATAATAACAGCCTTTGGAGCCCCGACCCACCAATAAGCCTGTCAAAAATTTACGAAAATAAACCGAGTTTTCGACCTAGCACCGGCCTGTCATTTTGCCTCACTGCCTGACGCCCACTTGTTAGGATCCCCAGGAGGAGAGAATTAGGGGGCCTGGTGAATAGACCGAATAAATGGGAATGGATTACAAAAACACAAGACTCCGCGAATATGCCCTTTCTGTTTATCCGCCTTTTCCTCCTTTCAAAGTCTGTCGTTTTTCGAAGAGCAAAACGAAGCATTTATGACACGAAATTATACACGCGGTTGGGGGTTAGGTACAGATCGGGGAACAGAATCTACATACCAAAAAATTTATTTAGGAATGCGGCAATTCCCTGCAGCCAAATAAAGTGGAAAACACGTCCTTAACATTACCAAACGAATTATGATAAATTAAAAAAAATGTAAACATATAAAAGCGCAAACACTAGCATCAGGGGATGGATTGGGTAAATCTAGAAAACCGAGGCAAAGGCGAGAAGCAAAATACGCGGTGAAAAATAACCGTCACCAGACCCTGCAATTACTAAATTGCCGGAAGCAACCCAAGGAATTAGCATCCCGTATTTATGCAGCCATAAATTCGTGGTGGCGCTTGGCGATTTCCGCGACGATTGGTTCTTCGATTTCCTTTCCATTTTTTAGTTCCTGATCGGTGAGTTCGATTGGGGCCTCGGTATCTTTGTCGACAACGACAACCTGAAAAACGGAAAGCATATATTTTGAGTAAAGAGAGGGTCAAAATTCAACGATTCAACCCACCTTCTTTTTCCTAACATTCAACATATTCCCAATCACCAACTCGTGCCCATACTTTTCGATCGCCCCACGAGCTTTTGAGATCAAAATCGATTCGTCGGTTTCCAGCTAAAATTTAAGCATTGTCCAAATTTAAACTAGAAATCACCTTGAAAGACACCATATAGGCGTCGGGAACAAGCTTGCTGACCAAAACACCAAGCCTTTTCGGCACAACTGACAGCGAAAGGCTGAGATCACCCTGTGACGATTGAATCTTGTGCGTTGGCTGAAATGACAATTTATTTATTTGTTCTTGGACTATGAAAGCCAATTTTCAACCTACCAATTTTTCTTGAGAGATATAAAAATCCGAGACAGCAGCGGCGAGGTAAAGCACCGCCTTTTTGTGAAATTTTGCAAGAAGAGAGCTGAGACTCTCGAGCATATGGAGATAATCATCAATCGTCACAAAGTGAACCTAAACCGAATATTTTAAATCGATAAATCAAGAGAACTTACCATACAAAGATCGTCCTTATATTTTTGACTTTCCAAAACAGCTTTTTCAATTCCGGCAGCTTTGCAAACAGCCTAAATCCAGTTAAAATATATATTTTGCGAAGATATCTAATTCACCTTTCCATCCTCCACCTGCATCGAATCAAAAATATCGGTAAAATTCCGTTGGAATGGTTTTAGGGACCCTTGACGATGAAGGAATACAACGACATAGCCGGCCTTCAAAAAGTACCTATAATGAATGGTATCAAAGTACTAAAAAGTTAGTTACTCTGCGCTGCTGGCACCACGGGTTCCCATCGAGAAGTTGTCAATGTAGCGTACCGTATTCTTCTCCAGGGGTACGGTAGTGCCGCCGCTCTAATTTTATAAGATTTTCGAGTAGAATGGGATCCCAAATGGTCGCTTTTTGAAAGTACTTTTCACTTAGTAAGTTAAATTATCCAAGATAATAATTTTGAATTTAAAACGTACAGTTAAAATGTCTTATTCCAAGCTTGGAGATGTTATACTTCAGTTATTATTAGTCAAGTATGTATTTTGGTTAATATTGTTTTGTATCTTTCATAATTTGCATGTCAGGTTTTGAATGTGCTTACGGTAATAAACACGACCATCCTCCCAACGTGCTTTTCCAAGAATTGACGCACAGTGGCCTCAGCCTGTTCCCAATCAACGAGATGCATGATGCAAGCGAGATCTGAAAAATCCAAAATTATTTATTACTCAAAGTTCGTGGAAATACAAAATTTGAATTGAGAGATCAATCGATCGAATAAAACTGACATAGCGGGGTTAAAGCAGACTAAAACAATGGTGATGTGACAAGAATATGGTACTAGATGATAGGGGGTCTGCGACTAGAAATGGAAAAGAGCAATATGGAAACTTTAAAATTTGTTAAATAAATGCCCAGGGAACAATTTGATAAGGAAATGCTGTGTGACATACCTAAGCAGGGGCTGGCCATTTTGTTGCAGTAGAAAATAGAGGGATTGAGGGTAAGAGTGGAATGAGGAATGACTCTTCTTTTAATCCCCCGAAAACCACGAAAATCTAGACAAAGCAAAAGCTAATCTGATCAACTGCGCCGCTGAAGGGCAAATTCAGGTCAAAATCGGGTGTAAACCAAAAATGCAAATCACGATCTAAAGTCTTTCGGAAATGAATAATGAAAGCGCGCGATTTTGATCGAACTGGAAAAATCAGAAAATGGAATGTAAAAATCAAAGTTTGGGGATTTATATTAGCCAATAGTATACGTTTTTGGTTGGGCTTCAATTCTCCTAGAACGGCAAGAATCAAAACTTTGAACTGGAAATAGGTAACATTTTTGAGAGTTTAGGAATATACTTTCACTGGTAAATTAATCGAATTAAAGGCAATAGAATATTATTAATTCTCGGTGGTGGTTGAGGTAACATCGGAGGTGGTAGAGGAGACTTGATCGTTGGAGGTGTCTGGGGTTTGGGAAGTTTCTTTGGAATTGGTGGTATCCATAGCTTCGGCTTGGTTCCCGGTCATTCCCTGGGGATCTTCGGATGCTGCTGTGTTTTCTGGGTTGCCGTTCTGAAATGAAAATCGTCAATAACAAACATATTTTAAGGTCAAAATAGCTGATATCGTGGTAAACACCGTGTTTTGCGCATGAAGCCTATCAAATCGGGTGGTCAAAATGCCTTAGGCTAACTTTTATACTTTATAGGATTTACTATCTTTCCAACGCATTAATAAATCTAGAAAATGCTAGAATTCGATGTTAAACTATTGAAAATTTACTCACGGTTTCTTCCGGCTTTTCATCATCATTTGCAGCTACCATCGCAAACAATGTACTTTTCTCGCGCTCCGCATCTAAAATTAAAAGAAATAAAATAGTTTTAGCTCCTATTAAAGCCCGAGCCTAAAACCAAACCTTGTTTGGCAGTCTGGTCATCAATTTGCTTCTGATACACAGCGTATGCATCCAGCAGCTTCTTTTCCCAGCTGACCAACAATTCTTGGAAGTTCGCCTCATCTAGCGATGGCTTTTCCTTGGCTGCCTAGAAGTTAATAGATTAAAAAGTTGGAAAGGGATCGAAAATCTTTAATCTATTTGCTTTTTGTCATTACTTACCTTTTCCATTTGTTCATTAAATGCTATCCGTCCGGTTTGTATGCTCTTCTTCTTTTCCGCAAAGCTTTCATCCAGCTTTTTCAGCTCGTCTTCTAGCTTTGTTTGATGGGCAGCCAGGGATTGCGCCTAAAAATGCGCATTTTGTGAAATTGTAAACGGTTATATTATGTTATGCTTAAATTTAGAGGAAGCTACTATAATTACCTGTTTCCTCAACATATCAATACGACTTTGACTAACGATCATTCGCGTATCTTGCACAGAATAGGGACTGAAAAGATCAGCCATCATCCTCTGGTTCTTTTCATATCTAAAATAATTGCATAAATCATAAGGTTATATGCACTTGCCTTTGATGATGGAACTTTCTAAGCGAAAATTCATTAACAGCCTCATCCTCGTCGACAGGCTGAATGACAACACCACCATTGTCCATTGTACGATTTCGTGACGTTTGCGCCTGAAGGCTATCGTGACTCAATTCCAATCTTTCTCACCTTTTCGGTTTGTTTTTGCCGATTTCGTTGTTGTACATACTGCTGGTAGGCGGGTGAGCTTTGGTAATTCTTCATGGCTTTTTCGTATTCTATCTAAAAAGCAATAGGTCAAATGTTAAATTCGCAAATGGCAAAATCGATGGGAAGGGGGAATGGGGTGGAAAGATGCAATGTTTTGTTTCGGGGGCGTGCTAGAGGGAATGGACGGCTAGAGCCCATTTTAAAGGGGCAATTCCATCATCGGGTGATGGAAAATGGGGTGATGTGTTAAAAAGGGGAGCTGCCACGATTTTTCTATAGCATTATATCCCAAAGCCGGGAAATTAACATACTGTTAAAGGAATTTTAGGCTACAGGTATTTCCAAAAAGCCACCTTTTTAAATGGATAAAGACGGCTCTTGTAGAGCAGACCGCAAATAAACCTGGCAAGAAGCCGATGCGATGCCTATGCTATGCAAGAAACGAGCGTGAGAGCGCGCAGATAGGGATTACGCTCTTTGCCTAGTCACCTGTCTTATGCTAAATCCCTATTCTAAATCCGATTAACTTCTTTTCAGCTAGGTATACGGTTTCACTGAAAAATCAACAAGCCTAGCAGCAAGCAAGCCGAAGCCATATAAAATCAATGACGAGATCTCACGAAGGGCTTCCACGTTTTGCATATCGAGAATGAAGAGAGCTGGCCACATCCCATAGGGGGTGTCAGTCTAATTACCGTTTTGGGGGGCATGTGTTGGGGTGGGCCTTGGAAACCGGATGTGGGGATGAGCCCTGAGGGTACGGAAAAGAGAGGGGAGAGGGCAAGAAGGGGGGAATAATCACCATGGTGATGGAGAGCCGGGACACCACAGCTCTTCGCTAACCCCTCTCATCAGTCCATTCTCATCCAGCCGGTACTACTGGGAGAAGGTATTTTACTAATAACTAGCGTTACGACTTCCATTATTTTATTTAGTTCATTAATGCTTCTCTTTCTAAACTAAAAGGTGCCTAAGTTAAGGTCTTAAAGAGGTTATTAGGTAAAGATGTTATGCAAAATTCCGGTAATGAGATGACGGCGTAATTAAGATGACAAAGACAAACTCTGAGAAGTAAATCTCTTCCTATATAAAATTCGTGGTCTTTGCTTCACATCCTAGTTAGATCTCCTGTCCTATAGAAGATTGACATATTTAACATCTTTGTTAGAAAGGTCACAATGTTTATTCTTTAAATCCTGATATTTCGCTAAAATTATCCTACCTTATATAATTTTGGGGTGTATCTCTGTGTGTGTGTGTGTCCGGCGCCAGGGAGGGCTACTTTGCATAATTCCAAAAAATACAAATTTCCTCATTCTTGCAAGTTGCACGCGCGGGTTTGGTCGGAGGAAGGGAGGGATCCGAAGGACCCAAGCTATCGGAAAGTCAAATTTCTCATGCAAAGGCCGCATTCCAGCGCCCAAGGCCCGCGAAGCGGGTTTTGGGCGCTGGTTTAGTCATAAAAAGTATGAATCGCCAAGAGCAAAATTTTTCGACATTTCATTCTAAGGATAAGCTAATCTAAAATTGAAACATTTCCCTATCTTCAATCCAATTAAAATATTGATCGACCGGCTTCCTTAAACCCACTAGTACAAAGGCGGATTCAAAATTGCCCTTGTTAGGAGACCAGGGTGAAGAGGGCCCATGAGGGCCCCGTGGCCCATGGCTCCCCCCGGAAAGATGAGGCCTCAAATCCGTAATTAGCTGGCGCCCCGAGAACGGGGGACCGCGAGACGGACTTATATGTTTCACGAAAGCCTATGCTACATTACTTTTATATTTGCTTTTCGTTTGGTTTGCATACATTATATTTACTGTTTATTCGCATGACTTCTGAAAGCCTAGCTCCCCAGGACCCAAAATAAATTTTATAATAATTTCGATGCTGTTACACAGCATCTCCAAGTGCCCCCAAAGTCTACAAACATTCCGCCCACCTTGTCTGCATCGTATTCGGCCTGGAAAACCGATTTTTCGCTGTCTGGCGTCTCGCGCCACAACTGCCCAATCACCCTTCCGATGTCCCACAGTTGCGATTCCGGGTTTTCTTCTCGTACCTAAACTTTCGGACATGAAATTTTTTCTACAAAAATCTATTTACCTGTGCCCACATCTTTTTCGAAAATCGCATGTAGGGCACCAGTGGGCGTTCGGGGGCTTTTGGCGGCTTGAGCGGGGGTTCATTCTAAAAGGATTCTGTTAGATTAGATTTGTAGATTAGATCTAACTGTAATAAATTTTTAGAATGCCCGTGGTACTCCTTATAAATTTCAATTATGCTAATTAGCCATTTTTTATTAACGAAGATTTTTAAACATGATAAATACCTATAAATATTTTATTTGAAACCTTCTAGCCAGCAGGTTATTTTGATTTAATAATAGACGTTTTCGTTATTCGAATTAGAATGGTAATAGAGACACAAGTTAGTTGCCTCGCAGAAATTAATATATTTGATTTCGCAACAGTAATTTCATCGCGTAATCCATTGTATTTTTAAGCTACTTTAATCGCCGGTTTTCATTTTTTCAAAGCAATTTTTCTCGTGTTCATTTTCTTAACGTTCGTAAGAAGGCTGAGAAAAGAAAATCAACGTTTTATTAAAAGGTTACCAGGGTTGAAAAGCCGCTTCGCGACTTTTCAACCCTGGCCCCGTCTAGGACCGCATGCTGTTCTACGCTTTGCATAATTGCGCTGAATTCAGATGACCAAAATATGAAAAGGATTCGCTCGTGACCCTTTATATAGGCGACTTCCTACTTCCGGTCAATGTTAATTTTTCCTAGCGAAGAGGGCTTTACAAAAACTTAAATTTAATATCGAAAATGGCTGATTTTTATAAATCTGATATGTGGGCAGTCATCCCTAGACCATTACGCAGATAACGACGTATCGTACCCACCCCTAGCTTCTTCCCCTATAGAGATACGCCTGGAACAACGATACGGAAGTGGATGCAAAGTGGCACACACACACACACAGACACTATTTTTTTATATTAAAAGGTTATTTATGCTAATTTTCCCCGAAAATCTGAGATGCAGCTTTTTAATACGACAATGGCTAACTTTATTACCAAAAAGAGTGTGTAAAATAGAAAGGAAACTAACGAAAGTAGGCATCCGTGTTTTGCTAGAGGTTGTATGCACGTAAAACCGAAGTTGTAAACAAAAATTTGCCTTTTCCTCTCAAGAGAAACCACTCAAAGTTCGATGAAAAATCCCGGGGGAAAAACACATACGGTGCGGGAGGCGGGTGGGTTGGGTTGACGGAATTGAGTGGCCGACATATTGTTGTTGTTTAGAAGGGCAAAGCCGTCCGGCCCGATGTGGCCTGTCAATATGCGAGCCCACTTATCGGACCTTCGACTGGGGTGTGTGGTGGATGGGGTGTCTCTACGGCATCTCATTTTCTCTCGCTCTCTCTCGTTCTACTCCCATCCCGATGGGTGTAATCGGGCGGCCAGTTGCGTAGTCGTACTTGCAACAGGGGGAAAAGGGGTTCTCTACCCGCCGGTGCGCATTGTTTCATGAAAAGCTGGCCTCCTGGGCCCTGGCCGCGTGAGGTTACTTTTTTAGGCCAGTGGGCTATACTGCTACGAGGTTTTGCACAAGTTGTGACTCAGTTTTCTTCTTAATAAGCTAGAAATTGTCGTTACGAAACTTCTACAGTAAGACTGTTTGAAACAGATCCCCCTTTCGCCGCCCGGAAAAGCGTTCGGTTCAGACCGTTTGGGTATCTATTGAAAGCGCTTCAAAAAGCTAAAAAGCAAACTGTTTCCGGCTTTTAACTAGACATTGTAGATCCTCGAATCTTAATAATAAAAATAACTTATGCGCGATCTGCGCTTTGAATCATTCACGTCAACAGGATGCTTGTTTCTCAAGTACATGTTGAATATCGAACGAGGAATACAAATATTAAAAAACAAAAGGTATAAAGGTATAAGGTTGCACGCATTAATGGTACCAGAGAACACGCTAGATAATCCCTATTTTTCAATCTTTCACGTGATTTTCACCTTCAAAATAACCCGTAAACATGAACCAATTTTCAGCGAAAATGGGTGGCGGTACCACAAAGAAGGAGGGAATCGAGACGAACACAGCCATCACACAGGTTGCCCCGGGCACCGTATACACGACGCTGCCTACAGCTGCCCAAACTCATCAAATGTTGCTACAACAACAATCAGCTCAAACACAGGCAGCTGCCAGCTCGAGTGGGACCACCGCAACGAATGCTAGCCTTCCACAGTATTTGATTCCAGGGCCATCGGTGGGTTCTTGAAAAAATTTTTTAATAGTCTAAAGAAACTAAAGGAAACCATTTCGGTATAAAATTTTTATATTTCAGAAAGCCGAAACAAAATATCAGCAACTCCTATGTCTGTTCAATGAAGTATCCAAAGACATGCCTCAAGCCTACACCGGCAACAAGCACTGCGCCGAGCGAATCAAACGCTTTTTGGTGCACGCCAGGTAACATTTTTGAATAACCTTCAGCAACCTAAATTCTTAGAATCCTGACCCGAGAATGCATCATGGAAGCGGACCGCGATCGCGCATTAATGAATCAGGTCCTCTACGACAAACACGAAACTCCATCAGCCCCTTCGACCAAGCAAGTTAGCAAATAGTACACGTTTTCTGGATTCGGTGCTTTTTCGATCTTACGATATTTTTAACAAAATCTTCGTTCACTCACTTTACATGTCATCTTTCCCAGTCCACTTTCCTGGTTAGTGAAAACCCACGGGTGGCCGTGCATTATAAATTCTAATCTATCACCGGTTCTAGTCTTCCTTGTGCCGTGTTCAGTTTTTAGTTCCATTTTTTGCAAATAATAAATATTTATTCAACAACATGGGCAACGAGTCCCAGCCTCCTCCTTAGTTTTTTACCTCACCATTCGCGTCGTTTTTAGTATGACCACTCCGTATCGGGGAAGAAGATATTGGGGCTGGAATGGGGAATAAAATATTTTCAATTTGCTGACTTTGATTACCGGACATATCTCCAGCCCTGACGGTAGAAGTTCGTGCGGGTGTCGGCGTCCACGGCGGCCGAGCGGCCAAAACGTAGGAAGTCCTATTATGAAAAATTAATAAAACACCCTAGTTAGAAGGAATGGGGTCGTGATACGTCATTAATACAATCTGATACCTGGGATACATAGCCGGGGGCAGATCGGCCTTCGCGGATCAGGGCACCTCGAACTGCTTCAACTTGTGGGATTAGGCAAGCCACTGAAAATTGTCCTTTCCAATTTCCAAATATATTTTGTGTTTAACCCGCGATTACTAAAAGCGCTAATGATCAATAAAATCGCTGGTATCGTGAAGTGGAATACTTAAATTTTGAAGCGGTGTTAAGCATTTGTTTGAAACAATCTTAGGTACACGCTTTAAAAGATGCTTGGTCTTTTAAAATACGGTAACGACGTATCGTACCCACCCCTAGCTTCTTCCCCTATAGAGATACGCCTGGAACAACGATACGGAAGTGGATGCAAAGTGGCACACACACACACACAGACACTATTTTTTTATATTAAAAGGTTATTTATGCTAATTTTCCCCGAAAATCTGAGATGCAGCTTTTTAATACGACAATGGCTAACTTTATTACCAAAAAAGAGTGTGTAAAATAGAAAGGAAACTAACGAAAGTAGGCATCCGTGTTTTGCTAGAGGTTGTATGCACGTAAAACCGAAGTTGTAAACAAAAATTTGCCTTTTCCTCTCAAGAGAAACCACTCAAAGTTCGATGAAAAATCCCGGGGGAAAAACACATACGGTGCGGGAGGCGGGTGGGTTGGGTTGACGGAATTGAGTGGCCGACATATTGTTGTTGTTTAGAAGGGCAAAGCCGTCCGGCCCGATGTGGCCTGTCAATATGCGAGCCCACTTATCGGACCTTCGACTGGGGTGTGTGGTGGATGGGGTGTCTCTACGGCATCTCATTTTCTCTCGCTCTCTCTCGTTCTACTCCCATCCCGATGGGTGTAATCGGGCGGCCAGTTGCGTAGTCGTACTTGCAACAGGGGGAAAAGGGGTTCTCTACCCGCCGGTGCGCATTGTTTCATGAAAAGCTGGCCTCCTGGGCCCTGGCCGCGTGAGGTTACTTTTTTAGGCCAGTGGGCTATACTGCTACGAGGTTTTGCACAAGTTGTGACTCAGTTTTCTTCTTAATAAGCTAGAAATTGTCGTTACGAAACTTCTACAGTAAGACTGTTTGAAACAGATCCCCCTTTCGCCGCCCGGAAAAGCGTTCGGTTCAGACCGTTTGGGTATCTATTGAAAGCGCTTCAAAAGCTAAAAAGCAAACTGTTTCCGGCTTTTAACTAGACATTGTAGATCCTCGAATCTTAATAATAAAAATAACTTATGCGCGATCTGCGCTTTGAATCATTCACGTCAACAGGATGCTTGTTTCTCAAGTACATGTTGAATATCGAACGAGGAATACAAATATTAAAAAACAAAAGGTATAAAGGTATAAGGTTGCACGCATTAATGGTACCAGAGAACACGCTAGATAATCCCTATTTTTCAATCTTTCACGTGATTTTCACCTTCAAAATAACCCGTAAACATGAACCAATTTTCAGCGAAAATGGGTGGCGGTACCACAAAGAAGGAGGGAATCGAGACGAACACAGCCATCACACAGGTTGCCCCGGGCACCGTATACACGACGCTGCCTACAGCTGCCCAAACTCATCAAATGTTGCTACAACAACAATCAGCTCAAACACAGGCAGCTGCCAGCTCGAGTGGGACCACCGCAACGAATGCTAGCCTTCCACAGTATTTGATTCCAGGGCCATCGGTGGGTTCTTGAAAAAATTTTTTAATAGTCTAAAGAAACTAAAGGAAACCATTTCGGTATAAAATTTTTATATTTCAGAAAGCCGAAACAAAATATCAGCAACTCCTATGTCTGTTCAATGAAGTATCCAAAGACATGCCTCAAGCCTACACCGGCAACAAGCACTGCGCCGAGCGAATCAAACGCTTTTTGGTGCACGCCAGGTAACATTTTTGAATAACCTTCAGCAACCTAAATTCTTAGAATCCTGACCCGAGAATGCATCATGGAAGCGGACCGCGATCGCGCATTAATGAATCAGGTCCTCTACGACAAACACGAAACTCCATCAGCCCCTTCGACCAAGCAAGTTAGCAAATAGTACACGTTTTCTGGATTCGGTGCTTTTTCGATCTTACGATATTTTTAACAAAATCTTCGTTCACTCACTTTACATGTCATCTTTCCCAGTCCACTTTCCTGGTTAGTGAAAACCCACGGGTGGCCGTGCATTATAAATTCTAATCTATCACCGGTTCTAGTCTTCCTTGTGCCGTGTTCAGTTTTTAGTTCCATTTTTTGCAAATAATAAATATTTATTCAACAACATGGGCAACGAGTCCCAGCCTCCTCCTTAGTTTTTTACCTCACCATTCGCGTCGTTTTTAGTATGACCACTCCGTATCGGGGAAGAAGATATTGGGGCTGGAATGGGGAATAAAATATTTTCAATTTGCTGACTTTGATTACCGGACATATCTCCAGCCCTGACGGTAGAAGTTCGTGCGGGTGTCGGCGTCCACGGCGGCCGAGCGGCCAAAACGTAGGAAGTCCTATTATGAAAAATTAATAAAACACCCTAGTTAGAAGGAATGGGGTCGTGATACGTCATTAATACAATCTGATACCTGGGATACATAGCCGGGGGCAGATCGGCCTTCGCGGATCAGGGCACCTCGAACTGCTTCAACTTGTGGGATTAGGCAAGCCACTGAAAATTGTCCTTTCCAATTTCCAAATATATTTTGTGTTTAACCCGCGATTACTAAAAGCGCTAATGATCAATAAAATCGCTGGTATCGTGAAGTGGAATACTTAAATTTTGAAGCGGTGTTAAGCATTTGTTTGAAACAATCTTAGGTACACGCTTTAAAAGATGCTTGGTCTTTTTAAAATACGGTAACCAGCAACCAAACCTACCCATGACGACGAGTAGAAAGATCTGGCGGGCCGACATGGCGAATAGTAAATTCCCGGAACCATCGCGCCTCTTTTATACCCTTACGATCGGTATTTTAACCCCCCACTCTTATTTGACCAATTCCACCACGCCTCGACACGAATTCTACCAATATTGATGCTAACCCGTCTTCGTCTCCCCTATATTGAGCCCCCAGAAGCCATAAATCGGCCCCTTTTAAATATCCAGGGCCAGACTGGCATCCGCTTCGCTCCCAAATTATTTGTCACGCCACGTATGGGGCCCATTTTTCAAGGCTTCACTTTTATTGAGAGGCGATGTTGGTGCGGGCAGTTTGTTATCAAATGAAAATGAGGTGGTTTGTCGACTTAAGAATTTTAAAAGCATTTAAATAGTTTGGAAATAATTGAACGCGTTGGCCTGGACATTTATATCAATTGGATGTATTGAATTTGCATATTTCGGATATAAAAAAATTTTCGGGTCGGATTTTACGGTAAATCTTTTCCGGGATTTTAGGGCGAGGCCCATTTGCGCTGCAGCTAGTTTACGACCCAATCTGGGGACCAATTGGCTTCCATTCCGCCCTAGGGGCTAATTGCACGCCATAATTCGTCGGTCGGTTATTTCTACTATATCCTTTATACTGGCACTTACATACTATGCGGTGTTTAAAAAATTCTGATGCGAATTTTAAACTCCATAGTTTTTTACTACGAATTTATCAATACTGTCCATCTATTACTGACATTTCCTAATCATATATTCAACTTCCAGATCCCTGAAAATCCTTAAATTTAGCAGGATCTCGGCATCCGTATCACTATTTGATCAGCGCCAAGATCGGGCCAAAGCCTTTTCCCCCCGTTCGTTGTTTCCCTGTGCGATGAACCTTGCCCTCATTTTTGTTCCCCCATTGGCCCTATGACTTCATTGGGGTCAGCCGACTTAGTTTAGAGAGAAAAGCCATCTGGCTAGATCGCACCTGCCAGTGGATTTACTCTTAGAAAGCGGTCTCATTTTTACTTGGAATACAAAAATGCGATAGCCCCCGCATGGCATTTGGTCATTAATCCTATTCATCAATGCGGCCAGGCGGGGTCGGCCGGTTTCTATAGAAAGCGGGACTGTGCTTCCCACGCAAATTCAATACCTTTATTTTCTATTTTTGGTTTTCTTTTAATTCTAATTTTCACGTCATTGCATTTATAGTATCGGCCGTCTAAGGCTGACTATCGCGAAATTTCCATAGTTCATCCCTAATCGCCGTGAAAACATTCAAAAGCACCTACAATGTATGGTTATATATAGGTTATCCATAGGTCCGAGGAATGCTCATTACTTCCTAACAATAAGCAGCCGTGGCTTGCAACGAAAAACCGAATTTTAATATCGAAAACAGCATTTTTTTTCAGGATTTTGATAAGTGTGCATTAATTTTTGAGTCATTTTGCCAAGGTATTGGGTATTATGCGTACTTTAAATACATACATTTTATATAAAGTAGCAGCCACCAAAATTAAGGGTAGTTGCTGTAACTTGGCTTAATGTCAGCCGCTATCTGGCCATAAGGCCTATTGTCCTGAGGGCTCATCCAAAGAGTGTCTATGACGCTTGTTTTGGCACATCCACGGCTGTCCATCCCTCCCCCAAAAAGGCACAAAGAGAAGTAGTGAGTGACCCGGTTGGCATCTGATATCGATCTTGCGACCCACCTGGACGACCAGCCACAGATTGCACTTTGCTATTCATTGACAGGCCGCAAAACTATTTGTGTTTACGCCCCCATCTCAATATTGGGTGGTTGCAACGGTTTGATGGCAAAAACAGAACTGCCGATTCTATCCCAATTTTAGTTCCAGGGCTATAAAGGGTAGCTGCGAGGATTTTGGTCGGGGACAACTTGGTTTTTTTAGGTATATGCGATTTGGGAGACCCAGTAAGACCATTGGGGGACGGGCGGATATAGATTTTGCATGGGAACGGCGGGGACTAATAGCGCCGGGACTTTTTTGGACGAGCCCTGGGGGGACATACCCGTTTTGCACTCGGTTGTTTACGACGCTCCATAAGAACATTTCGTCTGGGTTCGGTAACCTTTGTAAAAACGATTCGGATTGGTCCGTTTGTTGAAATTTCGCGAATATAATGTATTAGAAAACATCGTTTGTTTCTTGAACCAAATATGTTATGTTTTCATCCCCAAGATACGTTGGTTTTGGGAAAACACCATGCCGAACAAAAAATCGTCCGAAAAGGCGGGCAAACCATAGGAAAGGTGCTATTTATGCAAATGAAGTTTTTAGTGCAATGTTATTTTTCGGCAGCTTATCTTTTGGATTGATGTATTTTCGGAACTTTTATTGGTTTTTATCTCGAACTGGAGTATTTTCGTGCTAACTTCATAGTCTCCCAAACAGGGACGTAGCGTAAGGTGGGCCCCCTGGGCCCGGCCCCCCGAAATCGGCCGGGGCCCGAAAATTTCATAAGGGGGGACCCTTATGATTTTTATTTTCTCAAAAATCTTGCTGCCTGCGGCGCTATTTCTTCTTCTTCTTCACTTCACGTTTTTACTGCTATTTGTAGAGTTATATAGCTTTTTTTCCAAAATTTTTCGCCTGCGGCGCTGTTTTCTCGTTCATTTTGTGAGTTTTTCGAAAAAATTTTTTCGGGGCCCCCCCGAAATTTTTTTCTGGCTACGCCCCTGCTCCCAAACGTCTAAAACCTCAAAACCGGTTCCAAAGTACAAAAGTCATTTCCCCCATCCAATCCTCACGCATTCCCTCAAATTATATGCAAAACATCCAGCAAAAACCAACGCAACCCGGTCCCGGGTCAAGGCTGACCGGTCCAAAATGTCTGACCGGTCCATCACTCCCTCTTTCCTCTCCCCTCCCTCTCTATCTCATTCTCGCTCGCTCTCTCTCTCCCAATTGTTTACCAGGGACGCTGCCAACAACGGCCATCCATCCCCACGTTCAAAACTGCCAGCTCCTCCTTTTGCAACGCCACCATTTCCACCATTCTTTCAGTATCTGATTAAAATTTCTTTTCTACTTTAATTATCTCTTTTCTTTAGATTACAGCCCCACGGCTTTTTAATGCGCTTGGAATTACAGTAATTTTGTACAAATGGAACCCGAACAATGCCACGCTTGCCACCAACCGATTGGCAGACCGAGAAAGATCTCTAATGGCCTATATTTGTCCATTATTGTCGGCAATTCGATAGATTTAAAAATGACTACAGCAGATCGGTATTTAATTTGAATCCTACCGTATTTTAAGGGCTTTAGATTCCTCTTCAAAAGAGATTATGAAAAGTTCAAGCTCCGGGTGACGCTGCTCAATATGGTGCTGCTAATTGTAAACCTTGTATTTCCGTCCAGGTATGTAAATTTGATGGTTCAATGGCTTTTTTGTAGACCATTAGATTTACTTTGTCATTTCTTGATGGTATGGTATTACTGTACATTGACGATACGTGAAAGTATATTAAGGCTGAATGGATCACAGTAAGTCGCTCAAAAATCTCTAAAGATTAATTATCTAAAATTCTAAGTTGTGCTTTTCCGAAAAATTTTTATGTCGGCTAATTAGCTTTTTAAAAAATTACGAATTAAAAAATAGCGTACCAAAATTTTAATGACCTTAATATAATTTCTAAAATTTTAGAATGCACTGGTGGTGGGTGGCACATCATTATTTTGCGACAGCAATCTGTGCCGTTGCGGTTACATGGCAAGACGATGAGGATTATCGTGTAAGTAATAAGGCAGAATTTTTATAACGAATCTGTATTGATTTTTTTATTTTAATAAATCAAAACTAATCAATACCTTCAGGCATTTCGGCTCCAGTTCCTCTTATTTGCTTTGTACATCTGCATTTGCCAGCAGCTACAGTATAAATATCAAAGCGGCTGTTTGAGACGGTTGCATTCGTTGGGACACGGTGATTCGATGGATCTCACCTTGGGTATAGGGCTAAAAAACAATTTATTTAAATCGGTATAGAGGGCTTTGATATGTGGATGTTCCGCGGTCTAACATTCTTGCTACCTATTTTGGTATTTGCATACGTAAGTGAGAATTCGGTTTGAAACGCAGTGATTTAGCTTGGCGAAATTTACAATGCATATACCCTTTATTCGATGTGGACCCGTGGGACTACCAGCTGGCATGTAAGTCGAGAAAAGGCTAAAAATATACCTTTATGTTAGGTCCCAACCCTTGGTGTGCTATTCTTTATTGTCGGGAATGGAAACCTGTTCATGGTTGTGAAAATAGGTATTAACTGCCATTTCATTATTTGCCCTTAATTTTTCAGCAATCCAAAAGCTTGGCGGAGACCCGAGGATCCGAAAGCAATCGCTGCAAACGAAATTCCGCGAATACAACGGCATTGATAAATTGAAATAAACGGAGATAAAAAGTTCTATATGATGTGTTTGGAGGCGCCAACGAGCAGGGGGGCTGGGGTGATCGGCGTGGGTGCCAATTTAAATTAGTGGTACGATGGTTGAAATGGGGGAATGGGTGAAAAGTCGTGGGAAATCAGGAGTGTGTCTCCTCGACCTTGTGGTGGGGACAGTCAAATTCGAAAAAGTTGAGTGGTATCTGTGGGTGTTACAGATTCCAGTTTCCGGTTTTCGATTTGATTCCATGTTGAATCGGTTTTCGGGAAAGCCCGATTTGCATGCATATGTATTTTCAATGATTTTTCACGCCACCTACTTTTAAAATGCAAAATAGACATTGCTACTATGAATTTTAATAATTATGGATTTTCTTAATTGCACTCGATAATCTTCTTGATGATTTAGACGCCTTTGTAATTTTTCAATCATTTTTTTAATCTTCACATATTTGTATGCTACTTACTTCAAATACTACTCAATCTTAAAGGTAAAACACATGCAAAGTAACAATGCTGAGCTACTACAATGCAAATCGATTCCATTATTTTGTATTCATCACATGGCAAACGTCGATATTCCTCGGAACTCAAATGCTGTTCACCATTTTCGCTGGCTACACCCCCAAGTGGCGGTGCAACGACAATGAAGAATTTACCACGGTATAGATAAAAAAATTTTACCACTTTTTTATTTAGAATTGTGTAAGCTACGCAAAATGTGGCGGAAATGTTACGTTTGAACCGGCCCCGTTTGGGTCTATAGTAATGGAGTATGTGCCATAAATAAATACGGGTGTAACTTCAATTTCTATAGGTTTGAGAAATATTGCGATGGCGAAGAAGTCAGTACCTACAAACGCTACTATTCACAGGTCCATATAATCAACAAACATTTAAATCGGGAAAGTTAGGCAATATTTTTCGGCGTCTTCTTTGGAACTATTGCATGGGGTTGGTTGGCCGATATTTTTGGACGAAAGCCGATTGCCATTACCGTGTTCACAGGAATTATTGTGTTGAATATTTGCACAGGTCTGCTGTAACAAAATAATCAAAAATTTATTTTTAGCATATCTACAATCAGCCCATTCAATTTTAGGCGTTCGTGCCATTTTTGGATTTACGTTAGGAGGAAGCAAGTTAAATTTATAAAAGGAAAGAACTTTTATTTATTTCTTAGGTTTGACTGCTGTCTGGAGCTACTGTAATGAGCTGTTATTACCGCATCAAAGGATCATGTTGAGAGCGTTTTTCAACTGGGTCGGTTGAGCTCTAGTATTAAATTATGCATTTAGGGCTCTGGTCGCATGATATTGACGTTAATTTGCTTCCTGTTGCCGACTTGGCGAGCTGCTTCGATTGCGGTGTCCTTAGCCGCCATTCCTGGACTTTTAGTGATAATTTTCGTACTACCAGAGAGCCCGATTTGGTTGCATAACAAGGTGATGAAGACAACTGGAGAACAATTTCAATCCCAGGGCCTAGCGACGAAACAAAAGCAAGCCGAAGCATGGATTGCCAAAATTGCCGGTGATGGTCATGTCCCTTTTGAGCATCGACATATCGAGAAATCCAGAGCATGCTTTTTTAATAAATAATTTTCCTATTTTAGGGAATGCTGAGCCTACTCGCCTCAAAGGATATGCTTCAAAAGCTTTTGGTTTTATGGTTTGTGTGGTGGGACCGTTATTCTCGGGTTTCGAGAATTCTTTAGGTGGGTTTCGGCTACCTGCGCATATGCTAATGACCTGCAATCCAATTCACTATCTGGAAATCTTTATTTAAACCAAATGGTCTTTGGTTTTATTATTTACATTTCGAAATGGGTACGTTAATGTTAAAATATAACGCAGAATTCTTAAGGTGATGGCCTGGGCTGATCGTACTTACCCTCTGTTTTCCCGGAGATTGCTTCATCAATCCTCGCAAATGTCGACTTGCATCGTCTTTTTAGCAATGTCTATTTGCGTACTTACCGAAAATAAGGTAAACAGTTTTAATTAACCAAACTCTCTCGAATGTTAGGGCTTATTTCTGACAGCATTGAATATCATTGGATGCGTTCTCATCGAATTCACATGGGACGCTAATCAAGTAAGTGAAGCGTTTGAGAAAATTAATGAATCTTAAAAGATGTGTGCTGTCGAGTCTTTCCCTACCGTATGTCGCGCATCAGCTGTTGGTTCTTGCTCCTTAGTAGCTCGAATCGGAGCCCTTATGGCGCCTCAACTTGCCTTTTACGGCTCAATCTGGCCGCCCGCCGTGTATGTCACGGTATTTGTGCTTGGACTCATCAATTTCTTTGTCGCCTATTTTGGTATGGCCGAGACAAAGGTAAGCGTTTATAGGTAACAATGTTATGTTTAGAATATTAACTTGGAAGCGCTAGATCAAGCCGCTGGTAATAGACCAGTTGATGACCTTCTACGAAGAGAAAGCTCGGATTTATAGGTTTTACTTGTTTTTATTAGGGTTATGCAATCCATTTAAATACATGATTTATCGATCAACTTTATCAAGGCATAAACTTTGATGACCATTCTTCCGATGCAATCTCTGGCGGGTCGTCGGTATCTCGTTTGAACGGCTTCAGCTTGCCTGTCCCGACGTCAGTAGCCAATTTTAGAAGCTGAAATGTCTGTCTCCATAGCGCGAGAGCTATTACCTCATCAGGTCGAAACCCGGAGTCAGGAACTGCAATATGTTGCTGCTGTTGTTGCTCGACAAAGCTAGTTGGACCTATTGTAGTACCAGCTCGTCCACCACCAATAACTTCTCCAGGCTCGATTTTCTAAAAAATTGGAGGCTTGAGGCCATACGCATTTAATACCGACGCCACAGATTTTACGGAAGTAGTAACCTACCACTCGATCGAGTACGATCCGATTACCCTGCTTCTTTACTTGACCGACGAAGAATTCTGGAACTTGTTCGGCTGAAAGCAGTTTGCCAAATTGATTGAATAAACTTACCATGATCCTCCATAGGAAGTGTAGATGGTACAGGGATGCTCTGTGTTTCCTAGAAAATTTGCACGCTCCGAACGGTATAACCAACTGGGGCTCGGTTCTGTTGTGCTATCTTTTTCCTCTCCGCATCAAACGTCATTTTTTCGGTCGGCATCGACTAAATGAATTAAGGCACCGGAGGTTAAAAATAGAGTACCAATTTTCCTTCTGCCAAAAGAGCAGCTTCATTTACTTGCTGGTTAAGCTGTGCCTTGGTCAGAACTTCATCTGTTGCAACGACAATGCCGGTATCCTAAGAATGAATGTATATTAGGAATGACAATAAAGGAAAAAGCATGAACCCACCACTTGTTTGTCATCAGGAAAATCGGAAATTAGCTCACAATCGAATAAGAACTTTTGACATCGTTCCCATTGAAAATTTCTGGTGAATGGGTTACATATGGCGTGTGCTAATCCCCATAGTTCCACGCACTAAAGTCAAACATCGCGGTTTTCTATAACTGATGCCTGTTTATGGACTCGAACAGCGTCTGGCATTAATGCCAATAACTCCGATCTTCGATCCTCACGAGCCGTAGCATTGCAAAATACTTCGTAACGTTGACACCATTCAGCTGTTTTGGCACCAGTTCTAAAAAGAAGTACTCCACACCGAAATCTAGCCCTTACTTAACGTATAAACAATAATAAGGTTCGCAAACACAATCCAAATCATAATAGCAGCTTTTACATGGAGCCCGTCCAGCCCGGGTGCAATGCCTAAAGTGATAAGTCACCCTGGGCCTCAAAGCATACCCCTCATAATGATCAAATTCCTTCTCGCACCAATCATCTTTAGGATAGGAAAGTCGTCCGCATTGATACCAAAAAGGTCAGCGTATGGGAATATCAACAAAACTATACTTGAAGCCCAGGCAAAATGGGACGAGTTGTAAGGGTGGATTTTCATCGGCACATGCGATTATATACGCATCCAAGCCACGATAACAAAAACGATCTCGCATTAATTGAGTACTGGAAAATATAGTTTTTAAAGCTTCTAAAGATGCAGTAAATTCCACGAAACGGTCTGTACCTACGTTGGCTGGCAGAAAAAGTTGAGATAATCCGGAAAATGGTTGGGTAATACCAGGATCTAAGTTTCCCGGTTCATTCCCTTCAAGAAATCTACAACCTGTTTTTCAATTTTTGGCTCCTTATTAATCACATCTTCTTCACTTTCCTCCCCAACAGCAATTGTAAGGATGTCGTCCTCATCAATATCTAACAACTAGAAATTAGCATCCAAGGTGTCAATTGGCTATAACCTACCAACAATTTCTGCTTGTGGCAATACTATCCCATAAAATAGAAAGGATAAAAAGATAGCTTTGATGGGCTTGAACAGCATTTGGATTGAAATCGCTATCAATCGACTAGGCGGTGGCAGGCAGATTGTGTGGGGGTGAAAGTGATTCATCTTCATCGTGTTCTCCATCCAGCGCCTCATAAGGTTGATTATATTTTTCAACCAGTTTGTCGTGTTTGACATTTAAGAGGCTTCTTTAAATTGTTCCGGATCGAATTGAATGTTTTTCTGTCTGCATTATCGATCACTTTAAGATTTTTTACTTCAGAGCTCATACATGTAACATATCCTAACAATGAACGTCTTTTCATACATTCTGGTACAAGGTCAGCTACGTTCCCCGGCGCCTTTAAGCAAGAAAACACCATTTTTCTTAAATGTTTCATATATACGATAACGTAATTTTAACCTACAAGAACAACCAGTTTAATGATTACTATTTCATTTTCATTGTTTGCACCTGACGGTAGGCTGGCGGTTCTCGAGTCAGGTGAAATGGGGCGGGGGGGGGGTGTTGTCCTGTCTAGCTACCCTCTTGTTTGTTTGGCTACTGGAGTTGCGTGCTATTCGGTGCCCCGGTGCCATTGGATGCGATCCCCAGCCAATCCCTCTGCCTCTCATGCCATGTGAGGGAGGGGGCTCTTCGATTTTGGACATTGCTTCTCGTCGCGTAATTGGATGCGCAACCGTCCTTGGGAATTTTGTTAGCTGGGCATCGTGAGGGGGGTTTTGGCTCTGAAGCTTTGTTTAAGATGCTTAAATTCGATCTACAATCCTGTAAAAAATGTAAACAGATTAGAGACGAATTACGACATGTTTTCCAGGGATAAATTTACATTGGATTTCAAGGGTCTTTCTGAAAATCTTTGCTCAAATTTAATGTGATGGCATTAAGTACAGTCTGCTAACCTTGTAGTGGTGACAGCTTATCGAAATTTGAGAAAGCCGTTCATCAAATATTAATACTTTCATTCCACGTTTTTCAGATCTACACAGCTCAAATACAACTTAATTTTTATAGGTACAAATGAAATGCGGACGGTGAATAATGTGGTAACCAAACATGCCCTACCGGATATTTTGGACCACGAAGCATTTGAGGATGAGCGAGACAACAATGTCAGAAAGCCGCTTGCCGTTCCTGCTACTAGGTGGGTTTATTTCTATCGAGCCTTCTACTATATTTTAGCATATTCGATTTATCTCCTCTTTTTAGATTACCCCACAAAATCCTCGTCTATATTTTTTCATACCTGTCGCCCAGCGACCTAAACCATTGCCTGCAGGTTTGCCGGCATTGGAACAGTGCGTTAGCATATGAGGTATGAAAAACTAATATCAAAAAATTTCAAAAAAATTTTCAGGATAGTATAGTATGGCGAACGCTTGCAAGAAAATTAGTGCCCGAGCCAGCCCTCAGCGACCCGTATTTGCTGACAGGTATTTGTAAGCATCCCCCCTCTCAATAATCTTCCAATCCATTTAGTCGCCACATTTAAACAGAAGCTGCGCGCCTTCAAATATGCCTGGAATCCGAGCGACACCAGCAAGTGAGTCTGAGCGCTTATATCACTCTGGTGTAACCCCCTCAACATCTAACTGCATAACATTGGTATTACAACGGTACCCTAGAAAACGGTTTGGTTTTTGTGGCGCTTGACGTGGGAAAATTAAAATTAATTATTTGGTTAAAAGGTATAGATGAAAATTTTTAGGAATAATTATTTGCGTCCGAATGGCTTCACAATACACCGACAGCCCGTGGCACAGTCTACAGATGGGGTTCGAGGGAAGATTGGGGTGTCAACCGGCTGCCATGCTTTTGAATTATCATGGGAAGGACCACTTGGTACAGTGGCGGTGATTGGGATTGCGACAAAGTGAGTTTATATCTACGATTTCTCCAGTATCATTTGCACCTCTCTCTCTCGCTCTCTCTCTCTCACTCTCTCTCTTTCTCTGTCTAGCTCAAACCATGCTCTTCAGGCACGCAGCTCTTCACTGCCCTGGCTACATCCCACTCCTCGGTTCTGATGACCAAAGCTGGGGCTGGAATCTGGTTGATAACAATTTGCTCCATAATGGCCAATCACTTGGTATCTACCCGGCGGTGAATAACCCTGCTAAATATATGGTAAGGAAAAAACAAAAAGTATAATTATAGTATCCTTCAGGTTGGTGAGCGAATACGGCTGATATTGGATTGTGATCGGCATTCTTGCTACTTTGAACGTGGCTCTGAATTTCTTGGAGTGGCATTTAAGGATCTTCCGCCTGTAAAGTAAGTTTTAAAAGTGTATTCCTGATTTATTTCAATCAATATTTGTCTATATAAAAATATTATTCAGACTGTACCCTTCAATATGCGCCGTCTACGGCAATACCGAAGTCTCCATGGTCTACCTAGGCCCACCTGCAATGGGTTGATGAACAATATTTACCCCTCCTCCAACCCATTATCCACTTTTTCCTATACTTATAGTCTAAATGTAAATCTCATTTCCCTCTAGAATATCCAATGGCTTTCAAAGTACAAACAAAATGAATTGGTGATAATCGCTAGTAACTCGCGAGCCCGGCTTATCTCTAATCTTTGGCGCGCTGTTTTCCGGCGTGCTACGCTTGAGTTCCGCGCTGCCATTTCGTTGCGAAATTGCGAATCAACTGCAAATTTTTATTTTCATTTTCCGCGACCTAATTTCATCCAATGATGTTCCGCATCCCGCCAAAAATTAGCACCAGCGCCATCGATTTCCACTACCATTAATGCTACTTCTAATCAATCCTGATTTGCGAGCTGCGCGTTCGGGCCAAATTGGCATTACCTGTCCCAATTTTTTTTGTAAATAATATGCATTGTATCATACCTATTTTTCTCGCATTAGATACCTTTATCGTCCAGCTTTACGAGCTTGTGCTTTTCACTTTCACTTCCAAGTTTCCGGCTGCCTTCCCCTAGTCACTATCGCTTGTCATACGCCCCCAATTTGCCAAAAAACCCGTGCAACTGACCTCCACCTACATTTTGATCTCAAGCGAACTTTTCCAGATATGCATTACGTTATTCTAATGTCGATAAAAAATTATTGATCATTTTGAGGGTTTATTGATTGGTTTGCTAACACCAAAATATTTACGAACCATTAAGTGCCGTCCTTTCTGACTGGTCCTTTTATGAATTTTAATTGATTTTTAGCCTCGGATGGCTACTTTGGAAGAACAGGATAAAGAAAATGAAAAGGTTACCATGGAAAAAGACACGTACGCAGCGGTGGGTTTTATTGCGATCCTTTGTTTACATTCACAGGCACCTGGCTAGCGTAAAATTATCACAAAGGTTCAGGATGAAGAAGCCAGCACATCAGCACAGCCTGAAAAGAACGTTGACGAGCCGGTCAGTGCGCCCCCAGCAACATCCCAGGCTTCAACTTCCGATTTTCGAGCCTTGATTCTGGGGCGGCTCGATAGCCAAGCCCGAAAAATGAACCAGTTCGAGCCCATTTTCAACGCTTACACCCAAGTATGCGATGAGGGTATTCGTGCCCAAAGAGTAAGCTTAAATAAACAAACAGGATCAACCGCAATATTTTAGCAATCCCGAAACAGTCTTTCCCAGCTGGACTCCGCTGGAGATTCATTGCAATCCGCGCAATTAGAAGCTCTACGCCATGAACTAAGCGATGTCTATAAAAAGAAGAGCATCAATGACCAGGTTTGTATGACTTGACCTTCACAACCAATTCTCGTTTCAGGCGCTTTTGGAACATAAGAAAGAGTTAGAAGAACGAAGCAAGCATCTATCCCAGGTGCAAACGCAATTAGCAAAAGCACTCGACGAAAATAAAAAGTTTGCGCAGGTGACGCTCATCAAAAAGCATGAATGAATGGTTTTTAGAGAATAGCAGAGCTTGAAGTGGAATTGGCTAAAAATAAAGAAGAACAGACAGCGATCAGGGATGAATGGTTAGCACTGAAGGCGTCGAGTGCTACAATCGAGGTAAAATGCTCAACTTTGACTAGTTTCTTTTTAGGGAAAAGCGCTGGAGCTCGAGAAAGAAAGATGCCAGCTTATCACGAGGATTCGGGACTTACAGGTACTAAACCGACTAAAAATTGAAATGCCTGTTTAGCAAACTCAAGCAACATTTCTGAATGATGAGCTCGAGCGGCATCAGGCCCAACAAAGGAAGAAAATCCAAGTAAGAATATACACATTCTGTGTGAAAGTTAGCTCTTAGGATGATATTGCCGCGGCTATGTCGGCTGTGGGGCAAGCTGTGGATGCGACGAATGCTGTATCAGGATCTCCGCCAGAAAAAGAGGGAAGAGGTTTTAGCGTCATAGCTGATGTATTGCCAGAGCGAAAAACGTGGGTTTACAGCGGGTCTGGTACCAAAACCGCCCTTTTTTATTAGTTTTAAATGGTCTGAGGTTGAGAAAGTTTACACCCAAAATTCCAGAGCCAAATTCGAGGCGAACGATGGTGAGGTGACGGATGTGGCCTTCATTAGCGAATCACTGGCTGCTACAGCAGGCAGTGACAAAAAGATCATTCTATGGAAAATATCTCCTGGAGGAAGAGTTCAAAGGCATAGTGGGTATTTCAGCAGGAGTTGGTTTTAAAAGAAATCGAAAACTCTAATCTAAATTTTTTTTTCTTTAATTTTTTTAGCGGTCTTGACTGGGTCAATGCAGACAATCACCCGAATCGACATCAACCCCGAGGATAAAAAGTTGCTGCTCGGCTCGAGTAACGATCATATGGCCCGCATATGGAATGTGGACACGCAGAGATCGGTGCGTAGTGCTCACCCAGTCGAAAATATTCTTATACACTAAGTACTTTTTATATCTTAATTTACAGGTCTCAACTTTATCCGGTCATAATGACAAAGTGTCCGTGGCTCGGTTCTTCTCCTCCCATCAAGTTGTTACCGGGTAAGGGTTGTTACCGGCAAGATGGTTTTTCGAATTCGGATTGTCCGGCTCAAATCCATTTTCCTGCTTCAGATCGTATGATCGCATGCTCAAGCTTTGGGATGCGTCAGCTAGCAAATGTTTGAAGTCCTACTTCCCTGGATCAACGGTAATTACGTTAATTTACTTATTTATGCGCATTTTTAGGTTCTTGATCTCGTGGTATGCCGATCCTACTTCGTTTCTGGCCACTTCGATCGGAAGTTGAGAGTTTGGGACGGACGCACGGCCGAGCCAGCTCAATTATTGGAAATGGGAGGCAGGGTAAGTCTATATAAGCAAAAAATTCTTTAAAATAAGAAAACAAATGACTTACTGGCCGAAATCACGGCTCGCGGCCATGCTGATCACCGATTTGAACTTAAATTTCAGGTCACCGGCCTTTTCAAGACCTCAGACGACAATCAGCTGCTGGTGTTGTCCCGCGACGATACTCTATCGCTTTTGGATATCCGGTCACTCCAGCAACTTCATCTATATTCTTCCGAACCATTCCGAACCGGCGGAGATATGGCTAGATGCGTTGTATGTCAAGTGATCATCGGCTTACGCTTAAATATATAGGTGTCTCCTAACATGTCATATTGTGCTGCAGGAAGTGCTGACGGTGGAATTTACATCTGGAACTTGAGGTAAAACATTTTTAGCCCCTAAGCACCGCATTTCATGGAAAAACCGCTTTGCCCAAAGAAAATATACTTCTAAAAGCGTTAATAATGTCTCCATGAATGTTTCTGTTTCAGGACAACAAAGCTGGAGACCGTACTCAATCGTAACGGACATGAAAACACAGTCCTTTCACTAGCTTGGTGCCCGACTGGACAAGGCCTGATGAGTTGCGATAAGCAAAAGACTGTCTGCGTTTGGGAATGAATCTCTCTCACGCCTCTCATTTTCAGCCGCTTTTTCAATTGTATTTATTTATACAAAACCATTACGCTTTGCATATGATTCGCTAAAACGATGGGTACAACAACAGCTTTTTGTCATACCCTCGCCCTTGCACCTATCGCGATTTTCAAACTTTTTTCTGCCGCCAGTTTCAGCCAAGGTCATGGTTCTTTCGAATATTCTCTTTCCTTTTTTCATTTGCCATCAAGTCCCGTTTGTGATGATAGTACCCTAATCTTTAAATTGCATTTGAATTCCTTGGTTTGTCCGAATCTGCGTCAAACCTACTGGTAAAAATGAAACTTTTACTATAGTTTCTAACGCAAGCAACATGGGAGATCAAATAAAATATGGAAAACGCTGGTCTCAGCGTAAGCTAGGTGTGCAAAAGTCGTGAAAATTCCTGGAAGAATTTCTTGTTAATACATATTTCGCGCCCGGCACAACAAATTATCCCAAACCTCGCTACCGGGTTCAGACAAATTTCCCAGCCGCGCGCTCGTTCTCCTTTTTCAATTCCCGAGACGATAAATTATGGGGCCAGCCATTTCCACGCAATATCAGGACGCCAATTTCATTTGTGATCTCAAATAAAGCGCACATCATATATCCTTAATTGAACTGTGCAAGTTTAGGTATTCTAATCAATGAAGACATTTGTCCCTTTATCCAGAAGACCGGGTTTGGAATTTTCTGTGCACTCGTTGGTCCAAGCGGGCATTCCCACGAAACCGTCGAAAAAATCACCGCACCGTTAGTCCAAACGTGCACCTAGCAACAAAACGGTAGTCTAGGAAGCCGTATCGTCGTGTCTAACGGAAACGTTTTTCGCTTCTGGAAATTAACTTTTTTAAACTTTGCCTCAGTAACGTGCCGAATTAACCTGGCAGTTCTGCTATTTCTAGGCAAATATTGCAAAGCTCTGAAATTTTCGTGACACGGAAAATCACTTTTCTTGCAGCACTCTCAGCCAAGTTGCCTCTCCCATTCTCTGCTTTCTCTACCCATCAAGTTGAAGGCCTGCCAGATAAAGAACAGGCTGAAAGGCCCTCAGCCTGTCTGTTAGAGATAACCTGCACGTTATAGGGGTTTTGGCCCTTTAAAGAGGTTATCTGGCACAGTTTTTTGGTGTTTCATAATTGCCCTTTTTCTAGCAATCTAACCCCGGTCATGAAAATGGTTAAACCTGAAATTTATTAGTATATTTTTCAAAAACGATTGGCTGCTATATTGATTTTAAAACAACCATTCTGGAGGACCAAAATCTTTTCTTTAGAATTTACCAAACTTCCAGGGCTCAGATTAGATAAGTCTGGGTCTAGCAAACTGACGTCATTCAGCGCTCAAAAACCGAAAAGACAGTTCTATCCTATTTTCATAGCGCGTAGGTGTGATTTTCAGCGAACACTCTATTTCCTAACCTTCTCCCTTCACTTGCACACTTTAAACGACGTGAGACAGATCTTCTGCCGCAGATGTTTGCTTTTTATCGAAGAGGCGACTGGTGTTTGTTCACCGACGGAAGTTTTGGGTGAATGAGTGCGACTTTTTGATGTTGGTCAGGGATCTCTTTCCTCAGACTTGCCAGTCTGCTCCCTCCACCTTTTGCTCGCCCTCCCAGTATACACTGAAACACCCAGAAACTGAAACAAAAAGGGGGCCTCGCTCAGCTGGTTAGACTACTAAAACTACAACTACCAACATAACAGCCAGCCACTAGCGCAATTTTTTGGTTCCCACGCTTCTTTTTTGCACCCGGGTTTGTTTGGATTGTCAGCAAGTTGTGGTATTTTCAAATTAGTAACCTTACGGTTTTCTTTGATACTGATAAACTTGTATAAATCTATAATTTGTAGTTGTTTCATTCTTATCCATCTTATAAGTCGTTTTGAACAGAATCAGTTGACCTGTCGCAAATATCTTTTTTGGCGCGCGCGATGACCATCTGCAGGGAATTGCATACCGTAACCGATTACTATCTGTATATCTAGCAAAAAATAACAAGAAATAAACATTTCATTTCGTTTCCGGTTGATTTCTAATGCTTTCGGTAAAGCTCTGAAGATACTAAAGCTCGATTTCAGTGAATGAATTTCACGAACTTGTGCCCTGATGGGCTATGGCCACCCGGGCCCCATTGTTCCAATATGATAGCTGCTGGAATCGAAACAATATTTTGCGTGCTAAATGTAGGATGTGAGTGAAACCTAAACTTTCAACCTTAAAACTGTATTTAGTTCTGATTTACTACTTACGCAGTCGGTATGAAAACCTTCAAACGACAAAACCTTGGCGGAAATGCTTTACGCTGACAATACAGGTTTGGTTAAAATGGTAATTACCTATTATATCATTCTCAAATTCAGGGTCTTCTCTTGGCATTGACATTAACACATCTTGCCTATAATGCATACCAGTTCAAAGCACTATTTATATTTGAGGATCTGGCAGCGGTGAGTATAATTGATGGTGTGGTAACCGTTTTATTATATACCAGGGTTGAAAAGCCGCTTCGCGACTTTTCAACCCTGGCCCCGTCTGATCGCATGATGTACCTCACTTTGCATAATTCTTGGATTTCCGATGACCAAAAAGAAAACCGCGCTCGCTAGCCCATTATATAGGCTACCGGAACTTCCGGCGCATGCTAATTTTTTCCTAACAAAGAGGATCGCCGATTTGCCAACAAAAACTTAATTTTAATGTCGAAAATAGGCAATTTTGATAAATCTGATCTGCGTGCAGTCATCTCAGGGCCATTACGCACCTAATGACGTATCGCACGTAGCCTAATACCCTTCCCCTCTTGAGATATCCTCCGGACAGAATGACGGAAGTTACATGCAAAGTGGCACAGACACACACACACACAAACACTATTTTTTTATATATAGTAGGATAAAAGGCATCATATCTAATTTTAATGAGAAATTTACATTTTAATCACAATTTTAGTTCGCATTCTGGGCCACCGCTTTTGCCGTTGCTTTTCAGTGGCGAAAAACAACGGCATATCCCTACATCGAGATCTTCGTCTACGTTTTTGGAGCAGCAACGGCGGTGCGTTTTACGAAACGTGCTCTTGAAATTAGAATTACAGATCCTACCCTTGTTCAATGTTCGCAGCTTCTTCCCGTATGGGTAAGCTAAGAATTACATCAGTTAATAACATATAAATAGGGTCAAGAATGTGCAAGGAGTTTTCTACATCACATACTCGACGCTGGTCGGAATCTTGATAGTTACCGTTGGTATCAACTGTCTACCAAGCTGCGGAGCTGATAATGTAAGTGAAAAGGCTTGTAAACCAAATAAAATTACATTTAGCCGTGGGCCAATTTCGGAAAGAAGGTGGAAAAAATTGCTCCCTACGTCTGGCCGAAGAAATCACTGACCCTACAGTTTCGGGTTGTTCTTTGTCTGATTCTCCTGGTCTTTGGGCGTTTGATCAACTTGGCATTGCCCCTTTACAACAAATGGATTGGTATGTGTTATTTATGGGCCAGATAATACTTTATTATTTAGTCGATGCGCTTGGAGAGCCCCACAACTTCCCCTACATGCTTATATTGATCTCGACTGGTTTGAAGTTTTTGCAGGGGAATGGAGGTAAAGAGTTTCACAAGCTTCTCTGAATATTTTTATAGCCATGGGCGGATTTCTGAACACTTTACGAACTTATTTGTGGATCCCGATTCAACAATATACAACAAGAGAAATTGAGGTATGAAATCACAACATATAGAAATTTGTTCCTTATTCAGGTTGAACTTTTCGAACATTTACATTCATTGTCACTTCGATGGCATTTGGGCAGGCAAACGGGTATGGTGCTCCGGGTGATGGACCGTGGCACACAGTCCGTCAATAGTATCTTGAAGTAAGTACATTGATAAAGGCGACTATCGATATATTATTACAGCTACATCCTGTTCAACATTGTTCCCACGCTTGCCGATATCGCCATTGCTGTTGTATTTTTCTTCACAACGTTCAATTACTATTTTGGGCTGATTGTATTGGCAACTATGGTCATTTATCTTGGTGGGTAACCGAAATCCAGAGACAGCTCATCTTAAATCAACCATCTATGTTAATTAATTTCAGCATTTACCATCCTAATCACGGAGTGGAGGACACAGTTTAGACGCGAGATGAATGAAAAGGTTGGCTAATTGCATATTTTTAGATATTCGAAGGTAACTGGAAAACCACCCTCGTTTTCCAGGAAAACAACTGGAGCGCCATCGGCACGGATTCTCTTCTAAACTATGAAACTGTAAAATATTATGGAAATGAGCAATACGAGGCGGATCGTTTTAGGAAGGCTATTCAAGAGTAAGTCTTTGACAAATATATTTACTCTGCTAACTTAACTTAAATTTTTTTGAAACGTTCAGCTTCCAACCTTTTAGGTATCAATTTGCCGAATGGAGATCAAATGCATCCCTAGCTTTCCTGAATTTGACACAAAACTCGATTATTGGAGCTGGTACACTTTTCTTTTCATCCTTCAAGTAGTCCTTCTAGGACTGGTTGCTGGATCTCTCCTTGTGGCTTACCTGATCGCTTCCGAAGGCAAGTTGAGCGTTGGTGACTACGTGCTCTTCACCACCTATATCCTTCAACTCTACACGCCATTGAATTTCTTTGGAACGGTTTACAGGTAGACCCTGATCAGTTTTGGCTTTTGTACAGTCTCGAACATGGTACGAATGGAACAAATGCTTCTAGAACCATCCAGCGATCATTCATTGATATGGAAAATATGTTTGATTTGATGGAACAGGAAGTCGAGGTGAGCACTAGAAAGAATTGTAAAGTAAGGAAAAAATTTCAGGTAGCTGATGCGCCAAACGCTATCGAGTATTACCCCACGGATGGCTGTATTTCGGTGCAGAACGTGTCGTTCGAATATACACCCGGAACACCGGTTTTGAATGAGTAAGAAACCCATCAAATCTTATACATTTTGTATTATAGTATCTCGTTCGAGGTGAAGAGTGGAGAGACCATTGCGCTGGTAGGTTTCCACACTCCCGCCTTGCTCCAAAAACCATAACCCCAAATAAATTAAATCTACAGGTTGGGGAATCAGGAAGTGGAAAGTCAACAATGATCCGGCTACTTTTCCGTCTCTTCGAAGTTGGCAGTGGAACCCTCAAGTTCGACGGCACCGATGTGAAAATGGTAGGTGCTAGGGTTACGAAGTGGATGAAACTTCATTTAGCTTAAACTACGCACTCTCCGGAAGCAGATTGGTATTGTGCCCCAGGACACTGTTCTATTCAACGATACGATTAGGTAAACTGATGTGATGTTCAAAGGCAACAAAGTTGTAGGTACAACATCAGGTTCGGTAACCCTACCGCAAGCGATGAAGAAGTTGAAGAGGCGGCCAAGGCTGCAATGATTCACGAGAAGATTATGGCACTGCCAAACAGTAGGTCCAGCAATCGCACCTCTGCTATTTCGCGAGCTGGTATCAAAAATTGTTTCAGGATATGAGACGCTGGTTGGAGAACGTGGCCTCAAATTGTCCGGGGGTGAGAAGCAAAGGGTAGCCATTGCCCGAACGATCCTCAAGAAACCGCAGTTCATCTTTTTGGACGAGGTATTGATAGATAGACTTGCAAGATGGTGTTTAGGCCACCTCCGCGCTTGACACCCCAACAGAACGCGCCATTCAACGTTGCCTTGAAGATTTGTGTGCTTCCCGGACGTCTGTGGTAAGTTTGTGGGAAACTCCTGACTTACGACTGTCACAAAAACCTGTGTTAAAATGTAATCATTTAGGTTGTTGCCCATCGACTCTCCACAATTGTAAATGCTAGTCAAATCCTTGTTTTGCACAAGGGTCAGGTTGTCGAACGTGGAAGGTAAGCTCACACTCGGTCGCACCACCATGAAATAATTTTTAGACACCACGACCTCCTTCTAATCAACGGTTTGTACGCCAGGATGTGGGAGTCACAGTCGCAAAGCGAGGCCTACAACTCTCACAGCCCAAACCCAAAAGTTGAATAGTGATAGGCATCATTGGTTTTTTTTGCTACCGTCTTCCACACTGGGTATCAAATGAGTCTCATCAGTCCTACTAACTAGTTTTCCTACACCGGTACGCCATCCCATATTTCTTTTATGATTGCTTCATCTATTTTCCTCGATTCTTGCGTGTATGTAATCTTCTTTCGATTTCTGATTAACCACGTCGATAAAATGACCAGTGGTATAAAGTTTTCGAAATCTCAGGTTGGAAAGAAAGTAATGGCACAAAATCTTTAAACCGCTGTAAAAACCCGCAGGAACGTCCGATTTGAAAGTTTGTTATATGGTTTGGTAGATCTTCGAATGTTCTATCACGAAACGACTATCAAGGCGCACAAAAACTGACGCACGCGAAGACACAGACCTCAGAAGTTTCGCAGAAAATTCGCTGAAAGCTTCCAAGCGAGATATCTCTGCATACAGGCATTTGCATACGATACTTTTGACACCAATCGATAGCCCTCGAGGAAGAGATATCGACAAATCTTGAGATCATCAAAATCGAACACTGGACGGCCGAGATATGGGCCTTCCAAGCTCAATGCATTTCCTGGATTTTGGTTCGGGAGCTGAAGCAAACGTAGCAGAGTTTTTGGCTCGCGGAGGCCAAATTGTATGGGATTTCTAGAAAAGTTTAAGAAGCGGACCAAATTTCAAGGGCCCAGATCTCGGCCGTCCAGTGTTCGATTTTGATGATCTCAAGATTTATCGATATCTACTCCTCGAGGGCTATCGATTGGTGTCAAAAGTATCGTATGCAAATGCCTGTATGCAGAGATATCTCGCTTGGAAGCTTTCACCGAATTTTCTGCGAAACTTCTGAGGTCTGTGTCTTCGCGTACATTAGTTTTTTGGTGTTTTGAGGGTCGTCACGTGATGGAGCATCCGAAGATCTACCAAACCATGTATCATACTTTCAAATCGGACATTCCTGCGGGTTTTTACAGCGGTTTAAAGATTTTGTGCCATTACTTTCTTTCCAACCTGATAGAAGGACAAGATACACCTACCTAGTCACTGCAGGTTGTTTCAGTAACCCGTTATCAGGCAATACTGAATTCGCATAGGTGGTCTCGACCACCCTATAGAGACCTCGAGACCACCATACTGAATTCGCATAGGTGGTCTCGACCACCCTATAGAGACCTCGAGACCACCATACTGAATTCGCATAGGTGGTCTCGACCACCCTCGAGACCACCATACTGAATTCGCATTGGTGGTCTCGACCACCCTATAGAGACCTAGAGACCACCATACTGAATTCGCATAGGTGGTCTCGACCACCCTATAGAGACCTCGAGACCACCATACTGAATTCGCATAGGTGGTCTCGACCACCCTATAGAGACCTCGAGACCACCATACTGAATTCGCATAGGTGGTCTCGACCACCCTATAGAGACCTAGAGACCACCATACTGAATTCGCATAGGTGGTCTCGACCACCCTATAGAGACCTAGAGACCACCATACTGAATTCGCATAGGTGGTCTCGACCACCCTATAGAGACCTCGAGACCACCATACTGAATTCGCATAGGTGGTCTCGACCACCCTATAGAGACCTCGAGACCACCATACTGAATTCGCATAGGTGGTCTCGACCACCCTATAGAGACCTCGAGACCACCATACTGAATTCGCATAGGTGGTCTCGACCACCCTATAGAGACCTAGAGACCACCATACTGAATTCGCATTGGTGGTCTCGACCACCCTATAGCGACTGGTCGTCTTGATTGATTCAAGACATTATCATGGTGTTTAGCGCCAACTCCGTATTAGATGTTTTGCACAAGAATTTCTGAGCCATTTGCGGGGGTGGGTTTTTCCGTATCCAACGTACTGAAATTTTTAAGGTTTGTGTGCTGGGCTTGCCGACCCTCTGCCTCGCGATCTATTAATAATCAGGATCATCTGCAAGATTATTCAGGCATTCTTACAACTCCTACCGTAGCTGGCAGGGCCATAAAAACTGAGCACCCCATCACAATAATACATATCTTCAATCCATTCACAGATCGGAGTAGCTGTCGTTGCAAATGGGTTGTAGTAATTTGAATAGTCAGGGCAATCTCGAGTTTCATATTGCAAGGTGTAAAAGTCGTAATATTGATACGAACAGCCTTCAGGGGTAGAGGAAGTCAGGGGATTTGAGGTTGTTTCAGAAGTGTCCGTTCCATCATAATTACCATAGTCATATCCGTAATCGATACATTCATATTCGAAAAAGTAGTCTCCTTTATCTGGATCGTCGTATACCCAAAAACCACATGTCTTTTTGTGGTGGTTTCCGATATGAAAGTCGTTGGGGAGTATGGTGTTGTGCTGACGCCTTAACGAATGCGAGTGAGGTTGAGAAATGACTTTGCTAGCAGTTTATCAAAAGATGCAAAATAAATAGATACATGCAATACAAACCTGTCAAAGCTTTGGTGGATTTAGTCTTCATGGATTTAGTAGCAACGTTTTTGGTTATGCTTTGAATAGAGCTCGTTTTCGTTACAGTTTTAGTTATCTTTCGTTGTTTTCGATGCGTAACTTTCGATACGGCAGGGGATACGGTAGATTTTATAGTTTTCGCCAAACTTTGCATAACTGTCTTGACGTTTGTGAAGCTGAAATGTTTCAAAAACGTATAAAATGAATTGTCGTAGGCGCGCGGGCCGTTTAATTAAAGCGCCTTCTTAGAGCAAAAGCACCTGCGCAGGGGTCGAATGCTCCTAAGTGTCACCTAATAAATTTTTATGGTAAATTCTGAAGCGTTGTGCTTGACACAAGGCAACTTTATTGTAGTTTCCAAAGGAATTTTCATAACATGGTCATCTTCCGTCATCATTGCGAGCTACGACTAGGATTGGAGCACGGCCTAGCGTTTTTCGACGTTGGACGCGTAGAAAAATTATAAAATTAAGCCTGGAACACATAATGAAGCAAGAATAGAGGACTCACCCAAAGAATCCAAATAGACCGAGGTTAAGAAATGGTCCTACGATGAAAATTACTGGCTCTCCGAGGTCTAGGGACCGGGACGATATTTGTGCGATTATTCCCAGAAGATTTGCGCCGTGGTTCAAGATCATCTGGCATGCATTTATTTAGCACAAATTTTTCCTGTACCGTTAATGCCAGCTTGAATTCGACTAGCAATTCATCAGAATCAGGATCGGCGCGCTAAATCCGTTCAAATGCCTAGATTTAACTTCTTTGTTACATACAAACTGCCGATGTGCCGTCCACGTCACTATCCCATCTAGAAGAAAACCCAAAAGCCAGACAGCAACCAACAAATATAGCGTAATGAGCGACATATAATAACTCAAGATTTTCGTCCAAATATCATCCGGGTTTTGACGGGTGATCAGTACAACAAATGTAAAAGCGGCTCCAGTAAAATGTGATTGCGCAAGCGGGGCTAGAAATCAGATATTAATGATCACCGGAAGGTTTACGAATTAATGTAGGTATATTGAGAATCGCGGGAACCAGGATTAGGACGATGATCTTCCATATCGAAAAAATATTCATCCGATCGTAATGTACGCCATCAAAATGGACGGCAAAATACCTAAAAATACTTAAGCACCGAGGAGAGCAAACCGGTTAACCGACATTGCAAACTCGGTAATTCTAATTGAAGCCATGAAAGCAATATAGAAGTATCCTAGAATATCATCACCGGTTAGACTCGCTGGATAAATCCTAATAAAATTTTTAGCATCCTAGAAAAGTCACCTCAGGTTTCTTGGGATGCACCAAAAAAGGTAAATCATCAGGTTTACGAATCGTAATGTCAATTCGAGATAAAAGAGCGGCTTAATATCTTTTGCTAGCAAGTTGTTGTTCACTATTACATACAGAGCAACACATTGAATTGGAGCTGAAATGATGCACATCTAAATAACGTTTTTAGAACTTACGTAAGGCGAGAAATTGCAAAAAATCGCAAGCTTACCCCTCCCAGCATTGCCGATCTTAAATTTAGATCGTAGTCCGTAAAATTTGCCGTTTGATTGCTTGTATAATTCATAGAATTTCATAGAAAATGAGGTATCTGCGAGCTGTTCATTTTCATGACCAAAATACCATCATAATGTACCCCTGAGGGAAGCCCGCCAAAATCAATTTTCTTGTTATGCGTGTCCTTCCTTTTGTGATAACTTACAACGAATCCCGGAGTTATCTCGCGGGTATTGCTGGTTTTGTAAGTTTTCGATGGAAGCTGCCTTGGAAAATAAAAATATAATAAATTTTTAAGCGTTGTCGGTGTCTTTGTCTAAAAAGCATTAAAAATTCTTTAGTTTGCGGTAACAATTTATTTTTCCCAATCACAATGTTATAACACGGGCGTTTCAAAAAAAAACAGATTGCAAATAGATGTTGTACAGAAGAGTTTGTTGGCAGGTAATAAAACAAAAAAGGAGCAGAAAGCCAAAGTTGAGCAAGGCCGCGGGGAAGTGGAATAATTATCCACAACTCCGAAATATTATAAACTACAGCCTTTGGATTTCATATGATACACATAAAAGTGCAAACCCGTTCATCGGCGGAATAGGAATTTTTTTTCGAGGCGCGATTTATATAGTATTCGTGCTTTGATGCCCTATTTTTGTAGTTTTCCAGATCGAGAAAGTTCTTAGGAGCTTTGCAGATTCTGGAATATGCCCGTCAAATTTCGATAGGTGTTCCTTTTCCTCGCTGATGAATGGGGGAACCTCTATCACGAGCTCTAAAATTATATTTTCTATTGAAAAAATCTGTCTTAAATAATCATACTAAATAAATACACATAATATAAAATAATAAAAGGTTCTGTACCTTTTTTGGCAGTATAGGTAGCAGCTTCCCACGATGAAGATAACAGCAAACGCCATTAATATGATGAACATGAATGTCTGAAATGCTAACTTCGTCAAGATAAGATAGTTAATGAGCATATATCTGTATATCTGTTTTGCATAGAACGGCTAAGCGATGGATTTGTGTCTTTGAAACTTAGGATTTAAATTTTACCAACCACAAGTGTGCTTATCCGGTCGACGCTGGCTTGTATTCTTCGCGAAGTGTCAAAATTCTCATGGATTGTCCCTAAAAAAATTCAATTTAAGTTGTTAATTACTTACATAAAAGGCCATTTAACATTTCGCGTTGCTGATCTCGCCCATGTGGGGATGCGTAGGTTTCATATCTAAAACACGTATTAAGAGAGGTATTCTAAAACTAAAAAATAAAAACGAAGGCCCTTACCGATGATCCTCTCGCCCCATTCTGACCATATGTCGCTGGTTAAACCTTTCGAGTCCTAACTACGCATCAATCAGTGGACTAAAAAGCTACCTGGAAATAAAGGAAGTAATAGAATTATCGATGATTTCAGAATTAAAAGGAAAAACCAAAATCAAACGACCGTTTGGTGCCTAAAGGTCATGAATGATTCAAAAAGGGGTTGAAAAACCGTGTTTCCTCAAATCAAGCCCCCGAAATTTTTCCTGGATTGCATTCTAAATTAAAAACCCAGCTATTTTTACTTAAGTTTTCCGCGCTGATCCGGAATGGCCCTTAGCAATTTCGAGCTCGAAAAATAGACTTAATTACCCAAAATAAAAAATTTAGCCGTACTTTCAACACAATACTTTTCGAGTCGTTGAAGAATAAAGCACCGGGTCAGATTAAATAGGGCATGTTAAATTTATATAGATAAGCCTTGAAGATTCCTTGGCAAGAGCCCAGCAGCCATTTCACCGGTGACCCACCTAAAACCCTCGTAGATTTCATATTCAGCTACGAAAACGGCGGGAGCTGTAAATGGGGTGACGGCGGGGTGGGTGGTCGGGGTGGCGAGAAGGCTATGGACAGCCTTTTTCAAGGGTGAGATGTCAGCACAAAAAGGGCCGAATAACGAGGTTAGGGAAGGGATGTGGATGGGGGACCTGCAACACTAAAGGGTCTCGAAAGGAACTGGCTAGATACCCCGTCAAAAACACGCAAAAAAAGCTTCGTCCGGCCTGGGGCGTAGAAGACCCGTGAGGTCCCCGGGTCAAGGATGGCCGAGCTTCCATAAAAAGGGCGTGATGCGCAAATAGCGAATTAATATGACTTTTGATAATTGTGGAAAATTCTCTAGAATAATAGCGTAAAGTCTCGCTCTCGCAACTAAAAATGTATTTAAGGAGCGGCTGGTAATATTCTATTCTGCTCCTATTGTTTCTGCCGAGCCGCACCGCGGCCACTTGCATGTTACGCATAGAAATATGGCCATAGCAAACAGAACATGACGAATAACGATAGGGCGATAGCAAATTTACAGGCTCGTGTTTGCGGTTCAATTGTAATTTGTAGAAAGATATAAAACGAGAGACAGTACAACGGAATTGAAAAAGTTTAGAATAGCCGCGAAAATAAAATATAAGACAAAAGTTCGAGAGCAGCAGTGCTTGGAAGGTGTAAGCAAAACTGGTCCTCGAAGACGATGCCGTCCCCATGAATGTTTCTCAAAAAAGGTTGGGCGTTGGGACCCCGGCTTTATAGGAAGGGCCAAACAGGGACGCCATTCTTCTTCTCGGGTGCCGGGGCAGTGGTGGGCTAGGGATTAAAAAAACTGGAAAGTCGGTTGGGTTGTAAAAGGGGGAAAGGCTAGAAGACGCGCTTGCAAGTGTGGAGATCAAATTCAGAAGGACAGCTGGATCCCGAAATTCATAATTATGACCGTTACAGAGCCTGCCATACGATTTAATAAGGATTTAATAACGGTTCTTTGCTAGTATCAGAAACGGAACCAAGGTAGAAGAACTATTTACGTCTAGTTAAGCTAAAAGTATACCTAAGAGACTTTCCCACTTGTCGAGCCAAGGAAGAATTGAGTGGTCCCCACTCGGGGTCAAGCTGTTTGATGTTGACAAGTGGAAGGGACAAGGGCTCTTGATTGACAGAGCATGACGGAGCACCGATCCAAACACCCAACGGAAAGTGATCCTACTTACGGCTTTAAGTGGGTTTGACCTCGCTGAAGAATGACATAAAAACCCAATTGACATACAAAAATATAAAATATAATACCCCATAGAAAATAAAGCAGAGGTCTACACTCCAGGCTCTAAAATATGCTGAAGTTTCTTAAAACCTATGACTAGCATCGCCCATGGCCTCGAATCAATGCCCTTGAATGGATCGACAAAAAGGCGAAGACGAACTGGCCCTCCTGGCACCCCCGATAATTATTTCGACTACAAAACCACCTGCCCTCAGGGCCAAAGCGAGGCACTCTGTGATTTCCGGGGGAGGAAGCCGTTAGCGAAGAGGAAATTGGCAACGAAAACCTCATTACGTCATTTAAAAATTGAAAGTACGAGTTGAATATAAGTATTGAATGAATTTATATGTAAAGACCTCTGTCGCATTAGCATTATTGGAATAGCATTTCTGGTATTGAAGCAGAACGGGCTAAGGAATGCGTTCGTGTCCCCACGAAACCCCAGGCTCGCCCGAATCTCACGGGTTTATTGAGGCGTCACCAATTACGGAGCGGATGCCCCCCTAGGGCCAGCGCCCAATTTCCGGACAGATTCGGCCGGGGGTCCGCGAATAACGGCTGTCTTTCGTCTTTACTACCTAGAGTGGGCAAAGAAAAAAATGGCTGGAATGGCGAGGACAGCTCATTTATATGTCCGTGCGCAATCCTCAGAAAAGAAAGAAAAAAACGAGATTGGTTATAATGCTAAACTTATAAATGAAAATTAAAGAGTTTTGAACTCATCGAAAACATACGCGGAACCAATTCCTATAATACGCGTTTTAGTGCTCACTAGGGAAGCTTCGGGGATGGGGGGCCTTCATGTCCATAGCTCGTTCATCAGGTAATTGGGGGTAATGCGCACAAGTTTTCATCATTTTGGCCCGTCAGTGGTGGCGTGGATGGGATAAAAAGCTTTTCGCGTGCTTCGTGTTTGCTATATGTTTGAGCAACTGGCAAAGTAGGAAAAGTTAATGCTTCAGAAACACACAGTAAAGCAATAGTCGCGTTTTCAAAACGAAATTCTCTCCCAGTTTACAATAAAGCCCCTATAATGCGAGAATTTATATACAATGAACCTATCATTTATTAAGTGGATAAACAGGTAAAACGAGGGCACATCTGAAAATACCAAAATATTACGACAACGGCCGTGAGATCTCCTAGCCCTCTGCGCAAATTGAGTTGTAATCTTGCCCCTCACCGATGATCGATGAGGGATATCCGATTAAGCTTCTGTCGTTGAATGACATTATCTGGGCAGATTATCCTTATCAACTTTTTTATCTTAAAACCAATATTTAGATAAAAGTATAAACCTCGGAAACATTATCCTAGGCTTTTGCATGCTGGTTTTATAAGCTTAGGCTTAGGCTTAGGCTTAGGCTTAGGCTTAGGCTTAGGCTTAGGCTTAGGCTTAGGCGTAGGCGTAGGCTTAGGCTTAGGCTTAGGCTTAGGCTTAGGCTTAGGCTTAGGCTTAGGCTTAGGCTTAGGCTTAGGCTTAGGCTTAGGCTTAGGCTTAGGCTTAGGCTTAGGCTTAGGCTTAGGCTTAGGCTTAGGCTTAGGCATCGGTCTCTGCACAGCTGCGTCTGTTTTTCTTGCTGTTATATGCCCTCCGTGTGGACCAGGTGGGTAGCGAGTGGGTGGGCAGGTTTTGGCCTGGATTTTCTTGAAAAATTTAAAACTAATACATTTAACTAAACCGTCTTGATCATAACGGCGTCGCAATCCAAGTGAGGGCGCAAATATGCATTTCAAAAAACGTGTGAATTTGGCAGAGAAAGCGCTTCGGGGAAAAGGCCATTGGTCCGGCGCACGGCACGATTGCTAGAAAACAGCCATGACAGCTACAAATCAAATGGTGGATTGTAGTGGTTAAGTTTTGAGATGTTAGTGAGGTAAGGTCGATGGAAAATAGCTTCTTTCTGAAAATTGGCTTTTTTCCGGAAAGGCGTTGTGAATATTTTATGAGACGGAGTTTCCAAAGCGCATTTTCGGAAAGGGTTTGAACTGATTTTTCGGCTTAAAATAAGCATTAACAATAGCTCTCAATTTTTTTGCTAAGGTTCCAAGAGTAACAGGTTTTTAATTAATTTGAGGAGCAGCATTTGCTATAACTATTACTGTAGATTTCGAAAAATTGTTTGAAATTCCAGACCGACAAGATCTAATTCCAAAATCACGAAAATCGTCCACGTGTAGCCTCAGAGCACCGCCACCCACAAATAGCGTGTGCAGTAGAAGACGTTGGCCGGGTGTGAGGAGTTGCGAGTGATTTCCTTTTCGCCGTGGCGCTGGGGCCATCTTCTCTTTTCGACGGGGGCCCCCAGATTTCGGATCTTTTCGGTGGGCCAGTGGGCCCTTTCCGCGTTTCCCAGTTTCGGGCCGGCTTCTTCTTGGGCCCTCTCCGGTTGGTGCTCGCCGGGGGCGGCCGATGCCGTTTATTTCGGAAGGTCTCCTCCCGCCCTGTCGGTTGGTGGGTCCAGGCGCCCGGCCGGAATCATTGCATTACACGTGCCCCCATGAACCCCACAACACCCAAACCACACGCCTAGCAGCAGACGGCAAAACTGGTATTGGCGCCTAGGGTAGTAAGCCAGAGGAGTGTAGCAAAGACTCAAAAGCCAAAACTTCCTTATGAAAGATTTTCTAACGCGCTTACATTCGTGTCTCAGAGTTCATTTGCATGCAATATCTATCAGTTTTCCCCGAGGATATCTCAAGAGCGAAAAGTTTAAATGAATCTTCTATACATGATGATTGTGATGACATGGTGATCATGATTTGGTGACATGATTACTGTACACATACCAGATTGTTACGCAAAAGTTTTACGATGTCAAATTTAATTTAAAATTTTTCTAAAATCCCTGGGATTGCCATTAGCTAGAAAGCAATTAGAAGTGACCGGGAGTGGGGGCGTTATGGAAATGAGCAGAATGACAGGTATAAATTACCTAAAAATCATAACAACCCAACCTATCAATACAACGATATATCAATCCCCTCTCCAAAGCCAAATCCCCCGAATTGGGGGCTTGAAGCTGTTGAGTGCACTCGGGGAATGGATTAGTTTAAAAAAGGGCCCCCGAATGGGTGGAGGGTCCCCCGAATGAGGTAGAGTAAAATTCGGGCCCGATGCAGCCCTCAGAAAAAAAAACGCAGGCCCGAAAAAGTGGACAACAAAGGAGGGGGCCCTACGCGGGTGTGCCCTATTAGCGTGGAATGGAAAAGCGGGGTGGAACCGTTAGTTGCCTACTTTTATCTGGAGATGAGGTCTAAATAAAAGTAATGTCTGAAAACTGAGATCTTGGTTTGCGGGAATTTTTAAAATCATCTTCGGCTTTGTTATTGCTAACTGAAAAGTGACAAATTGAATGGAAAAAGTCAGCATTCGGTAAAGCTCTAAATAAATTGGAATGATAAACATGCTAGAAAATTTATTACGAACATTTCTAATTGCACCAAAATTAACCCTCCAGGCAGGCACGAATGACCCGAAACACCAATGCACCCGTTGGTATGCCTCTCACATCTAAAAATCATCTTAAATAACAACTTCGTGCCATAGAGAAAGTACTTTCGAAAAGATGTTACCCTATTAGCGGTGGCCGCGAGAGCAAGCACGCGTAAAGAAAGAAGCCTTTTCGTGGTTGAGGTGGATGGATGAGGGGATGAGTGGGCTAATGAAATGCCGTCGACCCTCGTAGCAAAAGCCTTCCCCTACCCCATTTCTTTTGCGGGGTCTACCCTTTTGCTAGTCTCCTGCGCGGCCAACATTTTCGTCGCTCGGTCTAATTTGACACCATGTCAGGGGAGGGGGAGCTGTGTTCCGGAACGCACCCTGGCTATATTAGTGCGCTGTGGGGTTCGTATTGGTCCACCGGTTAATGTTTTGATTTTTAATAGAAATTTATTTTTAGCAGGGAGGTTCAACCACATAATTAATGCCGCCCTTTTATGTACATATGTGTATCTACCCTTGCTCAGTCACTGCGTAAATAAGTGTATACGTAGTCCGTTTTAAAGAAACAGCCAAGTGGGACAGTAAGGGTAGGTAGAAAGTAGTTGCAGTTAAAACCTTGCAGTTAGAAAGGAAGTATCCCCAGAAAAAAGGTCTACGCACGCAACCAATTGGTGCGCTTCAAAAAATGGGTTTATTTGCGCGTTGGGTTCTAATTTCGTCGAGTGGATCGGGAGGGAGGGGGGAGGACTAATCGAAATTGAGGAAACGAGATATGCATCGGCAAACATAAGGCCCGGTGCCGGAAGCGCACGATTATGTTGACTCGGGATCGGTATTGCTGTGGGGGGGGGGCAAGATTGAGAATTAAAAGGGGGTAGAAATTAGCTTGGAATCTTGATATCAATACTTGTAAAAGTACGAAAACGCAAGATCGGAAATGGCACATGTCAGAAATCGGTGATCCGGAATATCGATTTTCATGGTTTTTGCAAAACTTTCCTATAAACCAGAAAGTAAGCCTCAACTTAAACTATCGTGGTAACCATCCATCATCCCACCACAAACTTGCCGCCTTGATTTATTTGGTATCCCAGGAAGAAGTGTGTTGCTTTGCAACGCGAAGACCCAGGCACCAACCAAAGCAATATTTCTTCTAGAAACCATTGCAGGGCCAAATCTTGCGAGAAACAGGTGAAAGGAAGGCCACAAATCATCCAATCGGGTCTGATTTCAAAATGCCGTTAGAATCGAGGGTGCGGGCTGCCAACATATGCATGGGGCGAATGCCGGCCGTTCGCACCACACCGGAAGCCGGCAGCCGGCTGGCTGTGGGTGTTTAGAATTTAGGAAAAAGATGGTTGGTATATAACTTCGTACAAGAAAAGGACTCATAGCTAGCTTATACGGCGGGCGACCATTTAAAAAATTCAGATTTGAAAGGAGTTATTCCCGAAACTATGTCATTTCAAAATCTCGTATGTAAATCAATTCGTACAATCGCTACAAAATGTGCAAAGAACCAAAGTTTCCCCACCCCTTGAAGGCGCTGCGAAATGGTGATGGTTTTCGGGAAGGATTTGATGGGGATCCCTTGGGGTTGAAGAAGAAGAGGAAGAAGCCGAGTATGCAAATCACTCAGCTCCCCGCCACCCTCTCCAACCCATTCAACAAATCCAAAAATATTACTCCCCGACAAAAAGGCGGCTATGCGTATGTGGGGGATGGTCCTTTGGGGCTTATCAATCTAGGGTCGCGACCTACGAGAATAAACAACCACAGTAGCCGACAAGGGTACCAAAAAATGAGCTTAATGTTAGGCTGATGATATTTGCTATAAAAAGGGGCCGCTTTTGCTTTTGCTCAATAAAATAGTGAACAAATATATAAGAAATGATAGGTTACGTCCCATTTCTGTCCTATAAGCCCAAAAACGTGGATTAAGCGGAATCCTATGTTAGCAGCCAAAACGTTACAAATGGCATCCATAGTATTGATGTTAGAAAGAAGAGGAAACACCTGCCCTGCGGCTGGCTGGCCAATTCATGCTTCATTGAGCGGCCGGGAAGGGCCAAGTCAAGGGGAAGAACCTACTCTACCCACTCATTCACTTCAACCAAAGTCTCTTCATGTGCTCAACCATAGTCTAAAAGCCATGTAATAAATGTGTAGAAAATAACAAATCTGGGTAGGAAGGAGTGAAATTTGTGACTTGGACATTTTGATAAGAAAACTATCGAAAATATGTATAGACTATAGAAAATACCACCATGCAGCTGTCAATACGAATGCGAATAAATAACCAATGCGAATTCAGTATGGTGGTCTCTAGGCCTCTATAGGGTGGTCGAGACCACCAATGCGAATTCAGTATGGTGGTCTCTAGATATCTATAGGGTGGTCGAGACCACCAATGCGAATTCAGTATGGTGGTCTCTAGATATCTATAGGGTGGTCGAGACCACCAATGCGAATTCAGTATGGTGGTCTCTAGATATCTATAGGGTGGTCGAGACCACCAATGCGAATTCAGTATGGTGGTCTCTAGATATCTATAGGGTGGTCGAGACCACCAATGCGAATTCAGTATAGTGGTCTCTAGGTCTCTATAGGGTCTATAGGTCTCTCCAAAAAGATTAGATGAAAGCTTGGGTTCCTACTTTGCTTAACATATTAAAAACCTTCTTTCCAGCTCCTTTAAACCTTCAGATCACAGCAATTCCTTTCTAAAATTTAAATTATTATTTTATATTTTAGTTTATTATCATTAAACTAATACCTTTCTGCCTTAATAAATTCAAGCCGAGTACTTAAAATACGGTATTCGTGCTTTCTTACGAAACCTATGCCCAATTTTTTTAAAGTAGGTTAAGATTATAAAAAAGTAGCTTCTTACTGTATCTTTTGATCTAAATTAAGTTGAAATAGTACCCTTTTGCCTTGATAAATTCAAGCCGAGTACCTAAGATATAGTACTCGTGCTTTCTTACCAAACCTATGGCCAATTGTTTTAAAGTAGATTAAAAATCCTGTAATGTTACATTTTCACAAAAAAAAGTTCTTTCACAAACTTTTCGGCGTCGGGTTTCAAAAGTTGATTCCCACGATTGTCGAATTGCCGGCAACCAGTATGAATGAACGCCCCTTCATGCCCTTTCGCGCCGTGGCAATTTGGAAAGTTCCAGCGTTCGAGCAGGCAGTTTGTAAAGCTCGAGCCGAGGGAGCCCAGGAGGCCGGTAGCCCAGAGAGCTCAAGGAGCTTCCTGAGGTATATTAAAGTACAATTGACATTAATTTTGGACTATTATACTAGTATTAGTACATTACTACAAGATTTAATACGAATTTTATACCCTTTTGCTGCAAAACTTTCTTGGGCTCCCTGGGCTCCCTGGGCTCGAGCTTTGCGAAATGCCGTTCGAGCAGATTTGGAAAGTTCGAGCAGAGCAAAACATTGACGGCTACAAGTAGTCAAGTAGCAAGTAACTAGTCTGAACAATAACATTGAAGGATTGAATGGGGACGCAGACAAAGCTCGGTTTTCTTTTGTTAATTAGGTAGTAGTAGTATATTAGTAACTCGTATATTATTACGTTGTAATACGAAAAAAAGTTGGTTTCGCCCCTGATAAAACTTCCTCCGAACCGTTAATGAAGTTTTGCAATCTAAAATCGACGTTTTTATTGTGAATAATGGGCGCTAAAATATGTTGACTCCTGTTATACTGAACGCTCGAACGCTCGAACCTTCCAAATTGCCCCGCGCCCTCCTGTAGGTCGCCCCCCCCCCTGTAAATGACGCCCCCTAAACGAGCCCAAAAATGGCGTTATTTACAGGAAAAGTCCATCTGCAAAGCCCACGCTCCGTGGAAAAACACGTCCTACTTTGTCATGCCTGTCCTGGTTTCGGCATTTAACATTTTTTTCCAGAATCGCCCTATGGCTTCTCGCCGAGAGGGCTCGGCTGAAGAAGACGAAAGATTTCCGTTGAGCGAAAGCAGTAAGTCCTTCGAGTTTCCTGCCTTTATGATAACTGTAGGTAAAAAAGCTCATGACGCCCACTTGAGCCGCTTACAAAGCTTTGTCGTGCCGGAGAAGGGAAAGGACGACGATGTAGATGTTAGGTTTCCTTAGAAATGGCCTTTTTTCTTTTTAGACAAGAATCGAGACGCTGGACCCGTATTCTCGTTTCCGCAGAGGTCTTCTACTGTCTGTTCGGCCGAATGAACCGCAGCGCCGAAGAGTCCTCTGGGAAAGCCTGGGTTTGCTGGAGAATGTCGTCCAAGCGTTAGTTAAGTTGTTATTTTGCCTGAGTTTGATCTCGTGATGTTTTAGGACTATGCGACCCGGACTACTATGTGCTCGTCGCTGTTCATATCTTCAAGAATACAACCGGCACGCTAAACGAGACAGAAGCGTTAAATGTAGGCTTTTTCAATTGTTATGAACGAATTTGGTGATAAGGGGCCCGTTTTGCAAGTCTGTGAAACTAAGTATTATTGTGCAAAGAAAAAGCGTTATACTCGGTTTGGAAAGGGCGGACCGTTGCGCGGGGGAAAGGGCGGACCTGGAGGGCTCCCCGACATTTGCGGCCCGACCATTTGCGGCCCGACACTTGCGGCCCGACAGATGCGGCCCGACATTTGCGGCCCGTCACTTGCGCCCGACACTTGCGGACGCGACATTTGCGGCCCGACATTTGCGGCCCGACACTTGCGCCCGACAATTGCGGCCCGTCCTATTAAGTTCGTTTTCCCCAACAAAAAATTAAAAAGAGGGTTAGTAAGAGTCTAAAGCATTGTCAGGCAAGGCGGGCCGTCGCTTCGGATGGGCTGCCGCTCCACTCATTCGAAATCGGGGCTCCTGGCCGCTACGCGCGCCTCGGGCGCCCCGATTTCGAAACCCTGTAAGAGCTCGCACCCATCCGAAGCGACTAGGCCCCGGGTGGCACCACGAAGCCTTATTTTTAGGTCAAGACTAGGCGACAAGCGATCAAACCCCGTTCAGAAAACTAACCCTCCGGACGATTAAAAGCCTCAGTTTTGGGTAATTAACTACAGCTTTGGGCCGCAAATGTCGGGCCGCAAATGTCGGGCGCAAGTGTCGGGCCGCAAATGTCGGGCGCAAGTGACGGGCCGCAAGTGTCGGGCCGCAACTGTCGCGTCCGCAAATGTCGGGCCGCAAATGGTCGGGCCGCAAATGTCGTGGCACCACCTGGAGATGTGTCCGCCCCCAGACCCGCGCAATCTGGAAAGGGCGGACCGTTGCGCGGCTCTCCGGATTGCGCCAGCCTGAGGGCGGCTCTCGCCGCAAACGGGCCTTAGCTAGGCCTTTTCCCTCTTTAAAACATTTAAATTACGTATTAAACCTGCTTTTTAGCAGGTTCTATTGCTCGGGACCGATGCAAGGAAGTGTGATGACTCTTTTGTCTTTATATCACGACACTGCATTAGAAAATCACAATAGAACATAGAAAAAAAATATGGGTATTTCATCCTGCGAGTAGAGTTGCCCGGTGACGATGTCCTAGAGTTCGCTTACAGGCATCTTCCTTAATTAGCTTGGGTTTGGTCTGGTTTAAATTATATTTTATTTAATTATAAATTAAACATTATTATAAATTTGCGAATAGATGCCAAGGCAGAATATGTTAGTCGATTTATAGACTAAATTTTAGACCTACTTTCGTCGTGACGGATTTGAAGACGAGAACCCCTGAAAAGCATATTTTCTTATCGGATTCGAATAAGATCTTGACAGAACTTACCATCAGACGAACGACCTCCTGATAATGCAAAAGCACCCAACAATTTATATTTCACGTACCTGTTTTTCGCGCCAATATCCTGTCGATCCATCGAACGCCCGGGCCATAGAACCATCGCTCATTCCTAAATTCACAAAGAAACTCAATAATTTCAAACAGCTTACCGCGCTTTTTTGCTGTGTCACCGGCCAGCGCCAGGCGGTCGAAATTTGCAGCTCGCCCTTGCCCAGGATCATCAATCCTAAACGCGGCAGCGTTTCCAGAAATCGCATGTTACGGAAGCAAAAATAGATTAAAAAAACTAACCAGAAATGCGCACCGTGCTGCGGCCAAGGTAGATCGTCGCGGAAATGGCGCCGCGGCCGCTTGTGATCGCTTCTATTTCCAAAAACTAAAACAAAAGTACATTTACAACAAGAAAAACTAACTTTTATCGTTCTTTTCAGCCCCATCCGAAATCCATAAGGTTGTAGACATGTAATGTATTTGAAAACTAACCTCGCAGCACATAGAAGTTGTTACGCTGATCATGCCAGATTGAAGAATCATCAAGTAGCATTATAACTAATCGCTATACGAAGTTAGATAAAAATGAAGTGAATTGCCTAAGTTTTAGTTCTTGTACTTTCATGAACTCTGGACGAAATGCGCGGCCCGCGCTTGCTCCGTCCGCGGCCGATTGCGCGGCTGAAAGGGCAGGCCCGCGCAATTAGCCGCAGGCGGTCCGCGCATTGGCCGAGAGCCGCCCTCAGGCCCGCGCAATCCCGTGAGCCGCGCAACGGTCCGCCCTTTCCAAACCGAGTAGGCCAACACCGGACTCAGCAAGGACCTAGAGATCGTGCGATTGTTAGCGCAAAGTATGTATTAATTGTAGCTGAGGCTGGCCCTGTTTTTAGTATGCTCCCACATCCGTTCGCTGATTGGAATCAAGGCTTGGCATGAGGCGACGTCAATCTGCTGGAACCTTGCGCACGCTGCTGGCCCTGCTGATGCCACGAATGAACCTTCGAAGGTAAGACATTCTTCTAAATGCGCCGATTTGACGTTTTAGGCGCTCCCTGACCTCAGCCAAACTAAAGAGAAGGTCCGGGAAACCGCACAGAGATTGAAAGTCGAAGATATGTCTTTTCCGATTTGGCGACGGCCCCAAAAGAGTGAGTTTTTAGCGCGTGGTAGCTAATAATTATTTGCAGGGTCGACACCAACGCCATCTTAATAGAGGGACGCAAAAATTTGACGCATTTCAAGCTGGAAGTGCAAGCACCGAAAGAATTTTTCGCTGATGCGGAACCGAGCACCTCTGGTTCGAATTCGAGGATTCGACTGGGCGTAATACTTCAATCGGTCCGCGATCTATTTGATGAGGGCGCGACGATGGCCAAGGCACTGCTTGAACTCATTGAAGGTCAGAAGCCCGTGGATCAGTTGCAGGTGGAGGTACCTCGAAAATAGAGTTTAACGTTCTTTTTTGTATTCCAGGTCATCGAACTGCTGAGCGGTCGAACAATTTGAACTCGTCGGGCAAATCCTCGAGTTCCGCAACGAGCTGCGACAGCAAGCTAAGGGGGCCAAACTTGAAAGCTATAAAAACAGCAGAATGGCAGAGCCGGTTTGTTCGTCTTCTTGTGCACAATTGTTGATTTTTAGAAGGCTCAAGAAAATCCAAATGTCGGCCAATCAATCGTCGTGCAGTCATCGAGCCAGGCTGAACTAAAGAAGGTAAATCTTAGAACATTACCTAGAATTTGCTCTTTAGCCTCTTTCATTTCATTTTTTAGGAGATTCGACGAGAGCAAAAGCGAAATAAACGTGACATGTCTCGGATCCAAAATGCGTTCGGTGAGGATGAGCTGTTGGAGCTGGAATTGGCGCAAAAAGAACAGTTGCGAGAAAGGTTTTTTACTTTCTTTTGCAGGAATTCAAAAATTTTTTAGGCAACGAGAATTGGCAATGCTGAAATGGGGCCCGACAATCGTGGCGGGGCAGCAGCCGAAGGAAGTTTCTCCATTCGTCTTCGACTCTCAAAGGGATTCACAGTCGGCTCTCGTTATGTTTGACGGATTGAAGGCATTTTTCGGTTTTTATAACTTTAATTTCTTATAGTATGCGCTTCCCGAAGGCTCCGAACTCCGTTCTCACAAAAATCACGAGGAGGGCTCGTGCCGGCGATGCAACGGGATATGATACAAGATGTGCATCATATCTATGTCAAAGATATGGACGAGGTCATTCAGCGCCCCTTGCCTAATTTTTTTCTCTTTAGCTCGGGCAACTCGGTTCGAAGGCTTCGAAAAGCTGAACGTGATCCAGTCGATCGTCTACGAGCAGGCGTACAAGACCCGAGAAAGCTTGCTGATCTGCGCGCCGACGGGTGCCGACAAGACGAACATAGCGATGCTCGCCATTCTCAATACGATCCACCAGCATCGGAAGCCCTCGGGAAACGATTAGCTCCTTTGGGTGTGAAGGTATCAAGGCTACCTGGTTTCATAAGATTTCCCTAGGATTTTTCGCGAATTGACTGGAAATACGCAGCTGACAAAGAAGGACCAAGCGGAGACGCAGGTATTTAAGGAAGCATTCAAATACTTCTTTTCATAGATGCTGGTGCTAACCCCAGAAAAATGAGATGTTGTGACGCGCAAAACCGGTGACGATACACTGACGTCCTTTGTGAAGCTGCTGATCATTGACGAGGTGCTTTGTTGACAAACTTATTAATTCTTGTTTCTAGGTTCATCTTCTACACGACGATCGTGGACCGGTTATCGAGAAGATTGTCGCGTGGAGATTGCGCCAGGCAAGTTTCAAGTCATTTGCGCTCTAGAATTGCTATTTCCAGGTGGAAATGACGCAATCCGGATTCCGTATCGTTGGCCTATCTGCCACGCTGCCGAATTATATTGATGTGGCCTCTTTCTTGCGCGTCAACCCCGACAAGGGTATCTTCTCCTTTGACGGGCGTTTCCGGCCGGTACCACTATCGCACAAGTTTGTACTTGGCGAATTTGACGGACTATAATGCCGACTCAAGGAAGAGCTTTATTATCGTCAGCATCGAAAATTAAATCGGAATTTTTAGATTCATCGTTGTGAAGAAACACATTTGGCGGTATGCGAGAACTACGTGACCAATTGGACGCGATTTGCTACAAGGAGGTTTGTTTTAATCAGATCGTATTGTAATTATCCTGATTTCAGGTACTGGACTTGGTAAGACGCGGACACCAAGTGCTCGTCTTCGTCCATGCGCGAAACGCGACCGCCACCCTGGCCCAGCGCTTCCGCGAGCTGGCTGCAGTCAATGTGATAGTATTAACGATTTGCTTCTGGTATATTCTATTGATCTAGGGTGATTTGGAACGTTTCCTTCTTCCTTCCGTCGCCACAACGGGCTACATTGTCGCGAAGAAGTCTGTTCAAGCCTCAAGGAATGGGCTGCTTTTCTCTAATTTCCAATACGGTTCGTTGGATGTAGGGCTAAAATTTTTTTCTTGCTATAGGAATGGACATCCATCACGTTGGTCTCCATCGTAGCGATCGATCGTTGATGGAGAAAATGTTTGCGCAGGGATATATTCAAGTTAGAATTAGAGTATTCAGATTATCGCATAAAAATTTAGGTCTTGTGCTGTACCTCGACACTCGCCTGGGGAGTCAATCTGCCAGCGCACGCTGTTGTGATTCACGTACGTTTTTTGACACTTAGCGTGATTTGAATTGTAGGGAACTGGCGTCTTCGATTCGGAAAAAGGAGCATTCACCGATTTGGGCGTGCTTGACGTGTGCAACAAATTTTCGGGCGTGCCGGTCGGCCTCAATTCGAAAATGAAGGTGACGATATTTATCGAATATGATCCACTTTTTAGGACGCGGCATCATCATCACCCAGCAGAAAACGCTCTACAAATACCTGGTAATGTTGATTCGTCAAGCGCCCATCGAGAGCCAGTTTTTCAATCGCATCCACGACAATCTGAACGCTGAAATTGCGCTTGGTAACGTCAGTAAAGCCATGTGCGTATGCATCAATTCTAGGCACTGTTTCAACCGTGCACGAGGCGGTCGAATGGCTTTCCTATACCTGCTACCATTTTCGGGCGCGGATAAACCCGATCGTTGACCAACTGCCGCACAATGTCATGATAAAGGTTTGCCCATTCGCGGCATCCAATCAGAATTTTTTCAGGATCCTAATCTCCGGGATATAATGACGCAGAAGGTGCAGGATATTTATTCCCAATTGGACACACAGCAGAGGATCCGTTTCGATTCGCTGTAAGCTGACTTTCAAAGTATCATCCTCTAATCTGTTTTTAGGAATCGATTCTTGTCGGCTTGTGATTTGGGAAGAATTACCTCACAGTTCTACATCAAGTGCGAGACGATTGAGATGCTAAATGGAAGTGGTCAGCCGGTCACCTTCCAGAAATTCATGCCCCGCAAGCCACCGAGTTTGCTCAATTGAAGGTCAAATTTTTTCGCTTCCAACTGTAACCATTGATTTCAGGTTCGGGAAGAAGAGATGAACGACCTGGACGAAATGACCGCTCCCGGATGTTTCTTTCCAATTCGAGGCGGCGGACTGGCGAGCATCCCCGGAAAGGTCAAATGTCTGCTACAGGTATCTTTTTTTCATAGGCTTTTTGATCGATATTTTTTAGTGCTTCTTCTCCCGCTGCTTCATCAAGTCGTTCTCCCTAGCGCTGGAGGCGCTCTACGTGCAACTGAATGTAACTCGGTTGGCTCGGGCGTTTTTCGAGATCTCGTTGCGCCGCGGATGGGCTAATGTTGGTGTTTTTATTAATGTTGGACAAAGGATATGCTATCAAAATGTATGTGTCGACTTTTTTGCGTGGGGTTTGGGTTTTTATTCCGGAATTATTCGACATTTGGAAGTTGCCCGCGACAAAGTGCGTTTTACTATATGTTTTTTCAGGCCACCAACAGCAGTGATTGACCGGTAGATTATAATAGGACGAAATCGACGTTTCCATAACAATTTAGGCGTAGTTGGGAGTCGACACCAGTGGAACACGGTGTCAGCCTCGTCGATTGCTTGGATTTTCTCTGGGCCGCCGGTCATGCCGAATATCCGACGAGATTCTTGATTCTACGCTATGACTATTTGTCTATTTCAGATTTCCCAGTGTCCAGTCAAACGATGTGTTATATGTCGGGAGTGACGAGTTTAGGTGATACCTTTAAAAAATTTCATGACTTGGACCTATTTAGGGAAAGCATCGGCGATCTCGCATCGCACACTCTCGACCGCCTCATCCAACTGTTGATGCGGGAGCCGACCCCTCTGATCGCTGCCATGGTGCTCGAGCATCTTGTCGCACGGACCGACTATGTGGCTGATGAACAGGTGAGTTTTTAAAGAGATTTAGAGATAAAGAAGAGCGTTGCAATGTTTTGATGTTTGCAGTTATTCCTTTTGTGCCGTGGCCTCCTGCAAAGATGTCGTAAAAGCGTCGAATTGAGAAAGCGGGTGACGCGAATCATAACGGTAAGTTTATACTTTTTGGTGGCTAATCAACTTTTAGGATTTACGCAACGAGAAGTCGTACGCGGGTGCCAATAAACTAATTGAATTGAAGTGTGTAATGTGTAAGGTTTGAGCGGCAATAAAGTGCTTTATTATACGTACAAAAATCCACCCGGTTATCCGACCCATTTTTACCTTTCTTGGTCTCTAAAGAATCAGATAAGATTTGATGCATCACATCCAATCTATAGAACGATTGTTTTGGCTGACATGGTTGGGTCGGGGATTTGAGGTGTCATAGTAGCTTTACAGAAAAAGCTCAATTTCGGCAGATATATCGGGTTTTTCGCGGCATTCTAGCCAAGAACTTTTGGGAAACCGAAGATGGGAGGGCAGACAGATCGTAGAGAGCCCCGACTAGCAGATGCCCCGCCCACAAGCCAGCAGATGTCCCTCCCCGTGCGCCTATATAACCCGCCCTTCCCAATCCCCCTCTCTGCTTTTGCTTCTTCATTGCTGACTGGTTCTGTGCTTAGGCTTAGGTGCATTCTTTTTCCAATGATTCCTTGTTTTCATTGTTTTCACTATTTTCTAGAATCTTTTATATTTCTTGAATTTCAGGTAGTCCAAGCCCTCGAACTGCCATCCCCGGCGGCCCCACCGCGCGAGGTCAATGTATTCTACGTGCAATGAGGTAAGTGCTATTCTGTTTTCTTGAAAAATGTGACTTAGGTGCGACGTCAACAATGAAGAGGCCGACAGACGATCTGCACGTCATACGCGCACAAGGAGGAATCGATTCTACGGTCCTTGTTTCTTTTTTTACTTTTGGGTTGGGGCTGCCGCTTGAGGGTTAGGCTAGTAATCCTTAGGTTAAAACCTAGCGGGACTTAGTGGGGCTGCGCGTCTATCCGCATGCCCGGTTGCTTTACCGGAGCACCGGAGCCGAACGCAAACCTCAAAATAAAAGAGTGTATAATTAGTCGTAGTTAGTCTATTAGTCACCATTGTTTTAAATTTCGTTTTTTTACTGTTTATATATACTTTTCATTTTTGTTAGGGTTGGGCATATCTAGGGATAGTTTTTAAAAATAACATAGAGCCTAATTAGACGTAGGTCTAGCTTAGTATTTATGTTATCTTAGTCACTATTTTATTTGTGTTTTTTTGCTATTTATGTTTATGATTTTTGGTTAGAGTTGGGCATAGATAGGGATAGTTCTTCAAGATCAACTCATCAAAAGAAAATAGAAGCTAATTAGGCGTAGGTTTAGCGGAGTATTAACTGTCATATTAGTTTGGTTCAAGATTTTCATGTTTCAGTCGAATTTTTCATGGAAAGGCCCAATTCCAGCGCCCAAGGCCCGCGAAGCTGGCCTTGGGCGCTGGTGTCATATAATTTTCTTTGTTTTGATTTTTTGCTATTCATATTTGTGATTTTTGTTAGAGTTGGGCATATCTAGGGATAGTTTTTAAAAATAAATAGAGCCTAATTAGGCTTAGGCCTAGCTTAGTATTAGATGTTAAATTCGTCACTTTTTTCCTTTGCGTTTTCTTTTGTTGTTTATACTTTTGATTTTTATTAGAGTTGGGCATAGGTAGGGATCGTTTTAAAAATGAACGCATCAAAATGAAATAGAATCCATTTGGGCGTAAGTTTAGTTTAGTACTAGATGCCATATTAGTAACTATTTTCTTTATGTTTTGATTTTTTTTATTAGTCATAGTTTGGGTATTGTTAGGGTTTGTTGTTTTTTTTGGGCATATTTAATCAAAAAATTTAAATGGGCATTTAAAAAAAAATCAAAACATCAAAAATTGGGCGTAGGTGTAGCTTGGCATCTATTTTCTTTATACTTTTATTTTTGCCATTTATATTTTTGATTTTTGTTAGAGTTAGGTATATACGACGGTTTTAAAAGTCAAAACTATTTAAAAGGCTTAGGTGTTAGTCGAACCTGTCGATAGCTTATGGCATAGGTTTGTTAAGAAAGCACCTTTTGTGTAAATAAAGGAGCTGGGAAGTCGTTTCGGATTTTCTAAAAAAAATAGAAGAGCCCTCTGCTCGTGGAATCAATCCTTGCATCAATCGCATGAAACCGAAAACGATGACACCTATTTACGCATAAATTTTGGAACCCAAAGCTTTGCCGGCCTCTTTCGAGGGGCTGGAATTTCGAGAAATACTAAGCGCTCGGCTGAGATTTTGAGGGAGATTTGTAGGCCTAATAAGGTTCTCCGGGTCCAGGCAACACTTTCGGTACCATTGATGGGGTTGTAAATGTCTTCCTATTGATCACATTTTGGGGTAGGCACTATTTATCCCATCCTCCTTCATGCCAAGCCCGTCTGTAATTTCATAGACCCCACGCCAGTGGGAGGTGTCTGTGGGCTAGACGTTACTAGGCGATTGGCCAGGTGATGATGGGGGTGGTAGGTTACGGTAGGCACCATCCCGACGTACCCTTGCTTGCAAATCACCCATTGAGGTGGCCACCGCCGCCGGCTCCGCCCTGAGCACCTGCCTCAGTTGTGCACGGTGGTTTGAGGGTCTGGGATGCGGGTGCTGACCTGTGTCTACCTACCGCGCCTACTGTCATCACCTAGGACCGATCCCCTAGCATTTCCTAGACTGTGGCCGCCTGCCCTGGTGTTTGGAGGTAATGGAATTGTGGATGAGCGGGTTTTGCAGGTGGGAGGGACTAATAGCCCCTGCTCGAAATGTGGTTAACTGTAAGGCATTTGCACTCCTTCCATGGGACTGTTATCTGCTTGTCCATGTCTGGAAATCTCATTCGGTCTATGAATTCTTTTTTGGCAGCTCATTCGAGACATCCTACACTACTCTCCAAAAAGATTAGATGAAAGCTTGGGTTCCTACTTTGCTAAACATATTAAAAACCTTCTTTCTAGCTCCTTTAAATTAATTCAATTAAATAATACCTTTTGCCTTGATAAATTCAAGCCGAGTACCTGAAATACGGTACTCGTGCTTTCTTACCAAACCTATGCCCAATTTTTGAATATTAGATTAAAACTTTGAAAAATACAGTAAGAAACGATTTTTTTTATTAGGAATTAAATAAGCCTTAATTTGCTTTGATAAATTCAAGCCGAGTACCTGAAATACGGTACTCGTGCTTTCTTACCAAACCTATGCCCAATTTTTTAAAATTAGATTAAAACTTTGAAAAATACAGTAAGAAACGATTTTTTTATTAGGAATTAAATAAGCCTTAATTTGCTTTGATAAATTCAAGCCGAGTACCTGAAATACGGTACTCGTGCTTTCTTACCAAACCTATGCCCAATTTTTGAATATTAGATTAAAACTTTGAAAAATACAGTAAGAAACGATTTTTTTTATTAGGAATTAAATAAGCCTTAATTTGCTTTGATAAATTCAAGCCGAGTACCTGAAATACGGTACTCGTGCTTTCTTACCAAACCTATGCCCAATTTTTTAAAATTAGATTAAAACTTTGAAAAATACAGTAAGAAACGATTTTTTTATTAGGAATTAAATAAGCCTTAATTTGCTTTGATAAATTCAAGCCGAGTACCTGAAATACGGTACTCGTGCTTTCTTACCAAACCTATGCCCAATTTTTTAAAATTAGATTAAAACTTTGAAAAATACAGTAAGAAACGATTTTTTATTAGGAATTAAATAAGCCTTAATTTGCTTTGATAAATTCAAGCCGAGTACCTGAAATACGGTACTCGTGCTTTCTTACCAAACCTATGCCCAATTTTTTAAAATTAGATTAAAACTTTGAAAAATACAGTAAGAAACGATTTTTTTATTAGGAATTAAATAAGCCTTAATTTGCTTTGATAAATTCAAGCCGAGTACCTGAAATACGGTACTCGTGCTTTCTTACCAAACCTATGCCCAATTTTTTTAAAATTAGATTAAAACTTTGAAAAATACAGTAAGAAACGATTTTTTTATTAGGAATTAAATAAGCCTTAATTTGCTTTTGATAAATTCAAGCCGAGTACCTGAAATACGGTACTCGTGCTTTCTTACCAAACCTATGCCCAATTTTTTGAATATTAGATTAAAACTTTGAAAAATACAGTAAGAAACGATTTTTTTATTAGGAATTAAATAAGCCTTAATTTGCTTTGATAAATTCAAGCCGAGTACCTGAAATACGGTACTCGTGCTTTCTTACCAAACCTATGCCCAATTTTTTAAAATTAGATTAAAACTTTGAAAAATACAGTAAGAAACGATTTTTTTATTAGGAATTAAATAAGCCTTAATTTGCTTTGATAAATTCAAGCCGAGTACCTGAAATACGGTACTCGTGCTTTCTTACCAAACCTATGCCCAATTTTTTAAAATTAGATTAAAACTTTGAAAAATACAGTAAGAAACGATTTTTTTATTAGGAATTAAATAAGCCTTAATTTGCTTTGATAAATTCAAGCCGAGTACCTGAAATACGGTACTCGTGCTTTCTTACCAAACCTATGCCCAATTTTTTAAAATTAGATTAAAACTTTGAAAAATACAGTAAGAAACGATTTTTTTATTAGGAATTAAATAAGCCTTAATTTGCTTTGATAAATTCAAGCCGAGTACCTGAAATACGGTACTCGTGCTTTCTTACCAAACCTATGCCCAATTTTTTAAAAATAGATTAAAACTTTGAAAAATACAGTAAGAAACGATTTTTTTATTAGGAATTAAATAAGCCTTAATTTGCTTTGATAAATTCAAGCCGAGTACCTGAAATACGGTACTCGTGCTTTCTTACCAAACCTATGCCCAATTTTTGAATATTAGATTAAAACTTTGAAAAATACAGTAAGAAACGATTTTTTTTATTAGGAATTAAATAAGCCTTAATTTGCTTTGATAAATTCAAGCCGAGTACCTGAAATACGGTACTCGTGCTTTCTTACCAAACCTATGCCCAATTTTTGAATATTAGATTAAAACTTTGAAAAATACAGTAAGAAACGATTTTTTTTTATTAGGAATTAAATAAGCCTTAATTTGCTTTGATAAATTCAAGCCGAGTACCTGAAATACGGTACTCGTGCTTTCCTACAAACCTATGCCCAATTTTTAAAATTAGATTAAAACTTTGAAAAATACAGTAAGAAACGATTTTT